CCCAATTTATTAATCTAATGGTCAAAGTAACTGCGATTACTTTTTGCATGATTATAGCATCAACTTATGCAGATAGCAGATAAGTACTACATGTATATATCGTGGACCTGCTTATTCCGACATTGACAATTTATGCCATAATCGTTTATTATAGACAATAAATCTACCATGGACTCGATCAGTTTCATTCAAACTCATCTCACAATGTTAAGCTATCACAAGCTTCGTCTTTTACCTTGACTTCAATAGTCACTTTTCTTGTTTCACGGAATGCAGCAACTTGATTAGATTGTACTCCAACGAATACAGCAAATCAAAGCCTTCGGCAGAGAGACTGCAAGCAATATGGCTTCTTGTTTACAGTCTTTCTGTTTCTGATTGGCTGTATTCGCTTGGATACAATCCAATAAAATCGCTGCACGTAATAATTTCTGTGGCACTAACTGAAGTTGGCTATTGCAGTCAAATAATAAGACGGATTCCGTAATAGCTTGACATTGATCCAAATAAAAAAGTCCTTGACTTTGTTTGTCGGAAATGAGAATGACGGTAATGAGTAACTTCAGCAAAAATATAATAAGATGGAAAAAGTAAAGGATTCTTGCCGGATATGGGTTGTCTTTATAGAAGGACACCACTATGAAATCATTATTAATACGTATCTTTCTTTACAAGAAAAACGAACAAGATTTAAGACTGGTGAAATATTTAACCAGTTCAGTGGAACTATAACTCTGTTAATGTAATATTCCATGGTTATGCAAGAGACTCTCTTTTATGCTGTGAGGTAGTAACTTTTTTGCTTATAAGGCCTAATTGACAGTTCTATGTAGTACTGAATAGTTTGAGACGTTTTGTTTCTTACTTTTATTCTGGTGGTCCATATTATGATGATGTTGCTACTGTCATTTGTGGAATCGTCATCAGATGACTAGATCTCAACAGGGTATGAATGATTTATTAGTCTATCTCTTGAATTCTATATTGGACCACAATTCGTGTGAGAAAATATTAGTTCACTCTAACCAAGCCAATATTGTTTCGTGTTGCATGATGCAGACGATTGCTTTGTTTGCTTTTATCATGCAATCATCCTCCAAAAAGATATATTCAATAAAGGTTATATACACACAATAAAATTAAAATATATATAAATAAATATGATACAAAGATATATACTATTTTGTATTAACGAAGAGTTTAATCAATATCCCAACCAGGATGAATGAAAACAATTACTATCGTATGGATCATATAAAATAAGGTTTTGAAATGTTCACCATGAAAGTATTTCTCTTTTTGTGAGTGATATAATACATATTGTTATCAATCCGAATATCATCCATTGTTTTTTATGTTGGTTACGTCTAATAAACCTAAATAAAAACGAAGTAATCCTAATCTGCATTTTAATCAAATTCATTTTATCATGTGTCATTTAAAAACTAAAACTAATGACTTCTTGTACAATCGGGGAAATTTTCGAGGCTATCACCCTTCAATAATTATCAGAAGTAAAAAAATTATAGAGATAACCGTAAGCTATAATTTGAGAACAAATGATCTAGAAGTAATACAGACGTGGTACAGAATTACGTACAATTTTTTCTTGAAATTGATATCGCAGTTCGGTCATGAACACGTAGAAATAAGAAAGTTATTGAGTTTCCGGTGGGCTCGGTTTGCCGCATTGCCCAACTTTCCGCATCGTACTCAACTGCACAAAAACGACTTGTAAAACGAAACTAAAGGTTTCTGATAAAATCAGTTTGTTTTTCGTGTAACGAAATATTTTAATCTATTGTTCCGCATCGATTTTCTTTTTATTTATTATTTGGACCTGTTAGGGAAATCGAAACTATAGTTTTATGGTAAAATCTAAAATAAAATAAATACCAAGTACAAACGATCAGAACCGTAATACCAAATATATAAATCCCTAAAACGAAACATTGGATATAACTTGCAAGAGTCATGTCCCTCTACTGTGTGCCTATATAACGTCACCCACGTACTAAAAAAATGGCAACTGAAATGTCTGAGGGTGAAAATCTTCTGAATAGTAAATCAGAAGTATCAAGCGAGAAGAATTTTAAAATTCTCGTATTAGATGTGCCCTATAATTCGGCAGTGGCTCACTGGTTCCAAATAAGTCCCAGAATGTCCTGTGGACAATGTAGAAGCTGCGGTTAATTTGCTCCACACCACCGTCGACAGTTGGAGACGAAAATCGACGAACCTGCTATTGTTTAGAAAAAATGACAATGCAGACATCGGATAGATCCACAGGAAATTAAGTACTGCGGAACATAAAACCGTGAGTAGTGAGGGTTATATTTTGAAAATTCAGTATTGTCACCATAATAGCGAAAAAGTATGCCTCTGTAAAAAGGCACAGTACAGAAGTCTTTAAACTTTTTCCTGGAAAACCGCCAAGTAAGTTTCTTTTACATGTCAAAAACCCGTTTTGGATCTCCATTACGGTTCTGATCGTTTGTATTTGGCATTTATTTTATTCCAGATTTTACCATAAAACTATTGTTTCGATTTCCCTAACAGGTCCAAATTATAAATAAAAAGAAAATCGATGCGGATCAACAGATTAAAATATTTTGTTTCGTGTGAAACAAATGGCCATTCCGGATTTTATCAGAAACCTTTAGTTTCGTTTTTTAAGTGTTTTTTGTGCAGTTGGGTACGAAGGGCAAGTTGGGCAATGCGGCAAAACGAGCCCACCGTTGAGTTTCCGATATATATACTTGGAATTCGTTTGTTCATCCCTCGCATGAAAAGTAGGAAATTCATGGTAATTTGCCGTAGTTGTGTGGTAATGAGTATGACTGGTGGGTTGTAGGTGACCATTTCTGTGCACTGTTGATCGATCTTGAATACAGCTGTTCCCTTCCATGAGGGTTTACTAACTAGTCTTACCTGGGCACTAATAAATCGCATAAATGCAAGGTGCAACTTAAGATGATAAACAAATAACCGCATTTTGATTGCTTACATACAGTTAAGAGCAGTTAAGAGTTTGGATTCTGTACAAGATCAACTGCCAAGACATTGGTATCTGAGGATAATAGTCATTCTCGTATTTGATATTTCTATTTTTCCATGAGTACATTTCATTACTATATCTTTTAGGACAATATCAGAACATACATAGACGGAAAAATATAACTTATTTTGGCAAAATGATATCTGCGCTTACAGTGGTCGTAAGGTCATTCGAGTGCTACACTGAATAAGTTTAACCATCATTCATATCAACTGTATAACTATTACATGCCTCCAGAAATCGTGTATCGTGCGAGGACGTAGATATCCTTGAAAACATATTATTACTGACTAATTGTGAGAATAATTTTGATTCAGAACGGACATATTGGCTATAGCCTAAAGCAGTTAGGAACAAAGTTCTTATGTCAGAGAAGTCGAAGAAACCTCCTTCCTCAGATTGGTACAGCCTACTGTCCCGTATATTGCTGATGCATCCGTCTGTAATTTCCTGTTTAGACACATACATAATATCAAGTATTGTCATTGCAAAATGAAATGTATAGAAGAAGGCATTTAAATGTGACCTGTAGAAAAGCTGAGTCTACCAATATTGTCTGCTTTTGGCTGAAGGGTGATAAAGGAGAAACATTTATCTGACAAATACTAACTTGATTATAAATGTTGGGAACGTAGGGCTAATCAGAAAATTTACTATATTATTAGGTAAGCTATAGGCTAATAGACTAGTCTTGATAAATTTGATCTATTCTTCTCTCACAGTGCAGTCGTCCTTTCTGAAATCTTGCAGCCTAATAAGAACTGAATACTAGGTCATCAGACGGCCTCCCACTGACAAAAAAATATCCAACTAAATCCTAATCATATCAAAAATTGAATTCTATTCGTGTAAGTGTGTTTCCAATTATGCTAGGCCTATACAAAGAATGGATTTAGGCATTAGTGGCTGTTGTTTGCATTGTCCTCTTAAAATCGTCGTAGGCTATCGCTATCGCGTCATTTTAACTATTTTGAGAAGAAAATAGGTTGCCTAATAAATTCGCTGAAGACTAAGTAGTCTGAGACCTAGGCTATATTATATACAGTCAAGTAACCTTATTTCGTGCCAACCTCCGTGCCAACCTCGTGCATCTCCGGAAATGATTAATAATTCTCATGTGCGACCTCTTGTGATCTCCGCATCTGCTTGTATTTGGTAAACATGGGATATCTGTACAATGTCAGCTAGTAGAATGAATCCAGTAGTTTCAACCAAGTTAAAATGTATTAATGTATGCTTTGACAAATACAAAAAGGCAGTTATTACCAAATGTCACATTTTTTTATCAGCCGAATTTCCTTATAATCCTAAGCTGTAATCGGAATTCCAGGTGTCGTCTGCTAGAATGTAGTCCAATGAATGAAGTCACGTGATAAACTTGCGGATTCCGTGTCAGGAAAAAATTTCTATGGAACACAATGTGGGCCATATTCTTATGTTGTTTCAATGACTTTAACATTAAATCACTCTTAGGCTACGTTTTCCTTATCTTATTTTGTCAGTGACTTTTTTTATCCATTGTTCTTTGAAAGAATTGTCATTAGTCATAATAATATATATGACTCATATGAGTCAGATATAAACTAAAAAAAGTTAATTATACCACTGGGTATCTATACAACGTGCTTTTCTCGACTTATTTATAGATCGAATATTGTACACGAAAATAGGTATTTAGCAGCCATTGTCGAGTTGGTTCCTCATGAAACGTGGGTCAAAGTGAGGAATTCATTAAGAAATTCGAAACAAACCAATTTTAATTATTTTGTATAATATCTTAGGAAACTTATAAGACATAAAAATAAAATTTGCGTTTTGTAATTTTGACGAAATTCGATGTTGAATCCTTATATGCAGTGTGGTTTTGAGAGGCTTTCGTAATCAAGGGAGGTAACTGTACAGTATTAAAATAAGGAGAGTAGTTTCCCTTGTTCCGTCGTCTGCAAAAAGAAGAAGATGGCGTCATTTTCGTATTCGTGAAAGAAGGAAATTTGTTTTTCTTTTTAGTTTCAGTCTTTTTTCAACGAATAAATCAAAATATCTCTGTACATAATGTCAAACCAAATCATTAAGCCACACAGTGGTCCTCCGTCTAGCTCGAATTCATCCACAAAGGAACGAAATCAAAACCAAAATCAAAACCAAAATAGCCAAATGCACGAAGTCCACAGTTTTACGCCGGTTAAACTTAATGATACTTTCCATAGAGTGATGTCTTCAATGGAAAAGGGCAATACTATTATGCAAGGTTGTAAAAATGTCGTGTCCAACTTAAATGAAAAAGTTGCGCTAGAGCCAAAACAATTCCTTGGTGATCGAAAAGATAAGGTTTGTTTACATTTTTAGTTTGTTGACAATATTGTAGCCTCATCCCCTTCTAGCTAGGCTACAAGTCTACTAGGCTACAAGCCTACTAGGCTACAAGCCCACAAGTGCAAGGTCTACAAATTAATACCAACAGAAGAGGGAGGGGTTAGGATCTCATAGGCCTAATCAAAGCTACCAGTAAAGAGAAAATCCTTTATGCCAATTAATGGTTGACTTATTTTAAGATCTGTTTAATATCAACAGTGTGCAATGACTAATGAAGCTTATTCTTAAATATAACATATTATAAGATTATGCTTAATAATAGATTTATAAATACACCAGTAAAAAAAGCCTTTCTTAGAATTAGTGAATTTTAGAATCTACGATGGAGAAATTTTGAAAAGTCTTGCGAAGCAGTCCCATTAAATTTGAGACGGAAATATTGCTTAATATATAGCGATAGTTCTGCAATGTTCGCCGATAATCTGCAATCAAGATATGTTTGGTGATCATTTTCCTTCTGGTCGTTGCCGCATCACATCTTCCTCGTCCAGTTTACCTTTTTCATCAGCTTGTAGACGGTCTCCCAGTCATACAAAGGTCAATACAAATCTCAAGAAGTGCTTGTTATGCCTAACACTTACTAAGGATGGTTGAAGAGACGTGATCTCCAAATTTGCAGACCTATGACTGCTGCATCTCTTGCCCTTCTGCTGGCGTGGTGGCATGTGGCTCTCTCCACAGCAATTAAAAGATACAAAACGTTTCTAAATTCACAAATGGTTGAACATCACTTTAAAAGCATTCGAAAAAGTTTTGTGTTTACTACTGGATCCTAAAGAAGGCCTGTGATGCCTTGCGATCATAGCAGAGTAAAGTGGGACTGAAGCCTTAGGTCTAGTAAGACCATTTGTTATGTAGAGTTATATATAATAGTTCTATTTATATTTAACTTTTCGAATCAGAAAAAATGTCCGATGCCACAGCTAGATAAAAGTTTCGGCCCTCCATAGTATGTAGCCTTTCGGTTAAGAAAACTTTTTTATCATAATAGTTCCTGAGACGTTACACTTCTATTTGGCTGAGTGTTCAATTACGCAGGCGATTCGATTGTGCTGCTGTTGTTTAAACTTTGTATTTACTTCACTTCAGATTTTCCATAGTCGTTGTATCATAATATTTTTCAGGTAAAAGTAGAACTGAAATGTGCCTTTTTGCAGATCCTGAACATCGACACAGTTGGTCAGTGTTTTGAGGCTGAAGTTTTTGTTCAAGCGAAATGGCAAGAACCAGCCTTACAAAAGGCAGCAGACCTAAATGTATGATTATTTCACAGTAAATATTTTTCTATACCCCCACCTGAAAATGTTGTCGTAGATTGCTTCTTATGCATGGAACCTCAATATGGAAACTTTTTGGAATTTAGGTGTTTTGAAGTGCTCAAAAATAATGTAGAGTAAGTTCAACTTTTTATCGCGACTGGCCCTTCACAAGTGACCTCTTCCAGTATATTATGGGATTCTATTTACTGGCCTTTAGAAAGTTCTAAGACAAATGATTGGCATCACTGGCGCACTAGCCGACAAGGCACAATACAGTCTTTCCAGTGGTGTCCCCAGCTTCCTGACTGATTTAATAGGGGGACTACTAACTATCTAGGTTTGAATTAAAAATGCATCATCTCAGTGGAAGCGCATAGTCGCAAGCTCTCCATTGAGCATATAAAAGACATTTCGAAAGATAGAGTTGATTTGGTGCATTCCGACATATAATTAAGCGAAAAACGTATAAAAATCATATTTTTTAAAGGGACATGGGATTTTCCCACATTTCTAGTACTTTACATATATTAAAGACTCAATCACAATCACCCCCTCCCCCAAAAAAAATTTCCAGAATGGGGCAAATGTCCCTCGTATCCCCACTGGTGCTGCAACTGGGTATTTCTACCAAGCGTACAATGCTCATTCGGATAATGAAACTTCTTTCTCTTTTGTAGGATAAAAGCATGTACGATCCTGCAGAACACTGGATACCACGAATGACTATTTTAAATGCAAATGGAGCTTTAGCATTCACTAGACGAAATTTTTCAGTACAGTTTAATCAAAAGGGTTACAAATATCCGGTTGTGAGGTTACTTTGGAGATTTAAAGGCACATTTCGAGAAAATTTGGAGTTGGAACATTTCCCTTTTGACGTTCAGGTTTTTATATGTTTTATATCCAAATTATTATCTCAGCATTCGATAGGTTAATGTATTATTTTTGTGGAATTGCTAAAACCACAGATGTCTGATTGAAAATTTGAATGAGTCAAAGGACATTCTCGATTACGTGTCGATCTCAACGGTCCTTTATGGCGGTAAAATTTGGTGTGAGTGTTTGTTATCATCCAAGTATGAATCCTATCGAAAATCCGAAAAATCAAAAAATATTTGTTATGAGTTAGTGCCCTTGTTCTTGAAACGCGTTCAATTTTTAGCTCGTAAACATTCGAGAAGGCATAATTCTTGGGTAGGGTAGGGTATCTGCCTCATCTTTCCCGTTGACAGGATCAGGGTAAGATCCTTAATCTAAAAAGTGTTAAGGATAAGCTTAAATGTTAATATTTCAGAAAAGGAATTTTTTTTCTTCAGGATTTAACAATTCAGTTATCAACAGAAAGATCGGCCGATGAAGTTGTTTTTATCGATGACCAGGAGGTTCTCTCTACTGTAAATACCCGAACCTTTCAGAATTCTGGAGAATGGATCATATATGAACATGTTGAAACATTCAGAGATTCAACAACAAGGGAATATGTTAGTTCGACCATCCATCCTATTTTATTCGCCCAATGCCGAGTCAAGAGAAGAATTGGGTTTTATATGTGGAATGTTGTTTTCCTCATGGTATGTATTCTCCAATTCTAATTCTGAATTCCATATTCAAAACAAAAGATATCAGAAGTATATTGTTAATTTTACATAAGCTTATAAGAAGTGTAGCTAAAGTAATATTCATGTAACCTTATTTCTGTAAGTGATGCAAGTTGGAAGGAATGACAAGTAAAAAGCGTCGGATCTTTACATATGAACATTAAAAATCATATGAAGGATGGAAATCGTAGAAAGAGGACGGCAAATGTGACAAATTTTGCTCATTGCACAATACTGAGTGTTGTCTGTATTCAATAGCTCAGGTGATGAAGGAAGCCCAGGTGATATCACTGCCTGTAGGCTACAAAACGTATGCGATTTGGTATTACTTAAAAGCTAGTAGTTGTGAAACAGTGTGTGACATTCAGTATAATCAAAATCTGATAAAATTACCAAAAGCCAAGTAAAATTAATAAAATGTCTTGTGATCGAGAAATCAATATCTGTCTTTTCAGGCAATGGTTTCAATTGCAACATTTTGTACGGCAACAGAAGAACCAGATGCGATAGATAGAATGTATAATAATGTCACATTGTTAATGACTGCCTTCGTTTTAAGAATGTCTGTTCAACCGACTTTACCTGCCATATCGTATCTTACTTATTTGGTAAGTATTACAGAAAAATAGAGTAAATAGACGATTTTTATACGCCCACATTTCTCTATGCGGACGTATATTGTCGGCACCCCTGTCCGTCCGTCGGTCGGTCCGTCCGGCCGTCCATCTGTCAACAATATTTAGCATCCGCATGCCGTGGTGGGCGTATGTGGCTGTGGTCCACTATCTTTATTTATAAACTAACTGTCACTACCCTAAGCTAGATATTCATTCGTTTGATATTGTAAACAATATTTTATTCATAAGAGAAATGGATTAGGGAACAGGCTTTCGCCTATATGACCCCTTTCCTATAATACAAAATTACAAAACAATATAGAATAGATACAATATGATATATTCAATATAATATATACATGTAATTAAATGTAAATGAACATACACACATAAAATAAAAGTAGAAAAGAAAAGAACAGGACTATTAAAAGAAAAAAATAATGACATATTGTACTCTACCCTTAGCTAGATAAACAGTACTCTAATCTAAATAGTCACTGCTCTGAGCTAGCTAGACACTACTCAATACTAGATAGACACCTCTGAGGAGTTAAACACTACTCTAGGCTAGATAGTCATTGCTTTGAGCTAGATAGACACTGCTTTGGGTTAGATAAAAAAAACAATACTTTTAACAAGTTAGTTACTGCTTTGAAGTAGATGGACACTGCTCTGACATAGACACTCTTCGGGCGAGACAAAAAAAACTTTCCTGGCTGGATGGACAGTGCTCTGGACTACACATTGTTTTGGGGTAGCTAAACACTGTTCTGGGCTAGATAGATACTTGTCTGAGCTAGATAGATACTTCTCTAGGCTAGACAACAATACTCTTAGGTAGATAGTTACTGGTCTTAGCTAGATTGACATTATTCTAAGTTAGACAGTTACTGCTCTGAGCTAGATAGACACTGCTCTGAGCTAGATATACACTGCTCGAGCTAGATAAACATTGGTCAGAGCTAGATAGACTATTCTCTACTAGAAGGGCAGTACTCTAAGCTACATAGAAAAAAATGCTCTGAGTGAGTTAGATACAAAAAAAATGCTCTAAGCTAGATAGACACTACTCTTAGCTAGATAGTCACTGCTCTGAGCTAGATAAGCACTGCTCGTGGCTAGATAGGCACTGCTCAGCTCTTGACTCGATAGATTAGGCCTCTTTTAAAGCTCTTCAACCAATCCACTCCACAATTTTAGGTTGAGCTTGATGGATACAGAAACACATTTTCTCTTTTAAGTGGAATTCTGAAATCATGTCACAAAAGTATATTTTTAAACTGGGTCAATCTTATCAATAGTGCTTTTGGAATGGACTGGCAAATTCTTACTTATTCTTGATGTGACGCAGAACCGGCGATCGGCGTTAACGTGAAAGGTTAGGCTATTGACGGCTATAGGTTGAGTCAAGGAAAAGTAACCGAGAGGCAGCAATGTCTACCACCCTGTTCTTGGACGTACTTCATATTATTAAGTGGGCGAGGTGATTGTTTTAGAGCTAGTGTTTGCATCAATAATATAAAATAGGTCATATTGACGTCTAAACTAGTTAATAAGTTTATTGCCAGGGTGTCACGCAATGTGCGTCGATCATTACATCACGAATCATTAAGAAGATATTTACCATTCAGAAATATATGTCATTTTTTATTATTAAAGGTGCGAATAGACACGTGCGAGAATTGATACAGAAAAATAGAACAGGGGGTACATATCCGAACTCATACCTCATTAGCTTCTTAATTCTATTGATTTTTATACGCCCAGACATAAGATGGGCTTATATTGTAAACACCCTGTCGGTCCGTCCGTCCGTCCGTTCACATTTGGTTCGTGCTCACTCTACAGGCTACAATTTTTTTACAGATTCTTTTGATTTTGATTTTGTGTGTCAATGTCATTATGAAGATGATCCCTATCGATTTTCGTGATGATCGGATAATTTTTCACTGAAATATCGTGTCTGACTTGACGTTTCACTCTATTAGCTATATTGTGCAACTCGTGCTCACTCTACAGGCTACAATTCTTTACAGATTCTTTTGATTTTGATTTTGTATGTCAATGTCATTATGAAGATGATCCCTATCGATTTTCGTGATGATCGGATAATGTTTCACCGAAATATCGTGTCTGACTTGACGTTTCACTCTATTAGCTATTTTGTGCAACTCGTGCTTACTCTACAGGCTACAATTCTTTACAGATTGTTTTGATTTTAATTTGGGGTGTCAGTGTCATTATGAAGATGATCCCTATCGATTTTCGTGATGATCGGATTATGTTTCACCGAAATATCGTGTCTGAATTGACGTTTCACTCTATTAGCTGTATTGTGCAACTCGTGCTCAATCCACAGGCGACAATTCTTTACAGGTTCTTTTGATTTTGATTTTGCGTGTCAATGTCATTATGAAGATGATCCCTATCGATTTTTGTGATAATCGTTTAATAGTGTTATATTTATATCTATTACCTATATTGTGCAACTTGTGCTCACTCTACAGGCTAGAATTGAATGGGCAGCAAACAAAGACTTGTACTTACAATCAAAGCTATCAGTGGGCCTGGCCTGGCAAGCTATATTATACTGAATCTATAATCCCGTACCGTTTACCCCATCGAATGTAGATAATTAGTTCACAGGAAAATCGGTTTCCAGAAATTTGGTCACAGTAATACGGTCACACGGTGATTTGGTCAAAGTAAAAAGGTTACACGGTAAATCCAAATTTGGTATTCAGGGCTGCGGCGGTCCCTCCCCTGGGACATTTTCAAAAATTGGCATCAATTTCCTTGTATCGTTGGACAGAGCAATTAGTCGTCAACCAAAACAACGTTGACACCAGTGGAACGAAGAGACAAACACAACGATATGACTTTTAAGGTCATCGGAGGTCAAGGTCACGAACCCACTGAAGTTGCGATAGTGACCTTCCTCCACCATTTATTGAATCTAGCTGAACAAGCGGCCGAAGTGAATGAGATGACCGACACCCCTGAACAGGAGTAATTTTACTGTGACCAAAATACCGTGTGGCAGTATTACTGTGATCAAATTACAGTGTGACCGTATTACTGTGACCAAATTACCGTGTGACCTTTTTACTGTGACCGAATTTCTGATGACCTAATTACCGCGCCACACCCCATCGGACACCGTACTATAAGATTTTGATTGACAACACAATCTAAGACTTCTCTCTCTCACTTAAAACTTTAAGTGATTCCATAAATCATGTTATGATGGTAATCGTTTAATAGATGTGACAAATGACATTATAAAACTACAAGCAACTGTAAAGTAATTTATAATGATGCTATTGTTTGGCTATCCCAATGTGGGTTTCAAAAACTCTGTTACAGTACACATCAGGAGCATTGAGACTGTAGTTCAGATATTCTATCAAAAGTGTCATTTACTCCCGTTTGACATCTCATAAAGAATAGACCGTCAAGTTTTATGAATAATTCACGATCCTTATTGACTACTTCGCATGTCTCCAAAGCGTCAGATATGGAGGTCTACTTACACATTTCTCTTGAACGCGTGTGGCCTTCACAAATTGGTGCCAAGCCAAAATATATACGAAAAGTATTGGATAATTCCATATAACATAGAGTCAGTGTCAATGAGCTGGAAACAAACGACATGTTGTGTCTTGGAGATTGCATCTTTATTTGACAGCTACATTTCTTTGCAGATATTCTATTGATCCTTTTAATGCATATTGTATGTTTTGCGAGACATTATCCCTTAAAATGTGCATTAATTAGGTTTTTCATCATGGTTCACTCACTTTAGTCATTTCAAGCTTCTGTCAGGCAAATACAAAACCACTTGCAATACCCATATATCTGTGTAATAAAATAAAACATTATCGTGAAGCGGAAGCGTTCATCTGAAAGAAACATTTATCCAAATGAACATCTCCAAGCCTTGTTCACAATCACATCACCACACTACAGTTTGATAGCGATGAAGAAGAAATGTAAACGAATATAAGGATTTATTTTTTTTAAAGTCAACATGACATATTGTTTTCAATTGCATTTCCTGTTGATTAGATTGCTATCAGTGAAAACGTTTAAGATGCGAAACTGTCAAATTGCACGGGTTGTGTATAGATAGATACCAATCTGCTCGATTTCTGTAAATCCAACGGGAGCTCTTTTTGAAGAACGATATGCGTAAAATTAAAAGAAGTCGAAAATGTTTTGAGTGTGAGCACGCCTTTACTTCGGTATTAATTATTTTACTTTAATCCTCGAGCTACGAAACGAAACGAAGCAAAAAACATGTTATTATCTTCAATAAATAAGCTCATTGATGTAAAAAGTTGACGATATGTTGGTGTCATGCCTCTAGAATATTATCTTTTAATTATATATCTTTATGGTTTATACAAAACTACTTTTGATGAAGCTCGATTTCACCTATCCATATCACTTCTCAGAATAAAATTTCAACGTCAGTCGTCGGTTCTACTACCATATTCCATAAAAACGTATCACACCAGTTTATGGACCCTCTGGTACACGAATGTTCAAAAAGAAAATTTTCTGGACTATAAATAGTGTTCTAGAAAATGTCGCTAGGATATAATTCTATGTCAGATTATTAAAACTAATTATATAACTTTTTCAGGATGTCTATGTGTTAGTGTCCTTGGTGTTTCTGTGCCTACAGATTGCTGAAAATTCCTTGATGGCCTGTCTCAGCAACCACATTACTAAACAAGAGCTTTATGATTGGGATAACTTCTGCATTTCAATTATTGCTGCAATTTATGTCCTCTTCCATATGACGTTCCTCATATATATCTACCTTACGGTGAGTGTATCACAGATTAAATGTTTCAGTTCCTCCTTAACTAACTGAATGTTAAATGATTACTGATGATTAACTGAATGTTCAGTATCTACTGGTGAGTGTATGTTCAATATGCTGGTGACTGAATGTTCAATATCTGCTGGTGACTAATAAATGCGCAGTATCTGCTGGTGACTAATTGTTCAGTATTTACCGGTTACTGACTGTTCATATATACCTGTATTATTGGTTTATTGGCGATTTGCAGATTATTTAGTTCCACAGCCGCAGGTGATTGAATGTTCAGCTCCACTGGTGACCGAATGTTCAGTATCTACTGGTGACTGAATGTTCAGTTCCACTGGTTACTGAATGTTCAGTATCTGCTGGTTACTGAATGTTCAGCATCTGCTGGCTATTAAATGTTCAGTATCCACTGGTGATTGAATGATCAGTATCTGCTGGTGACTGAATGATCAGTACCAATACTGGTAATTGAATGTTTAGTATCTACTGGTGACTGATGGTTCAGTTCCACCGGTTACTGAATGTTCAGTATCTGCTGGCTACTGAATGTTCAGTATCTACTGTTAACTGACTGTTCAGTATCTACCTGTGACTGAACGATTTAGTTATTTCGTTTAAACGAATTAATTATTTCGTTAAAACGAAATCTCTTTAAAAAAAAGTATGGAAAATTGCGCCTTCGTTTTGTTGTTAATACATTATATTAGTCCGAGACACCGAACTTCAGTAGTCACTTTCTGAAGATTTCAAAAATTTTGTGCGGGGCGAATGTCAAGTCTCTTGCTACGTCTGAAGGGAACTTGTGGAATCGAAGAGTTTGTGTCCATAAAGAATACCTTTGGTTCCGAAAGAGATACTTCTAAGGATAAAGTAGGTGAATAGAGCGATTGGTAATACCATGTTTAGTCTGGATTGACGGGGCACCAGTTCCATGGATTTAGTCATTCACAAGAGCAGGTTTCCACAAACTTCGGGTTGATCTTTATCATGCACCAATACCATATCTCCAATCTTTATGAGATTTGTAATGGCTTCAGACACTGTGCTTTTGACGATTACAATTTTCTGTGGTCAAAATACGACACGATTTATATCTGCTGAAAACACATGCATTATTTTTTGGATCAAAACAATTTGAAAAGTAGCAGATTAATCTCCGTTTCCACCTAAGGATGATTTCTTATAAGATTTATCTCATGATGAGTGTTCAGTTTATGTGAATAAACGATGATTATTTTATATTTCCCAGAGACAAAGCATATTAATAGACAATACCTAGAGTCCTTATTAATTATGTACGTCTAAGTACATACTTTATTCCTTAATGATACTAATCTTCTATATAGGGAGTCCACAGTTCACCGTAAGGTCTTCTGAATATTAATAACAAAAATCACTTTCTGATCCTCGAAATCTCATAATTACAATAGAAACAATAGATAGTCTGAAGTCTATATTATGTGGACAAGTTATAAGTTCAACTTTAAGTGTTGAACATCTGCAACGATTCTAAATTATTATATTATGCCAATTTTAGAGTGTTTAATTTTTGTTTAATTATCTTTTTATCTTTTAGCTTCTCTTAGCGAAGGATTAATATTTGAAAAGATATACAAAAATTAAACACTCTAAAATTGGCATCATATAATAATTTAGAATCGTTGCACGATGTTCAACACGTAATGTTGAACTTATAATTGCCATATGGTTATTGTTTTTTTGTAACATATCAACTATATAATGCAAAAAGTTCGATAATATTATTAATCGAAAGCATGTTATGATAAAAATGTGAGAATCCTGTCTTGTTGTGACGATAAAAACCAGAATACAAAATCAGTGCGAGTGAGAAAGACGTAGCATGGGGCGGAAATTGTGACGACATTAAATGTGAAAACTATATAATAATGTGCGTATAAATAAAGAAAAATATAACGAAAACACGTCTTTTATGTTAAAATCTTTATTCTTTAAATACCACGACTTATGGCTGTAGTTAAGCAGATAACGTTTTTTTATTGTTACGGAAATTTATTGTTTAATTCCCACGGGAAATCTCTTCAACTTCAAAACATTGTAAACGTTTTAATTTCTCCCCCAACTTCTCAACTTTGAGTAAAAAAAAACAAATTACTTGAAGGACAACTTAAGGGTGTCTGTGATCCCCTAAACATCCCCGACATCTACTTTACGAGTAAGTTTGTGACATAAATACGTGTTAAGTAAGCGGACTATACACGAAGAACTTTCTACCGTGAATGCTTGCGCTTTGTAACATACCTTGGTATTTAATGACAATCAGTGTTTTCTATACTATGTCCATCATTTTAGTATTTTAACAAATAAGGTGGTGGATCAGGACTACAAGCATATTTTAATTAAGCCCCTGAAAACAGAAACGGTGTAAAATATAGATCCAAAATATTAATCAAATGCAAAATTGGTGATCCGATAGTCACATTATACGTTAAATGCATACGTGTTAGAATTCTCTCAAAAAGTCTATGGAAAATATTCAGGATGCAATATTACTTCTACTGACGCATCGTTGAAAAAATTCTGGAAATAAAGAGGCTAGTCCCAGAATATCTCCACTCATTACCGATGAAGAATCGGCTGACAGTGCAAGGCCCGCTAACAGAACACGTGTGCACATAATAATTCGTAATTCACCAATTCATCAAATTGTCAGCCACGACAATCGTGCAGACACCGGTTTGCCTATAATTTCAACAATCTCTAATATATATGCTTATAAAAGTTGTGTAAAGCATTTTTCTGAAGTATATTCTTCATTTGTTGACTCACTGAAAAACCACACGACTATACATGATCGAGGAAACAGTTTATCAAGATTTTTTTGCTGCTTGAAAACTAATACGTCAATATTTTTTGAGGATTGAACACTATTTGTCAACTTTTTTTAATGTTTGAAGAGTATTTGTCAATGCTTTTTTTTATGCTGGAAGAGCCTATTTGTCAATATTTTTTGTGCTGGAACTACCTATTTGTCAAAATTTTTTACTTCCGAGGAAACTATTTGTCACCATTTTTTCCAAGATTTAATCAGTTTTAGAACTGATGACTGAAGTAGTGCTAAGATTAGAAAAAGGTGTTCAATAAAATTGGTCTATAATGAATATTATACATGGTTACAGATGATGTTGTCAATAATGAAAGATAAATTGGTCCCTTGTGTATTGTTAATTGCGAGTCTCGACAATGTTTCAGCTACTTAGTCTTAATATAACTGTAGTTTAAAGTTTTCATTTTAAACAAAATGTTGGCCTGTCCGAGATGAAGGGTGACATGCATGCATAAATGATATGACATGCTTCTGAAATGAAATGAATGGAATATTACGTCCTACTTTTCTGTACCATGTGGACTAATGAAGACAGGCAACACCATTTAGTGTGCAATGAAGGAAATTTTGCCAGGCCAGTAGCATTAGCCTGCTCTTTTTCGATTTCCAACTGTCGAGGGATCTTTAACGTGCACAGCATGTAGCACACGGAGCCTTGGTGGTTTATTGTCCAATACGAACGACTAGACGCTTTTTCCATGTAGGCCCTTCTTACCTGCATCACTAACAGGTGGAAACCGGGTTGAAAAATCCGAAGGATCCTATTCCGGGATTGAACCCTGGACCTTGAGGTAAGCTAGCAAGCGTCTAACTCACTGAATCACTATCAAACAAAAGATTCGCCACTAATTTGAAAGTGGATTTTAGTGCACAATAGAAATCGTGTAAACCATCATGATATATCAGAACAGTGTCGAGTTTTAACAGAATTGAATATACTTACTGAGCTATTATAACATCCAAAATATAACCCCTATTTCCATCAGTTGACAAGATAAGGATACGTCAGTGGCTTACCTATTTCCGACAAACGACAAAATACTTATCGTTAAGTGTACGGAATTACAGAAGCTCTTATATGTCAAGGTTGATTACATTTTCAATCGTCTGATCAACTTCCAGACTTGAGAAGATAATTTACATCCTGTATCGAATTTATTTCATAAAAGTTGGGAAACAAGAGTGATAGCCATATCTTATCTCTATTTTAATATTGCAAATGACAAGAAAATGAAAAATATCATAGTTTAGTGATAGGCTGTAGTCTGGATCTTTGTCACCCTTATGCTACTAGAGTCATCTGCATCTGATTGAACCAATGAAGACGGGCAACGCCATGTAGCGGGAAAATTTGCCAAGAGTATGGAATTAGCCCATTCTTTTTCGATTTCAATCTGTCAAAATTTGGGTCCACAGAACGTCCTATATCCATCAGTGTCGGGGCTTACATTAGGAGAGTACATCTTATACACCTTATACCGACAGTTAGAAGCCATTTTGAAAATCTGAAGGCATAAAGCCACCCCCTCCCCCACCACACCACACCTCCCCTCCTCTCTTCTCCTCTCCTTCGGATGCAAACAATCAAACCAACTTTACTCGAAGGTTCAACAATTTGAAAGAGAGTAATTATTCAAGTCTATTTAAGACGCTGATAGTGACAGATATTTTTATTTTAAACGTAGTATGGAATATCAATGAACTTTGTTTACCATAAATTTCAACATTTCAGTCTCAGATGTTCATTTAACTGTAATTGTTCAAAGAACTAACTTAAATATCGAATGGATTAACAATTAAACACAAGATTTTCCATGAATTCGCCTTTAGGGTTGGTCTCTGAAATAGTGTATATGTATAGGTAGTGTCCAAAACCTACTGTCTTTGCACATTGGTTAATTGTATTATCAGCTTCAAAACAGAAGGCTACAAACAGAATATAAACACCCTTGCCTTCCGGAAATTTCAACGGAAAATGTCTAATTTTTTGCTAAAAATTGACACTGTTCAACCACTGCGTATATATACTACTGCACATCAATTGTCAGACCTAATACTTGTATCTGAGCTATCTTGGCTATTAATGGCAATATTGTTTGACTGGATTTGCTAACTACGCTTCCTTTTAGTATATACATGTTCAAAGCAAAAATTGATACTGTATTCACCATTGATCTTTTAATGGTGGAAGGAACAAAGCATAAAATATCAGCCAAAACATGGTAAACATATAGACAATCCGAGTTAAAACTGATCCTTATTTTCTTTGTACTACTCTCAATAGCCTGGAAACATGATTATCGAAGATGCAAATGTCAAAGGTTAAATATTGTCGGGTATCCTTTGCAGTGGAACATTTTGGACTTTCCATTTCAGTTACTTTAGTGGTAAGTTCCTTTGTACCTCAATGTGAACATGAACAGGAACAATTCTAATTATATTATATGTTTATAATTTCAGGCTTACAGAAGAAGAAGGTTGATGGAACAAAAGGACAGATTATATCAGGTGAGATGATTTACTTGTGCTAAACTAGTTCCAGCGGTCATCTCAAAGGACTACTATATCTTAAGACTAAACAAAGATGAAATAGAATTAATCAACTGTTATTATTATTTTCCGATCTCCATATGATATGCAGTTTTGATGAGGCAGATGCAGTAAGGTCTGTATGCTATCTTGGAAACTGTTTGCATGGAAACAATATTGTTAGTTCCTAGCTATAATAATTGTCATCACTAATGCTTTATTTTCAAGAAATGAAACATCTTAGCGGCTATTATGTTCAATATAATTGTAAGATTGTTTCTTGTTCTGGCGTCCATAATTAGATATATTAAGGTTAGTGATGTTTAATGGTTTATTTTCAGGCTAAAAGACGTCATTTAGAAAGATACGGAGTTATGATGAAACCCTATCAAGCTGATGCTTTAGCCATTAAAATGAGTCAACTAATGTTTCAATGAATATCTTTGACTCCACCTTCACAATGTCAAGCTATAACGAACTTTGTCTTGTACCTTGACTGCAAAAGCTACATTTCTTATATCACGGACGTTTGTAAATACAGCGATTTGGTTAGAATTTACGTTAGAGAATACAGCCATTCAGAATACGGCAGAAAGTCAGTAAACAATAGGCCATAGAGCCTCTATCATTCAGCCCCTCTATGTCTACGCACAGCTTCAACGAAAGATGGCCTGGATTGGTTTCTTAAAATCTTTGAGTCTGCACGGGCTATTTAATCTGATTGGTTGTAAATCCACATCAGTTTTGGTGATGAGAAGCATTAATTTAAGATAATTCAGTGAATTTGATAATGACTTTTAATCGATAAATATAACATCCATCAATAATGATATCAAATAAAAATTTAAAAAACTTGTGGGGGTTGCCAATTTGTTATGGTTGTAAACAAATCGATTTAGACTTGAAGATCGAATATGCTTAATTGTTGTAATCTCCCTTGAGAGTTTCATAACAGAAAATTCAATGAAAACTCCCAGACTATATCCTCGTCGAGACTATAAGCCATATTGTTTAAAGTTTCCCTGTTGAGGGTTGTGATGGGCTGTATTCGCTAATGTAAATTTAATCCAAATTGTTACAACCTGTGATAGGCCTATAGAGGTGTCTATTGCAAGGAATAAAACGAAATTCGCAATACCTTCACCATTGCTAAGATGTGGACTATCCTGTTTGGGTAACGGTTGACCTTTCAAACGGCATTAAAGGGATGCTACGTTTTAGGATGATCATAAAATTTTAATTTTGCTCAAATTTGATCCTTGACATCTATGAGAACGTTGGTTAGTTTCTAGTTTCTGGAGTTTCTTTTCATGTAGAGTTAGGCTACAATAACATAAAATTCTCACTGTTGAAATAGTTTTCAATACATCAATCGTTGAGCGACATAGAAATATTATCCTGAAAATCACGAGACTGCATTGTCCTCTTAGAATCGTCGTAGGCAATCACCCCTCTTACTTATTTTGAGACATTGAGAAGAAGCTGTCCAATAATTTTGGCTTATTTAAGTTGACACAACGTATCTAGGCTATTGCTGGGTATTGTCAATCATGTCACGATACGATACATATCGCGATATGGGGTAATGGGATAAAAGTTAACATTTTATCTTCAAAGTTTCAATATTTGATTATAACTTTACAATTGTAATATTTCGTACTATAGTTGATAGAAGTGGTTAGCGTTCACTGTCTTAAAAAAAAGTTTCTAACAATTTCAGTGAAAAAAATGTATATATCATGAAACAACTCATAAACATCCGCACTTTTTTATGGAATAAAAGGTATCGCCAAGTATCGATAGGGCCTACACGTCGTCGCGATACGATACGCGTATCGTGTCATGTCGTATTGCGATACATTGATTTGCCGACACATCGTGCCAGCACTAGTCTAGGCTATATAAGTCATCCCACACTGCCTTATGATCAATTGGGTATTGTCTTTAATTGTCCGAATTATTTCAAGGACCCTGCACTGCGTAGACCCTAGGAAAGAGTCTTCAACAGCCCATAATCGGATATGTACGAATGAAAAATTTCATTTTAAATAACAAAGGGTTAGTTTTGAAAGGCTCCTGCAATCAAGGGAGGTAACTGTACTTATCAAAAAAAGCAGAGTAGCTTCCCTTGTTTTGTCGTCTGTAAAGAAAGAAGATGGCGTCACTTTCTTATTCGTGTTAGTGAAGGAAAGTCAAAAATCTAATTTTTCTCTCAGTTTTTCATTTTTCAATGAGTAAATCAAAATATATCTTTACATAATGTCAAACCAAATCATTAAGCCACACAGTGATCCTCTTAGCTCGAATTCACCCACAAATGAAGGAAATCTAAACCAAACTCAAAACCATGTCCATAGCCAAATGCAGGAAGTCCATAGTTTTACTCCGGTTAAACTTGCTGATACCTTCCGTAGACTGGTGTTTACAATGGAAAAGGGCAATACTATTATGCAAGGTTGTACTAATGCCGTATCCAACTTGAATCAAAAGGTTGCGCCAGAGCAAAAACAATTTCTTGGTGATCGAAAAGATAAGGTTTGTTTACATTTTTGTATGTTGACAATTTTGTAACCTACAACATAACAGAGGAAGAGGTTAGGATAATCATTGATACAGTGAAGAGTGAATGATAGACTTATATACATCAGTACAAACGAAAAAAGGTCTAATAAGACAGTCAGGGAAATGTCCAATTACCACCGCAATTTTTGCAGAGATAAAAGCTCCGGCCCTTCGTAGTATGTTGCCAATCAGATAAGAAAAGAGCCTTATTACAAATAGTTCTAAAAACTTTTCACGTCTGGGTGTTGAATTACTTGAGGCGGTTTGATTTTAATATTTTACTTTACTTCAAATTTTCCATAGTCGTTGTGTCATAATATTTTTCAGGTGACAGTAGAACTGAAATGTTCCTTTTTGCAAATCTTAAACATCGACACAGTAGGTCAGTGTTTTGAGGCTGAAGTTTTTGTTCAAGCGAAATGGCAAGAACCAGCCTTACAAAAGGCGGCAGAGCTAAATGTATGATTATTTCACAAAATAACAGTAAATATTTACTTCTACGTCTACGTCATGAGAATCTCAATATGCAAATTTAGGTACTTTGAAAATATATAATTGCTGAAAGTGTTAAATAATCTGCAGAAATGTCAACTTTTTATGGCGACTCGGGCGTCTCTAGTGGTCTAGAGAATCAGCGAACTGAACAAGTGGTTTATATTTTACGAAATTCTATCGATTGACCTTAAGAGTTCCAAGACAAATGCTGGGCATCAGCGGCGAACTAGACGACAACGCACTATGAATACTTCCCAGTGGCGGCACCAGCCTCTTCAGACTGGAGGTATAAATAAGCGGCAGACTGACTTAGAAAACTGTCTAGGTTCAAATTGAAAATGTTGCATCTCTGTGGAAGCTCGTAGTTGCGAGCCTTACATTAATCCTATAAAAGATTTCATGCCCAAGACAATTTTTGAAAAATAGAATTGATTTGGACACATATTTTAACGCATCTTTCTACCAAACGTACAATGCTCACTGGGATAATGAAACTTCTTTTTCTTTTGTAGGATAAAAGCATGTACGATCCTAAGGAACACTGGATACCACGAATGACTATTTTAAATGCAAATGGAGATTTAACATTCAATAGACGAAATTTTTCAGTACATTTTAATCAAAAGGGTTACAAATATCCAGTTGTTACCTTACTTTGGAGATTTAAAGGCAAATTTCGAGAAAATTTGGAGTTGGAACATTTCCCTTTTGACGTTCAGGTTTTTAAATGTTTTATATCCAAATTACTATTTTAGCATTATATTTCAGGTTATTATATTAAAGGGCAAGACCGGTTTATTTTCAACGTGAAGAATTGCGCTAATTATGCGTAGAACTATATCTAAACCCATTATATATTTTCTACAAATTTATCTAAAGTTTTCTATTATAATTGATACTAGGCCGATGATTTCTCGTGAATGGTTTCTTAGCTTCTTCCGAGACTACGGACATGCGCAGAATCTTTTGTTCACAAGTGCCGACGAATTTTCGATCAGAAATATAAAAATTAACTTTGTTAGTGTACCTCTTCGGTTGGTACATGTACATTATGGATTATTATAATAATGATTCCGGTCGGAAATATATGTAGTTAACGCTGATTGGTTCAATTGGCCCAATCAAAATCGAGTTCTCATAATCATAAATATCTAAAAATAACGTGCTCACAATTGGGTAGTCGCTATTTTCCAGAATTGTAAAAATGGAGGCGGCGAGATTTAAAACGCTAGCGTAATCGTTTAAGAATTCTTTTATCGATTGTGAAGACCACAAAAATTCATTGGAAAAAACGGTCTAGCCCTTTAAGTAGTATGGACACAATGCAATCGTATCTACTGTGCCTGACAATAACCTCGTATTAGACAACTTCCGTCCGCCATTGTTGACATCTGACCAGTCTCTGACACCCAGACGTCTCCTGTCTACGAGACTAGTCTTCAAGGGAGATAACTAACATCTAGCGAACTATTAAACTATTATTAAACTACTAACAATTAAAGATTTTCTTCCATCTGCATTCAAGCGGGAATGACCACCGTAGATACGATTGTGCGATTGTCATTGACAGTGATAAAGGTCAATAATTACCAACCAGATCAAAGTTAATCTTTTAAAACACATAATTCCACAGGCATTCCCTTTGCGGAGTCCAATAGTTAAATAAAAGTTAGTCCGGATTTGTATTTAATTTATTCAATCAATTAAAGGTATACTACCTCTTAGGATGACCAACCAGTTGACCTACCTGGTGTCAACACCCCCTATAATCCAATAAATCTATAAGAATAAGTAATAATTTATCAAACTAGGTTGGATTTGTTGCAAATAATTACTCAATTTAATGGATATATCGTATTTTCTATCAGATGGCGCCTGGTAAGTCCAACTGATATATACTGTAACACATAAGACTATCATAACATTTATTCTTGGTCAGCTGTCTACAGGTTACAACATTACTATCAGGTTACAACATCTAACTAATAGGTTACAACATCTAGGTTATCTTGGTCATGTGGTCAAGAGGACAAACCACCTTCTTTTTCTTTTTTTTTTTATTTATTCTTAGCTGTTCACTTGGGGAAAGATCATCTACGTGATCTTTTGCCGGTCTCTTTCAGCGTGAGGATCATTCTTCTTTCTGATTGGTTAAAACCAAATATAAATATTTCAGCATTAGGATAATCCTCATTTCTGATTTGTTAAAGCCTAATCTAGCAATCTGATTGGAGGATAGGACTTCTTTCATGTTGGTTGTTGATTGGCTAGGTCTCTGACAATGAGAACGCCGACATTGCCTTGTCCCAGAAACACAAAGTATAATCTTGTTGTATAAGTTAATTTACCTGCGCTCAGAACAAAGAGGGATAAGTGTCAGGGCCGCAAGGTGTTAATAACTTTAGACATAGATGTAAATGCTGCGTGGGGACTGACAAAAGAAGTTTAATCAAGTTATTAATTGGCTTTCAATGCAAGCTATTAGCACCTGCCCTTATCCATCCTAATGATACCTTGTGTAACAATACTCTCAATGACCAAGTCAATTTTAGTCTGCAAATCTAGTATTCTTTTAAAAACCTTATTTATGCAAAGATAGTTTTTTGTTTCGTATGGCTTTAAAGTTTAAACTGTACGACTCAAATTGTCTGATTTCATATTTTGAGATTGTAAACTGGGTGTTTACGTTTTGAAATTTCTATGGAGTTATTTCTAGATAGTTATCTACAGATTTGTAAGTTTCTAACTGATTTCACAGATACATTTAGTATTGCTGATTAGAAGATTGAATTGAAATTAATTGGATTATGTGCAATTGACAGAAAATGTCAATCCTGTCTCCAACATAAAAAGTGGTTAAGATTCTTTAAGAAACTTAGATTAAGTATGGATGGTATCAGACGTTCTATATTCAATGTGACATTTTGTTTTACTTTAATCCTTTATATCCACGTCACACCGAACTGCGGCCATTTGCGATCTTAAAGCGATTAAAAATGTACTTGATCGCCGGCACAAGTGAAACATTACGAGAAAGAGATCCTATCCACTTGCGACATAAAATACTATATTACCTTACAAAGGCACGTTTCTAATAATATCTATTATTTTGTTTATGGAGGTGTTAAGACACTTGTCTAAAGATATTCTCGATTCCATGGCTATTATTGGCACAATGGTCCCCACCGTACCGTCGCCATAGCACCTTAGTAGGGACGCCTTTTAAGTGTCGGGGCTATTAAATTTGTGTCTTTTGTGTGTATATAATGTAGACCGGAACTGGGTAGAATTTTAATCTGAAAAGTGTTATGGATAAATGTTAATATTTCAGCTAAGAATTTTTAATTTTTCAGGATCTAACAATTCAATTATCAACAGAAAGGTCGGCCGATGAAGTTGATTTTATCGAAGATCAACAGGTTCTTTCTACAGTAAATACCGGAACGTTTCAGAATTCTGGAGAATGGAACATATACGAACATGTTGAAACATTCAAAGATTCAACAACAAGGGAATATGTTAGTTCGACCGTCCATCCGATTTTATTCGCCCAATGCCGAGTCAAGAGAAAATTCGGGTTTTATATGTGGAATATTGCTTTCATCGTGGTATGTATTCTTATCCGTGAACACTCTCATGGTTTTATTTTCACCGTTTTCGTGTAAATAGTTGTAATCTCACAAGATGTAAACCGACCACTCCCTCCTTTGGCCCGTTTACAAGAGATGGATTTCAGCGTTTACGTTATATAAGCGATTTTGTATACGTTTGAAGCTTGTAGTTGTAAAACAGTGTGTTTATTTCAGTATAATCAAAATTTGACACTCTTACCAAAAGTCAAGCAAATTTAAGCAAATCTTCCTGTGATCGATTCAAATGAAATGAATATCTGTCTTTTCAGGCATTAATTTCAAATTATACATTTTTAATGGGGACAGAAGAACCAGATAAGGTAGATAGGATGTATAATAATGCCACATTGTTAATGACTGCTTTCGTTTTTAGAATGTCTATTACCCAAACCTTACCTGCCATATCGTATCTTACTTATTTGGTAAGTATTACAAATAGACTAAACAGACAATTTTCATTGAAAACTAACTGCTTCGTTCTTTACATTTTCACTTATATAACTTAATTTTCAAATCGAGTCGAGGAAAAGTAGCCGTGATGAAGCACTTGATAATATTAAGTTGGCGGGGTGATTGTTCTTAATCTAATGTTTTCATCAATAACGTAAAGTAGATCATATACTAATAAATAAGTTTATTGTCTAATTAATGTCACGTAATGTGCGTTGATCATAGCATCACGAATCAATAAGAAGGGTAGTTTATATTTACAATTCGGAAAAACATCTCAATAAAATTCTGAAGTTCTGCTACTATACTCCATAAAAACGTATTTAACCTGTTAAAGTGGACCCGATAGTACCCGGATGTGCAAAAAATATCGACTGTAGATGGTGTTCTAGAAAATGTCGGTAGGATATAATTCTTTGTTACTCTATTGAAACTTATTAAACTTTTTCAGGATGTTTATGTGATAGTCTCCTTGGTGTTTCATTGCCTACAGATTGCTGAAAATTCTTTGATGGCCTGTCTCAGCAGGCATATTAGTAGAGAAGAGCTTTATGATTGGGATATTTTCTGTATTTCAATTTTTGGTGTCATTTATTTCTTATTCCATATCATGTTCCTGGTATATATCTACCTAACGGTGAGTATCATTTCTGTGAGGAAAATATTAGCAGATACTGAAATTCAGACGACCATCATTCACAGACTAAATGTTCAGTACCTCCTTCACTTACTGAATGTAATATGATTACTGGTGAATAAATGAATGTTCAATATCTACTGGTGACTGAATGTTAAATATATACTAGTGACTGAATGTTAAATATATACTAGTGACTGAATGTTCAAGCTCGACTAGGGACTGAATGTTCAATAGATATATTGGTGACTGACTGCTCAGTAATGTTCAATGTCGACTGAATTTTAAATATATATATATACTCTGGTGACTGAATGTTCAGACACGACTGGTGACGGAATGTACAGTATCTAATGGTGACTGAATGTTCAATATCTACTGGTGACTGAATGTGCAATATCTACTGGTGATTGAATATTCAGTATCTACTAGTGGCTGAATGTTCAATATACAAACTGGTGACTGAATGTACAGTATCTAATGGTGACTAAATGTTCAATATATACTGGTGACTGAATATTCAATATCGACTGGTGATTGAATGTACAATATGTACTGGTTACTGAATGTTCAGTATATACTGGTGACTGAATGTTAAGTATCTGCTGGTGATTAAATGTTTGGTATGTATTAATTGAATGTTTAGTATCCATGTTGAGTGGATGTTCAGTATCTATTAGTGAATGAATGTTCCATAACTACTGATGACTAAATGTTATTCAGCCGTCAGTCATGGTATTTAAAGGGCTTATAAAGCGGTTTCCTAGCCTTTTATGTGCATTTGACTTCTATTTTGGACATTCCAATTCTTCCAAAGAAAGAGTTAACCGAAAATGACACAGCTTCCACAAGAGAATTTGTAACCAACCTACCACCATAAGGACTCACTCCACTAATTCATTTACCATCTCTTCCCATGTCATGTTACACGAAATTCAACCTTCTACAACTTTTTCTAGAAATCTCCCTGAAAGCTTTCCAATATATCGAATGAAAGCCTGACCAATCCTTAATGTCTCCTAAAAAATTAAATACATGATGACCCTGAAAATTTTGAGCTACCAAAATTGAAAGTAGACTAGCGTTCAAACGTTGTAAAGATTTGACAAGTAACTTTAATGTGTTTGTACCCCAATGTGAACATGAACAGGAACAATTCTAATTATATTATATGTTTATAATTTCAGGCTTACAGAAGAAGAAGGTTGATGGAACAAAAGGACAGATTATATCAGGTGAGATAGCTGTCGTCTCAAAGGACTACTATATCTAAAGACCGAACTATTTGCAGGTGCAGTGAGATCTTAAACAAATTCAAAGATACTGATGTTTCGATTAACTGTTTTTGATTATTACTCTCGATTCCATGTATCAAGATCAGTTACTTATCGTCATAGAGGGTTAAGTTTTCCTTGCAATAACAAAAACTTTATAAAGTGTAGAATCCACAAGTGCCGTTCAATTTTTAAATGAACAGGGCGACACCCGAAAGTCTTTCAAGACATATTGGTTTCGATAGACGATAGGCACGTTTTTTAATGCAGCTATTCCCTGACAACCCACTCTCTCCATTATCCATCAATTTAAATTACTACAGCCGATTTTGATGATTATTTAGATCTTTGTCAATTGCTTGACATTACTTGGCATAAAAAGCACATAATTTCTCAGCGTTCGACATGTATGTTATCTTGATTATCTTTTTGTATAGATTTTAGCAAAAAAATGGAAACAATATTGTTAGTTCCTAGCTATAATAATTGTCATCACTAATGCTTTATTTTCATGAAACGAAACATTTTAGAGACTATTATGTTCAATATAATTGTAAGATTGTTTCTTGTTCTGGCGTCCATAATTAGATATATTAAGGATAGTGATGTTTAATGGTTTATTTTCAGGCTAAAAGACGTCATTTAGAAAGATACGGAGTTATGATGAAACCAAACCAAGCTGATGCTTTAGCCATTAAAATTAGCCAACTAAAGTTTCAATGAATATCCTCGACTCCATCTTCACAATGCCAAGGTATTACAAACTTCGTTTTATACCTTGACTGCAATAGCCACCTTTCTTGTATCACGGAAGTTAGTAAATACAGCGATTTGGTTAGATTGTACGTTAGCGAATACAGTCAACCAAGGCCTCGACATAAAGTCTGGAAACAATAAACAATAGTGTTTAAATTCGCTGAGGTACATACAAATCAAATCGTTGCATTCTATGATACAATAAGGGTGTCTAATGTCATCAAGACATAAGACGGAATTATGAATACCTTGACCATTGCAAAGATGTACCCAGTTTGGATAACTGCTTTACTTTTCATACACTTTAAAAACTTGTTGACAGCATTAAAAAAAAACCTACTTGCAGCATGACAGCATGAATTGGAAATCATCTACGAAGATTTTAAAAGAATTTGAAATAATAGTAATCTTATATAGTCATCAGATCTTCAATTCTTCAATTTGTTGTGAAAGGAACCTAGGGGAACTGAGTCGATTTTCAATTCCATGACATTTATGAGAATGTTCGCTATAAATGTCTGGGCAGTATTTTAATGAAAATTACACCTACATATTTCTGTGATAGTTGTTGAATAATGTTATTGTTTTATTGCCTTGTTTGTGCTTCTTATTTGTAATATTTCTTAAATTCTACAAAGTGTTATAGTACGTTACAAATTAATATTGTCGTTTTTAATGGCACGTAATTAAATAATCTGTACTGTACTTCGTTCATCCATTTAAAGTGATAAATTTACTAGTGAATCTAGTGAAACCAGTACCGGTACAAAAAAATCTAATAAAAATAAATAATATAAAGAAAGTGTTTTGGCGAACTAAATCTTGGGATACCAAACCAAGATGATACTTACCAAACCAACGCATACCTACCAAACCGAAGTTTTACTTACCAAACTAAGATATAACTTACCAAACCATGGTATAAAGACCAAAGTGTAAGTTACCAAACAAAGGTGCGACTTATCAAACCAAAGTGTAACTTACTTAACTAAGGTACAACTTACCAAACCAAGATATTACTTATCAAACAAAGATATAACTCAGCAAAGTGTAACTCACTTTACAAATCAATGAATGGAGTTATACGTCCTACTTTTCTGCACCGTGTGAGCTAATGGAGACGGATGTCAAACACAGGTGCAACTTACCAAACCAAATTGTAACTAACTTTACCTAGATACAACTTACTAAACCGAGATATAACTTACCAAGTTTTACTTACCAATTAAGGTATAAAGATCAAAGTTAAAGTTATCAAACAAAGATGAAAATTATCAAACCAAAGTGTGCCCAAGGTACAAGTTACCAAACGAAAGTGTAACGTAACTCGCTAAACAAAGGTGAAATTTGTAGCGAAAACTAATAGCATTTCTGGTTTGATCTTTTTTGTGATAGTTTCCAAAGTGAATATATAAAACGCTGTTGCATAGCCGGAAGTGACATATGGCATATTGTGCAACGAATTTGTTTGGAGGCTGTAGAGTTTGTTTATTGCCTGATTTACCTCGAGTTTTCTTTTTAATATAAATTTTAACAAGATGTTTTGAATGCCATTGAAAAAATTTTATGTTGAAAAAATTCGCATGAAAATTTTCTGAAAGTTACAGGATATTGACAGACTGTCAATCTGTAAATCGAAAAAATGCATCATCATTTGTATACGCCGTTACCTTAGAGTGACGCACTTTCGTAAAATTTTAATAACTTTACCATTTTATGACTTTTAATGACCTAGAAATTTTTAATGTAGAATGTCCTTGATCTTGTTCAATCTATAGATATGCTGATATTGGTTGAAAATTATTAACTTCCGGTTTAATAGACATCCGAAAATTTAACAAATATAGGGTTAGTCCTCTTTCCATCGATAATGTATCCTTAAGTATTTATTCCATATCGATTTGGTTATCATAATCTGAATGTACTTTTTATTCTCTTTGAAATATATATCTTCATGGATGGTTTAAAACAATATTTCAAATCATTAAATTTAGCAGATGAAAAAAATGAAAAATCCATTGTTTTGTCAATTTATGGTGTTAAAAACGATTGACCGGTGTTAAAGAGGGCTGATAATAAAACAGTTGATTTGACATTAGTCGTCTAACACACAGATTCCAAAACAGAGGTTGCACCAGTATTTTATGTAAAAATTATGTTAAATTGAATTGTTTAATTCCTTATTTGTGCTTTTAAACTCATTAATCTCAATTTTTTTCTGCAATCATGAATTAGTGTCGCTAACAAAGAGCTATCACACATAATAATTACGTCAGTATTAAAACAACAGCAAAAGTTGAATATTTGGGAATAAAAACGCCAATACAAAGTACTACGGCCAGTAAATATACATGAAATAGGCTTTAGACCAAACCAAGACGATATTGGGTTCACATAATGAATAATAACAAATCCAAATTCTTTCTAAATAGGAAGCACATTTTTCAAGTCTAGGTTTCAAAGTCCAGATTATCCACAAAAAAAATTTCTATTTGTCTTTATACTTTAAAGAATTTTGAGGTGACATTTCTGGAGTGCAATCATTTACTTGTTTTTTAAACGCACCAGGGTTGACAGCAAACTAGAATTTCCAATAGGTCAAAATGCCATGGGTTTAGTAAGTTACATCTTGGTTTTATGAGTTACACCTTTTTTTGGTTATTTGTCGCACAGCTTTGTTTGGTAAGTAACATCATGATTTGGTATTTTGCTAAATCAAACCATGGTTAAGCAAGTTGTACCTCAGATTGGTAAACCATGGTTTAGAAAAATATACCCCAATGGCAAGCCACTTTATTTTTATCAAATTTCAAAATATGATTTTTATACGTGTTGGCCCCTAAATATGTGTCAGGATGCACTAAATCAATTCAATTTTTTGAACATTTTCTTGGGAGAACCCTCTCAGACGCCTTATGAGGGGTTTCCCTTTTTGTACCCACAGTTTCAAAGGCTAGCGCTGCCACTGTAAGTTTGATCATTTGCACCAAGATGTTATACTTTGTTAGTTACACCAGGATGCTCCTACTTACACCAAGGTTTGATCATTTGCAGCAACATGCTATACTAGCTTTGACCAGTTACACCTAGAGTGTACCAGTTACACCTTTGTTTCGTGGAAGATAATCCGAGATAGTCAGTTAAACTTTGTTTCGAGCAGTATTCCAAGACGCTGCTGATTACACCTAGGTTTAGCTACTTACAACTAGAATGTGTCAGTTTCACCTAGGTTTCGTGCAAGATTATTTATGGTGGTGTTGGTAATACCAGGTTTGGTCAGTTGTATCAACGAAGCCACTTATTTCGTTTCTCTTAATGTTTATCGTATGCAGTTAGAATTGACCAGCTTTCAATGTCATCGAATACACTTCTTTGCTCCGTTCGTTGTGTTCGTTATTATAAAGCGTGGCAATCAATCGAGTCCCATACCTTAGAAGAAATGACTTTAGTGCAAAATTGGGATATAGTGCTAAGTGGCAGTTCGGTGGAACTTTTTAAAAGAGGTCCCCTCAGTCTAATTAAAATTAGACCCTTTTTTAATTAGCTTTATTTTTGATATAGACACTTCAGTTAGGATCTAACGACAGCCCTCTTAAAGGTTCGTCAAAAAAAAACTTTTGATAAAATATTTATTTCATTTATTTATTTAATAAATATTACAAATAACAAGCACAAACATGTCAACAAAGCAATAACATTATTCAACAACTATCACAAAGACATATATAGCGAACTATGTATCCGAAACAACAAATGGAAGAAATGTTGAAGATTTAATTACTATACGTCAATATAAGCTTACGATTATTTTAAATTCTCAGAAACCTGTGATTTCCATTTCGAAGATTGAATCATGCTGCACACAGTTTTTATCTTATGCAGTCAGCATAATGTATGATGTATGAAATACCCACACAGGAGTCTAAAATATTCACAGAAACTTCAGTTGACTCAATTAGCTTGATTTGGTTTCAGCATAACTCCGTATCTTTCTAAATGATATCTTTTAGCCTGACAAAAAATAAAACATAAAAAAACACATTAAACATCACTAACCTTAATATATCTAATTATGGATGTCAGAACAAGAAACAATCTTACAATTATATTGAACATAATAGCCTCTAAAATCTTTCCTTTCATGAAAATAAAGCATTGGTGTTGACAAATATTGGAAGGAATTTGTTGAAATGGCAAAGAATTGTTTGCTACAAATTCATAAAAAAAATAGTGTCCCAAATAACATACACCAAGGTCGAACGTTGAGCAATAATATGCCTGCTTTTTATTGCCCGTTTACTTTTCAAAGACAAACACAGGACAACGACCGACTTATTAATCATCAAAATCTGTTGTAGAGGACATCAATGGCATAGATGTCAAAGATTTAAATGGATTGGTGGTTGGGAAGGGTGTTGAAATATCGGTATGAAAAATACGCCTTTTATTGTTTACTATCGTCGGTCAGTATTTCGCTGAAAAAAGACATTTTTAAGATTATTTTCTCCTTTTATACTTCATTGTGTTATATTTCATATTATATCTATATTTCATTTTATATCTTATTGTAAATCGTTGTACTGTTAGATTTGTATGCTGCCCACAATGAGCGTATATGCAATAAAATCTGTTCTTATCTTAGATAGCCTCCCTCCCCCAAATCCCTAACATATGTTGACAGCCTGTTAACTCTCAATAACTTGATAAATGTTCTTGTCGTCCAATTCACTATAATTAGTAGTTTCGAAACTTATAATTCTATAAGATTGCAGTTTATCGTGTCTGACTTTCGTGTGTCGTTCTCATCATTGTAAAGTCGATCGATAACTGGATGTTATAAAGGTTTTGTTATTTCAAGGAAAACTTAACCCTCTATGACGCTAATCAGTTGATCTTGATACATGAAATCGAGGGTTATAATTCTAAAAAAATTAATCAAAACATTAGTATCTTTGAATTTGTTCGAGGTTTCACTGAAAGTACCTTCAAAACTGTATACCAATATAGATATGAAAAAATAATATCAAAGTTTACTGATTCTATTTCATTTTTGTTCAGTCTTCAGATATAGTAATCATTTGAGACGACAGCTGGAATTATAGTTTAGTACAAGTAAATCATCTCACCTGGTATAATCTGTCCTTTTGTTCCATCAACCTTCTTTTTCTGTAAGCCTGAAATTATAAGCAAATAGAAATGTTCTTGTAAATAATCACATTGGATACAATGGAAATAAGAACTAAAGTAGCCTAACTGGTCGGTTAACTGCATGGAAAGTCCGGAATGGTCTCACTGCAGAGGATATCCGACAATATTTGACCTTTGACATTTACATCTAAAACAATCATGTTTATAGGCTATTGAGAGTTGTACAAAGAAAATAAGCAATAAAGATACTGATCAGTTTTAACATGGATTGTCTATATGTCTATTAAGACTACCATGTTTTGACTGAAATTTTATGCTTTGTTCCTTTCATCATTACAAAACCAATGGTGAATGCAATGCAGTATCATATTTTTAGTCTTTACGCAGTGGTTGAAAAGAATTCAAAAAACAAAAATTCTATATTCCATCAGTAGCCTACTGTTTAGAAGTTTGCAATAAAACTGACCGACGAAAGTGCTAAAACAGTAGGCTTTGGACGTTATCTTCATCAATTTCTTTGAACATTACATGTATATATACAAAAAAGATGCTGAGTCTTTACGCAGTGGTTGAAAAGAATTTAAAATAAAAAATTCAATATTCCATCAGTAGCCTACTGTTTAGAAGTTTGCAATAGAACTGACAGACGAAAGTGCTAAAACAGTAGGCTTTGGACGTTATCTTCATCAATTTCTCACTATTTCAGCAACCAACCCTAAACATAAACATTTACATGTATTGCATATGAACAAGGAAAATTCAAAGAAAATCTTGTGATTTATTGCTAATCTATTCATTAATATCTCTGTTAGCTCGATGAGTCGTCTCAACAGGTAAAATGGAAACAATCACAGTTACATGAACATCTCAGACTGAAATGTTGAAATTTATGGTAAACAAAATTCATTGATATTCCATACTTATACGTTTAAAATAAAAATATCTGCACTATCAGCGTCTTATTTAGACTTGAACAACCAGAATCTTTCGAATTCTTTGATTATTGTTACAGACTGCGTGCCTGGAAAAATATCTTTCGTTACATGGCGTTGCTCGTCTTCATCATATAAATCAGGTGCAGAAAAGTAAGATGTATCTGTACAATGTTACTTGGTTTTTGATAAATTGTTCAGAATATGCATGCCCTTTCTATAGCACGAATTTAAATAGTACAGACTCGTGTAAGAATCTGGGATGGCTGTTTTTTTTTGTTTTTTTTTTTTTAACTAAAATGGCACTTCAACTGACTATAACGGAAACGTATATGTCATCTTTACACACCAATACAGGTGTAGAGGTTAGGTTATCCACACTAAATCCGTGCAACAGTTCATCACTAAACCATGATAATTCAACGTCATATTTTCTTGTCATTTGTAATATTAAAAAAGAGATAAAATATGGCTATCACTCTTGTTTCCCAACTTTAATATTGTAACAGACAAGAAATAAATTCGATACAGGAGGTAAATTATCTTCTCAAGTCTGGAAGTTGATCAGACGATTGAAAATGTAATCAACCTTGACATATAAGAGCTTCTGTAATTCCGTAAGTATTTTGCCGTACGTTGGAAATAGGTAAGCCACTGACGTCTCCTTATCATGACAACTGATGGAAATAGAGGTTAAATTTTTTAATTTTTTGGCTAATAGCAAAGTATGTATACTGGATTCTATTACAATTTCAACTCCACACTGCGATTTATACCACCTCCGACATATCATACCTAGATGATGTAAACTAAGCCTTTCTTCAATATATGAAGCTACGGCTTCTAATATGCAAATCCAATTCCAAAGGCAAATCGTTTGTCGAAAATTGATACTTAATGTAATCATGTAAGTGTGAAACAGGGTTTTTTATACGGTTAAGTAAATATGAAGTAAAGAAGACGCAATTAAAATCTGGAATTTTCAGTAATCATATCACTTATGAATGACGGGTTTCCCATCAGCTAGGATGGACCAACAGTTTGTTTAAAATGAAAAACTGAATATAAGTACTGTTATATTGAAACTAAGTGGCTGAAACATTGTTGAGACTCGCCTTTAACAATACGATACACACGGGACACATTTTCTTTTATTATTGACAGCAACCTAATCTGTTACCCTGTATAATATTCATTAAATACTTTTCTAATCTTAACGCTGCATCCGTCATCATGCAGTTCTAAATCTGATTAAATCTAGGAAAAATTGGTGACGCATATATTTGCACAAATACACAGCCCTGCCATACACTTCCAAAACTTGAAAGTGTTCTACTACTTAGCAGTCCTCGTCAATTTTCAAAACGCTGAATTATAAGTAATATATCCGGAGGGCAATGCAGTAGTATTCAAATAAGATTTCTCGGAGCATCACAATTTAACTGTCACTACCTCGAATAAAAAAAAACAATAAATATATTGACATGTAGATAAAATTCACATCACGTGTTAACGGATGTTGATATCCGGCAGTGGTCTATTTCCATATTGGAAATATTTCAACGAGATTTCTAGAAAAAAGTTACGGAAGGTTGAATTTCGTGATTTTAAAATGGAATGAAATGGCAAATGTATTGGTGGTGCGAGTCTATAGAGTTTGATACTAGCCCCAATTCCCTGTATGGTTCCTTCACACTACAGACAGAGCTGGCCAGAGAAGAGCGGAGCAGCGCATTCAGGCGTTCAAATATAAGCAGAGCAGGGCGACCTGAAATCAATCATTCGCTATGGCTGATTTCGCGTGTGACTTCTTTGCCACGGTAACTGAACATTAGACAACTGCCAGTTGCAAGCGGAAAAGTACAGCCGAATTTCTGAGCGAGTCGCTCTTTTCTGCTATGCGCCGCCCAGCTTGTGGTGTAAACTGCACGCCGCCCTACTCAGCTTGTAGTGTGCTGCAACTACACTTTCGATTATATCGTGTGGTTTTCAGTTGCAATGATCATATGGGCCAGTCTTCCAAAATTTTGTTTTGAAAATTTGAAATAGTCTTAGTCGGAGATTTTTGCCTCCGACTCGAATTTTGAATAAAATCTCGCGTTTCGTCGGCATGATTTATCCTATCAAACAAGTTTGATAATTGTCTCCGATGCAAGACAAACCGTTATCATCTAATCAATTCCTTTTCCTTTCAATTGCATGCTCCGCACGTGATTATCGACAAGGTGGAAAAAGACCGACTGGAGATTTTTGTCTCCACGTGTGCCCGAGTTGACGGAGCGTGTTGGGAGAATTACCTACACCATTCTAAGTAACTTGTTTGTTTTTAAACGTGAAGTTTAGTGGTTGTCAGAGAAATTAAAATGTTTATAAATGTTTAAAGTTGAAAAGATTTCCCTGGGGAATTAAACAATAAATTTCCGTGACAATAAAAAAATGTTATCTGCTTAACTACAGCCGTCAGATTTTAACATGTGTTTTCATTATATTTTTCTTTATTTATACGCACATATTTATATAGTTTTGACATAAAAATTATGAGATTTCGAAGACCAGGAAGTGTTATTTTTTATTAATATTCAGAAGACCTTACGGTGAACTGTGGACTCCCCATATAGAAGATTAGTATCATTAAGGAATAAAGTATGTACTTAGACGTACATAATTAATAAGGACTCTAGGTATTGTCTATTAATATGCTTTGTCTCTGTGGGTAATATAAAATAATCATCGTTTATTCGCATAAACTGAACACTCATCATGAGATAAATCTTATAAGAAATCATCATCCGTAGGTTGAAACTGGGGTTAATCTGCTACTTTTCAAATTGTTTTGATCAAAAGAATAAAGCATATGTTTTCAGCAGATATAAATCGTGTCGTATTTTGACCACAGATAAACGTTATTGTCACATTCACAGTTCTCCTTAGCTGTGAGGTTTCACATTAGATTTTTGGGGAAGTGGATAAATAGAATATGATTTATATAAGGTATCTACTATCATAGATATCTTATAAGGGTCACAACTTTTTAAATTGGGTCGGTGCTCTCTACAATACTTTACGTCACCAGTAGATACTGAAAATTTAGTCACCAGTTGATATTGAACATTCAGTTACCAGTCGATATTGAATATTCAATCACCAGTAGAGACTGAATATTCGGTTTCAATACATTCTGAACATTTAGTCACCAGTAGATACTGAACATTTAGTCACTAGTAGATACTGGATATTTAGTCACCAGTCGATACTAAATATCCAGTCATCAGTAGATGCTGATCATTCAGAAGCCAGTAGATATTAAACAGTCACCAGTATATATTGAACATTCAGTCACCAGTCGATATTGATTGTTCAGTCACCAGTCGATACCGAACATTCAGTCACCATTATATATTGAACACATTCACCAGTACATACTGAACATTCAGTCACCAGTACATACTGAACATTCAGTCACCAGTCGATATTGAACATTCAGTTACCAGTACATACTGAACATTCAATCACCAGTACATACTGAACATTCAGTCACCAGTCGATATTGAACATTCAGTTACCAGTACATACTGAACATTCAATCACCAGTCGATATTGAATATTCAGTCACTAGTATATATTAAACATACAGCCACCAGTAGATAACATTCAGTCACCAGTCAATATTGAACATGTGTCACCAGTAGATACTGAACATTCAGTCACTGGCATATATTGAACATACAGCCACCAGTCGATATTGAACATTCAGTCATCAGTCGATATTAAACATGTGTCACCAGTAGATAACATTCAGTCACCAGTCAATATTGAACATGTGTCACCAGTAGATACTGAACATACAGTCACCAGTCGATATTGAACATTCAGTCACCAGTCGATACTGAACATTCAGTCACCAGTCGATATTGAATATTCAGTCACTGGCATATATTGAACATACAGCCACCAGTCGATATTGAACATTCAGTCATCAGTCGATATTGAACATGTGTCACCAGTAGATAACATTCAGTCACCAGTCAATATTGAACATGTGTCACCAGTAGATACTGAACATACATTCACCAGTCGATATTGATTATACAGTCACCCGTACATACTGAAACTTCAGTCACCAGTGCTTACTGAACATCCAGTCACCATTCGATATTGAACATTCAGTCACCAGTATATACGAAACATTCAGCAACCAATCACCACACCAGTATAAATTGAATATTCAGTCATCGGCCACCAGTCCAGAACATACTGAACAATGAGTCACTAGTATATATTGAACATTCAGTTACCAGTATACATACTGATTCAGCACTAATCATTCAGTAAGTCAAGGAGGTACTGAACATTTAGTATATGATGGTCGACTTAATTTCAGTATTTGCTAAATTTTCTCCCAAATCCTTTAAAAAGACACTCACCGTAAGGTAGATATATACGAGGAACATGATATGGAATAAGACATAAATTACAGCAATAGTTTCAATACAGAAAACATCCCAAGTATATAGTTTTTGTTTTGTAATTTTCTTGCTGAGACAGGCCATCAAAGAATTTTCAGCAATCTGTAGGCACAGAAACACCAAGGTGACTATCACGTAGACATCCTGAAAAAGTTATATAATTTTTAGTTTTAATAAACTGACATAGAATTATATCCTAGCGACATTTTCTAGAACACTAATTATAGTCGATATTATTTGCAAATTCGGGTACCACTGGGTCCACACAAACTGGTGTGATACGTTTTTATAGAATATGGTAGAACCGACGTTGCGTTGCGTTGGGGGCTGTAAAGTTTCAGAAGTACAGGCAACTGAACGCCAGCGTTTAATGCAGCAACAAAGCGTGACTCTGCTGCAAAAAAGAGGGTGATAATGGCTTGATTTCAGAAAGAAATAATGTACCCATATCGCTTTAAATCCTTACATTTGTTTACTTTACTACTTCACCGCTATCAAACTGTAGTGTGGTAATGTGAACAGGGCTTGAAAGATGTTCATTTGGATAAATGTTTCTTTCAGATGAACGCTTCGGCTTCACGATGATGTTTTATTCTATTGCACAGATATATGGGTATTGCAAGATCTTTTGTATCTGCCTGGCAGCTCTAAATGAATGAAGTCAGTCAACCATGATGAATAACTTAAATACCTTTTCAGAATTAAGTTTTTAAATCTCTAATTAATTGAGGGAGAATATCTCGTAAAACATGCAATATGCATTAAAAGGATCAATAGAAAATCAGCTGCAAAAAAGTAGTTGTCAAATAGAGATACAATAACAGTTCCGCCTCTTATCTTTTCGCTTCTCGGACAGGATACCATACCGGATTCATTATATAGTTTTAAGTGAAGTCAAATCTATCTACTCCGGATCAATGTCTAGCTCAGAGCTGTGACTTTCGAGCTCATAGATGTGCCTATTTAGCTCAGAGCATATATATCTAGCTCATAAGAGTTTTTTTTTTATCTAGCTCAGAGCAGTTTCTATTTAGCCCAGCATAGTGGCCCTTAAGTACAAAGTATCTTGCTCAGAGCAGTAACCATTTAGCCAGAGTAGTGTCTATATAGCTCAGAGTTGTGTCTATCTAGCCCAGAACCGTTTCTATCTAGCTCAGAGCAATGGCTATCTACCTCAGAGTAATATCATTCTTGCCCTGGGCAGTGTCTTGTGGCTCAAATAAGTTCCTATCTAGCTAAGAGTAGAGTCTTTCTAAGAGTAATGTTCATCTAGCCCAGAGCCGTGTCCATTTAACTCAAAGTAATGTCTTTCTGGTACAGAGTAGTGTCTTTATTAGTACAGAGTAGTGTCCATCTAACCTTAAAGTAATTACTAGTTCTTAGCAATCTATCTGGCCAAAAGCAGTGTCTACTGTCTATCTAGTTGAAAGCAGTGTATATCTAGCCCGGAGCAGTGTCTATTTCGCGTACGCCTAGAGTCGTGTCTATAGTAACACTGGTGTCATCTTAATGGTACAGGATCTGTCTTGATCAGAATATTGTCGTGCCTTTTAAATATTAAATAATTTTAAGTTTTATAAGTAGAAACGTGAAAATCTGGGCAGTTAGTTTATCAATGAAAATTGTCTATATGTATGTAATACTTACCAAATAAGTAAGATACGATATGGTAGGTAAGGACTGGTGAATAGCCATTTTAAAAATAAAAGCAGTCATTAACAATGTGACATTATTATACATTCTATCTACCGTGTTTGGTTCTTCTGTTGCCATACAAAATGTAGAAATTGAAATCAATGCCTGAAAAGACAGATATTCTTTTCAGTTGAATCGATCACAGGAAAATTGCTTATTTTGTCTGGCCTTTGGTGAAAGTGTCAAATTTTGATTATACTGAATGAAACACATTATTTTACAGCTTCAAACGTATAGCACATCGTTTTTCCGCGCTGAAATCTTTAGTAGCCTACAGGCAGTAATATCACGTGGGCTTCTTTCATGACCTGAACGGGATATTGAAATTAACACTCAGTATTGTGCAATGAGCAAAATTTGTCACATTTGCCGTCCTCTTCATACGATTTTCACCTTTCATGGGATTTTAATGTTCAAATTTGAAGAATCGACGCTTTTTACTTGTCAATTTTTCAAACTTGCATCACTTACAGAAATAAGATTACATGAATATATGTTACATTGCTTATAGGCTTATGAAAAATTAAAAACAATATAGTTAAATCTTTTGTTCGAAATGTGAAAATCAGATTGCAAATGACAATGTGTATAATCTTCCAATTTGTGATACTGTATTTCAACGTAAAACTATTTTGTTAATAAGTTTGTAAGATAAGCTGTATTTAAACCGATTAACGGTCTGCGCATTTCACCAATACAGACAGATCAACAATCACAAAAGGCTTAGCTAAATATATCAATTTGTTGTGATATTACAAATCTCTATATAAATATTAAGATTGTGTTAATTACATCTAATAATGAAAATAATAACATGAGAGTGTTCACTGATAAGACGATTTGGTGAATACATATTACATACCACGATGAAAACAATATTCCACATATAAAACCCAATTTTTCTCTTGACTCGGCATTGGGCGAATATAATAGGATGGACGGTCGAACTAATATATTCCCTTGTTGTTGAATATCTGAATGTTTCAACATGTTCGTATAAGTCCCATTCTCCAGCATCTTCAAAGGTCCTGGTATTCACTGTAGAAAGGGCCTGTTGATCTTCGATTAAATGAACTTCATCGGCCGACCTTTCTGTAGATAACTCTAAAGATAAATCCTGAAAAAATAAAAAAATAAAATAAAAAATTCCTGAAAGAAAAAATTTACGAAACTACCCTGTTCATTTTATACAAACAACAGATTGTAATCTAAGTTAAGTAGTCATATAATTGGTGACTGTCTACCAAGTGAAATAACGGCTTATAAACTCTTATAGTCCCTGTCGCTGGTTGGAGAAGTTCATTTTATTTCAGACGAACCGAAAGTCAAGTTTTTCATTGTGAAAGTGACAGAGGTAACTGAAGATCAGCAAATAATATAAAAACCCCCGATCTGTTTGCTATCTTGAATCTTGTCGATATGCACTGTTGTTATCTACTAACAATACCTAAAAGCACAATGAACGTCGTGGAAAATTTAATATAAAATTAGAAAAGAAACTTAAATTCCATTGCAGTCGGTTCTATCTATTCACACTTTTACCTTTTACAACAGGGGTACACATAATCTATTCCTATTTTTTTAAAATCTATTTCGAGAATAATAATAAAGAGGACTGTGTGTAGACAGAAGAAAATATTTGGAAATGTCATAATTGTTAAATCGCGTGCCATATGAAGAAAAAAAGTCGTCAAAAGCTATTTCTGAATAATTTCTAAAAATGTTAAAGAACACATGCTAATGGATTAAAATTAAAGAAAATGTCACATTATATATAGAACGTCTGATTTCTATTCATCCATGCTTAATCTAAGTTTCTTAAAGAATCTTAACCACTTTTCATGTTGGAGACAGGATTGACATTTTCTGTCAATTGCACATATTCCAATTAATTCAAATTCAATCTTCTAATCAGCAATACTAATTGTATCCGCTAAAGCAGTTAGAAACTTACAAATCTGTAGCTAAATATCTAGAAATAACTCCATAGAAAATTTCAAGGGTTATAGAAACCAGTTTCCACTGTCACAATATAAAATCAGACAGTTCAAGTTAAATGTCAATGTATTATTGTATTGGATAAGAGACGATTAGGGGTGCTTTCACCAGTTAAAAGCCATTACGAAAAAAATATCTTTGCATAAATAAGATCTTTAATTGATTGATAAAAGTTTTGAGAAAAATCTAACTAAATTATATTTAACTACGAGATTCTGCGAATGGGATGTCTGTGAAACAAGGTGCTTTGGCAGATTGATCTTAATCACTTTCAATGACAATCGAACATTGTGTCCATGATACTGTCAGAATCATGAGATAGTAATTTGGGTATTAAATAAGGATATAAAACTTAAAAAACCTGAACGTCAAAAGGGAAATGTTTTAACTCCAAATTTTCTCGAAATGTGCCTTTAAATCTCCAAAGTAAGGTAACAACTGGATATTTGTAACCCTTTTGATTAAAATGCACTGCAAAATTTCTTCTGTTGAATGCTAAATCTCCAACTGCATTTAAAACGGTCATTCGTGGTATCCAGTGTTCTGTAGGATCGTACATGCTTTTATCCTACAAAAGAAAAAGAAGTTTCATTATCCCAATGAGCACGATATTTCGGCGCCAATAATATTTTTGCACGAAAAAGCGGCCGATGTGCGGTGGTCTATGTCAACCCTACGTAATCGGGAGTGAAGGGGAAATATCTGGCAAGTTTTATAGGAAGTCTCATTGTCGGCTAGTGCGCTGGTGAGACCCGTCATTTTCTTGAACTTTCTTAAGGTTAATCAATTTTGGGGAGGCCACCAGAGACGCCCTTATGCGATAAAAAAAACAGTTGACATAAACTGTTACCTCTATCGCATTCACAAGACACATTTAACATCAAATGTATTAAAATAAGATGAAATCTTTACTGAGTCAAGGGCGATAACTTAAAAACCATTCACCGAAATATCTCAAATTCCAACTTGACCAAGATCTCATTGTTCTAGATGATCACACCTAATTTCATTACAATCGAAAACTGTTGTCTCAGTTGAGTTCACAAACAAACATGTTTTCATTAAGTCAAGGGCAATAACTCAAAACCGTTCATCGAAAAATCGTCAATTTCGAATTTGACCAAGATCTCATCAATATAAATGATCACACACAATAACTCAAAAACTGTTCATCGAAATATCGTCAAATTCGAACTTGACCAAGATCTCATCAATATAAGATTAATGATCACAATCAATTTCATTAATAACAGATAAGAACTGTAGTCTCTATCGTGTTAACAAGGCAATTGTGGACGGACGTGGGCGTAAAAATGTTCAGCCTACTCAAAATAATCATACATTTAGCTCTGCTGCCTTTTGTAAGGCTGGTTCTTGCCATTTTGCTTGAACAAAAACTTCAGCTTCAAAAACCTGATCTACTGTTTCGATGTTAAGGATCTGCAAAAAGGCACATTTCAGTTCTACTGTCACCTGAAAAAAATGGAAGACTGTGGTCAATCTCTTGACTTAAGTAAATACTAAATAAAACCGAACAGCAGATCCAGCGCAATACTAATAGAAACACCTCTACGGTGGTTCATACACGACATCATTTATTTTTTTAATTTTGAATTAACAAATTAAACAAAGTGGTGGTTATTATTTTTTTAATTTTGAATTAACAAATTAAACAAAGTGGTGGTTATTCAAAAAATTATTTTTTATAAGAATATTCCAGTTTTTAAATTCAAAATTGAAAAAATAAATGATGTCGTATAAGAACCACCGTAAGACTCAACCAAATTCAAAAGCTATCATTTAGAATTTATCATTCTTTTTTTAGGCCTCATAAAGTTACGCTCTATTTCCAAAATTCATCAGTGTACGATGTCTGACCTTGTTGATATTGTTATCAAACAGATGTTCCTGAAGTTAAAGTTACGCCACAACACTTTGCTCTGCACTGTAGCTTTAGCTACGACGGCCAGACTAAAAAAAATGTCAACAAACTCAAAATGTAAACAAACCTTGTCTTTTCGACAACCAAGGAATTGTGTTTTCTGTGGCGCAACTCTTTCATTCATGTTGAAAACGACATTAGTACAACCTTCTATAATAGTTTTCCCTTTTTCTATTGTAAACATTAGTCTACGGAAAGCATCAGTAAGTTTCACAGGCGTATAAGTATGGACTTCGGGCATCTGGCTATGATTTTGGTTTTGATTTTGGTTATCATTTTGTTCCATTGTTGGTGAATTCGAGCTAGACTGTGGACCACTATGTGGCTTAATGCTTTGGTTCGACATTTCGTAAGATGATATATGGATTAAGTCCTTGAAAAATGAACTGAAAAGCGAAAGAAAACTTTTCTCATTTCTTTCACGAATATGAAAGTGACGCCATCTTCTTTCCTCGCAGAAGACTAGGCAAGGGGAACTACTCTACTTATTTTAATAAGTACCTGGGCCCCGTTCCAATAATTTGCGTAAGTTTACGCAAAATAGTTTTTCGTAAGTTAATCTTACGCAAAAACTTACGCCTGTTTCACTAAAGGACTTACGATCTTTCTTTCGTAAGATAATTTGAGGACGTTTCGTAAATGACGTCGTGTCTCGCGTCACGAGATTTATGATAGCATTAGCGGACTACAAAATGGCGTCCTACAACGGAGTAGGCCTACCTTGTGGCGGTGTTACTTCTTCACAACCTCGTAACCCGAATTTCACTTCTTTAGAAGTTGAAATTTTGGTTGACGAGGTGGTGAAGAAGTACGGGATCTCTTATCATGAAAAAGTCAAGGAATGGGAGAAGGTGGCTTCGGCAGTGTCAGATGTCGGAGCCACTTCACGGTCAGTAGACAAGGTAGGCCTATCCTACTGCCACTGGCCTTGTCTAGATTATGAGTTACCCCCTTTGAGTTCAAGAGCCTACACAAAACCATAGATAAACTAGACCCTATTGTGTTCGTTTTCAAGATTCGGTACAAAACTTTAAATGGACTCTTATTATAGGCCTACATTTGTATGTATTATCTATTGCTAAGTCTGTGAATCTATGAGTTTTGGATCTGATGGCATCAATTTGCACCATTCCACTTTACAGGACAGCGGGTCTTGCAATTCCATTCAAAAGTAGTTTGCCAGTCTTCATATTAGACCAATCACTCTGAGCTAAAAACGTGTTAAACTTTAAAATAACATTCATATGTAGGCCTAGATGAGGCTGGTTTGTAAAAATAATCAAAGGACTCAACAAGAATCAATAGTAGAAGTGGGCTATGCAGAATCATTTACAATTTACCACGCCAAAAAAAAAAGTATAATCTGAAAACAAAGCGTCACAAAGGGGCTGACAATACCAAAAAAAAAATGAAATTAATTTTACTTCCTACCTTTCTGCACCATGTGGGCTAATTAAGACGGGTAACGCCATGCAGGATTCAATGAGGGAATTTTTGCCAGGACAGCAGCATTAGCCTGGGATCTGTAGCATACGGGGACTCGCTTTATTGTCCCATCGACCAGACGCGTTTTCCATGTCGGCTGGCAATACAAGACAAGGTGGAATAGACGAGGTACTATATACATCTATCTATATCCAGAAGTGTGTGGTGCGTCGAAACAATAAAAAATAGAAGCAGCGAAACGTGTGCGCTTCCCGACAGGATTGTCTTCCTCTATTGTCTATGGTATGAACAATTCCCACCTCTGGATGTAGATGTACAATATCAAATATCTTGGGATATCATATATCTTTTAGTTGATTACCTCTAAGGTGGCCTTCCGCAATCTCTTAATTAATTTTCAATGGAGACCGCCTCGTGCCTTGAATTTCATTATTATAAAAGATCTGCAGTGCTCGATTTTATATTTAATAGTTTCAGAATAATATTACATGTCTCAGAAACATTAATATCATATTTCCAAAGCACATTATGTTTTTTTTTTTTTAGTTTTTTAATTAATTTCCTATTCTGCTCTGAAAGATACGGCTATGAAATGCAATTGATATCTAGAAAAGACATCTGCATATTCATTTCATAATTTATCAAGTTTCCAAGAATAATTGAATTCCCTTAGACGGTTTTATTAGTCTGTTTGACTCGAAGCTTTTATTCAATAATTTCTATAATAGGTTTTCATTGCATGGGCCAAGGCCAGGATAAATGTCACTAGCTCGTAATTTTTTAATGTAGATCAGTCCGAAACATTTACGTCTATTCCAGCCTCTCGTAGATATTGCTACAGTTATCGGCTGGAATAGAGTCAGAAAAACACAGCCCTGATTTGGAGATTTTTTCCACACGTTTTTTCTAAAATTTTTGCATTACCTTTATGGTGACTGTAAATTAGTGTTTGGCGTCGCCGTTACTTTGGTTTTGTTACTATTGCGTGACCCTGTGGCCCTTGAACATTCGGTTGCACATGTAATCTGAAATGGCCGTCGGAAGATTAGTTTCGATAAACATTTCGATTAAAACGTAGACGTGACATAAATGGTGTAGTAGAATTATGATGGAATGACTGAACTACAAAATATCCATCTGTCCAAATATATTGTGTTTAAACCGCACCTCCGGAAAAATATCCATAGAACAGGACATAGTTTTTCTGTCTACACCAGCCGACAATTTTCAGAGACTGGAATCGAAGATGTTTCTGTCTAAATGAGTATGTGCAGGTCCATTTACAGGCAGTATTTGGAAAATATCTATATCATAATATCGTAGTCTTCGAATAAAGCTCATATTGTGAAAAAAATTTATGAAAATCGCTGTGCTGTGTTCCATTATGTTTCTTTTAGAAATTTCCATACAATAATTTTTACGATAATCAGAAAAACTAAAACGATCTTACTGTATCAAACAGCATACAGATCTAACTACATAGTTTACACCACTTTATGTAAAAATTTATCTGTTTTGAACACGATCCGAATCAAACATGAACAATTTTCGTGTGATAGCGTTCGTTGAAAATTGAAGAGATTGCATTAACATCAGGTAGTTTTTCATTGTTTCATACAACAAATAGTTATGCATACTTTCACAAATTATTAGGTTTTACTAGCGAGAGAACTGACAGTGTTAAACACCCAGTTGTTATGCCATTTATAGCACATTAATCAGTATTAAAGAGTGAAATGATGCCATTGGCCTGATTTTTCTATCGTGTTAACTAGGTCATAGACCTGTATACAGGTCAAGGATTTGTTCATGTTTGATCGTGATCTTCTCGAATAAGGTTATTTTATTCTGGATTTCAAGTTTTACAACAACCATAGGCTACATCATCATCAAGCAAGAAAAGCTTATAAAGTGCCTCGTGTTCTTCTTTCAGTTGCAATCAATTAGAAAACAACAATATGGACCAAGAAAAGATACCTCCCAGTTTCAAATTAGAGAGATTCTTCGCCAAATATGAATTTTCTGTCAAACACCTTTTGTGTTGTTCGGATGCTGAAGCAATACAAATGACGGACCTAATAGCTAGGGCTGATGAGGAATGTAAGACAATGTGGAACAATTTACAGTTATCTTACATAGAAAGCACTGGACATCCTTTACTGAGAGCAGAAATTTGTAAACTATATCCCGGTATTACCCCAGAAGAAACCCAGGTGGTTGTTCCACAAGAAGGAATTTATATTGCAATGAAAGCCTTCATGGATACCTTTGTGAAGGACAAACCTGCTTCCAGGCCCCATGTTATTGCGACATTTCCTGGATATCAGAGTCTATATGGTAACTTAGAACTTGACGGAGCTGATGTGACGTATTGGAAACCTCAATATTGTGAGGATAAGGGGTGGGAATTTGATATTGGTCAGCTCAAGACGCTACTGAAACCAGATACAAAACTTCTGGTTGTTAATTTCCCCCATAATCCAACTGGTTGGCAACCAAACCATCAACAATGGCAGCAGCTCATTGCATTATGCAAGGAGAGGAATATATATCTGTTTTCTGATGAAATGTATCGTTTGAGTAACAACACTGAGACTGAGGCTTTGCCTTCAGCTTGTACCTTATACAATAATGCAGTTACTCTTTGCGGTTTATCGAAGACTTTTGCTTTACCTGGTTTACGAATCGGCTGGTTGTCTACAAAAAATAAAGAATTGATGGAGAAATTTCAAAGTTTTAGAGATTGGTTGACAATATGTTCATCAACACCAAGTGAAGTATTGGCTATTATTGCTCTACGCAATAAGGATTGGGTTATAGAGCACACCATGAATATTATCAAGACCAATCTTACAATATTAGAGCAATTCCTCAAGAAGCACTCTGATAGTTTAGAGTGGCATCGACCAGATGCTTCTACGGTAGCATTTATCAAAGTGAAAAACAAGGTTTTAAAGCAACATAGTGGCTCTGTGGCTAAATGGTGTGACTATTTAGCCCATCATGCTGAAGTACTCTTACTGCCTTCAACAGCCTACGATTATGAGGACGGTTTTGTTAGAATTGGATTTGGTAGACGAAATATGAAAGAAGCTTTGAAGACTCTTGAAAAGCATATTTGAAATGGAGCATGTAAATATAGCAGTGATAATAGCCTACCAATATATATATTCCTATATAATTGATATGAAACTAACATCATATCTCGTTGGAAAAATTACCAAAGTAAAATTGATTTATAATATAGATTTCCCGATAGATGTGACGAGTCTGCTATAACTATTATGTACTATCAGTGTAAGTAAAATACCAAAGTTACAGAGTAGCCCCGGGAGTTCATGAAAAAAAAGTATGTCCTGCTTTGGTGGAACATCCATCACCATAATTAGGCTAAAAGCATTCAATTATAACTTCACATGTAAAGAAACATAAAGCAATATAATTTCCGGTTCTGAAATCCGTTTCACAAGAAAACCTATCAATTAATTTATATATTTTACTTAGTCGCCTACTCGTGTCTTGAAGCATTGCATTTAATAACCAAATGTGAATGTTCACCCGAGGTTGCCCATATTGTGCTCATCATATTCTGTCATTAAGGTTTCTAATTTGTCAGCTCGCTATCATTCAAAATATACCATGTTAACTTGAAAGTCTAAAATACACCCAACAATTCTGTACAATCATTTAAATAAAATAGTTGTTCCTTATTCTAATGAATATCTCTTCTTTTCTTGTTATTGTGACTACATTGGTCATTGATAATAGCTTAGAAAACGAAATATTGCTCAACGATTTTAAAGTAGGACTATAGAGTTATAAATAGTTCTTATTATATAACTATGGCCTTGGTTACATTTTTCAATTTCAACCAACAAAGACTACGGCCTAATATCTTAGACGGTGTTCAATTGTTCAATTGCCACCGGCCTAGCAAAACGATAGATTAGGCTGTCATTCAATATTTTCGTGGAGTTAAATTCAGTAGCCTTAGGCATGGAATCGCAGGAGAAAAATCACCGTATTTTTTTTTTTTTTTTTTTTTTTTTTTTCTTCTTTCTTTTTCATCTTTCATGTATAGTTTTCATATGAATCAATCCCACCTTATCGTATACAGAATCTAATATCTGCCATTTAAACCCCTTGGAATTCTTTTTTTTATTTTAATTCTCCAAAGGAAAAAAAATTCGTTTTGTTTGATTTTTTTTTTTTATGACTTTTCAAGGGAGATAATATTGATTTACATTAGAGTAGTCTCCCTTTTGTATTTCGTCGTCTGCCTTGTAGATGATGGTGTTTCGAGGAAAGCATAATCTTTGAACATTGAAGTCTAGGTCTAGTTTTAGAAACCAGCGATCAATATGTCGGTGTATTTATTGCCAAATCAAGGCAAAAGAAAATCAGGCACATCGTCGAGTAGTTCAACAGACGGAACTCTATTGATAAGACGACATGAAAGCCAAGATCGGCGTCAACAATCGCCTTCACATTCAAATACAAATAGGCCGAATGACACAGACTCACCACACTCACCCAATATAACGACTAATACCAATAGTTTTACGCCTGCTAATGTTAATCAAACTCCAAGCCCTGGAAAAGATCTTAAGCTTGCTGATACATTTCGCAACCTCATGGTTACTTTAGAAAAAAGCAATGCTATTATGCAATCCTGTGCTAATGCCGTAATCAACTTGAATGAAAAAGTTACACCAGAGAAAGAAGTAAAACAATTCCTAGGTTCTCGAAAAGAAAAGGTACGTTTCCATTTTTTTTAACACTATGTTTTCCTCTATAGGGTCTACTACACAGTGTCAGTGGTGAGTAGTTACCTACTTCCTACGTTTAGTCGCACTGTACTCGTACCGGTACTAGCCGTAGGTCTTTAAAATAAGAGATATTTACTAAGATATTGATAGCCTTCATTGATTTTATAAACTTGTCTTTAAACGACCTTACACACTGCTACTGGATTTGTTACTGTTACTTTAGCTCGACATCCACTTTCTGTATCATATGTTCGGGGAGACATTCGTTCCCGTGTCTAGATCGAATTTGCTATAATGTTTAATTTATTTGCATTGTCAGTTACAAATGTCTGAATAGTTATTGAATTTCAATATCTTTTTTCAGGTGACTGTGGAAATCAAATGTGCCTTTTTAAAGATAATTGACATCGAAACTTTGGATCAGATTTTTGAAGCCGAGGTTTTTGTCCAGGCGAAATGGCAAGAACCAGCCTTGGCAGAATTAGCAGCTAAAAATGTATGATTTTATATTTATTTGTGTCGTCTTCATTCATTTAGATGGAAATATATTTGGCTAATGACGTTGTTCTGCCAAATTTCCGTTATTGTACATCTTATTCTTATGACTCTGCAAGTCTTCATTAGCACAATCACTCTCACAAAAAAGGCTGTAAAACTTTGTTTTTGTCAGTAACTTTCTTCAATTAATGTAGGCTTTCGAGTAGATACAATGTGAATTTACAAAAAGTATTATAGGCTAGGTCTATATGTCTTAGAGCCAATCGATGCCTTATTAAATGTAAGTAAAGTATCAAATATACTGAACAGTTATGTTTCAAAATGTTAATGATTTTTTGATGTGAACCTAAAGTATTTTATTTTTTAGGACATAGACAATTATGACCCTTCCAACTACTGGATACCACGGATGACAGTTTTAAACACAGATGGAGAATTAGAATGGAATCGACGAAGTTTTACTGTTCATTTTAAAGAAGAAGGATACGAATATCCAGTAGTATTGTTATTGTGGAGATTTAAGGGCAAATTTCGAGAAAATTTAGAGTTGGAACATTTCCCTTTTGACGTTCAGGTTTTTATACGTTTTATTACCACTATTTATTTCTAATAAGCCCTATTATACAATTAAATGTTAATAAAAAATCACACAAAATGCTCATTTATTGCAACTGACATTTTTTGAAGAGATTGTAAAGGCATCCTTTATCGTCTTATGAAGAGTTGTTTAATTATCTCTCTATAAAATGAATTCCTTGAAGCACCTTCGTTTATTTCAAATTCCTTGCCTGAAAAGCTCATAAAAACGTGGCGTCACTTAAACAAATTCTGTCTGCTTTTTTCTCAAGCCAATGTTACAATTGCTATGGAAGATCACGAATCACGAACATGGAATAAAACAATTGGTGATTAAATACATTTTAATATGGTGTAGGATAACCTACTTTTTTCACATTTCCTTCAATCCCCACAGGCCAACTTTCCATGAATAATACACTTTTTTAGAATCCAGCTGAAACATTGGTCATTGGAATATAATGAAACTTGAATTACCAGTACTTTTTTTCAGGATTTAACAATTCAGTTATCAACAGAAAGGTCGGCCGATGAAGTTGTTTTAATCGAGGATCAACATGTTCTTTGTACAGTGAATACAAGAGCCTTCCAAGATGCTCAAGAATGGAGCATTTATCAACATGTTGAAACATTCCGTGATCAAACAACCCAAGAATATGTTAGTTCCACTATTCATCCCATTTTATTTGTCCAATGCCGAGTCAAGAGAAAAATTGGGTATTTTATGTGGAACATTATCTTTATCGTGGTATGTATTTAAATCGTTACCTCAAAATACAAGATATATATATATATATACATCGATATACATTGCTCTGAAGCCAGGCGAACTGATAAAAATAGCCGAATGAGAGCTCATGACCTGGCTGACAGCATAAACTTAGACTACATCCCTTTCCAAAAAGTTATTGTCTGCAAAATTGATATTTATTAATTGCCGGATGTACTTCATAGTATTTTTAAAAGATAAAGGTAAAAGCCGTACACTCAAAAGGATTGTAAAGAGGTTTTCCAAAAAAAATATTTGTGACGGGGACACTGATAGCATCAATTTGAGCCAATCTAATTTCCATTCGGTCGTCTGTGGTTTTTGCGATTCCTCTAAAACTAAGCGTTTTATGAGGTCGCTATCGCAAAAGATGTTATTAATATATAAGGACCTTGTAGTGACTGATGTCCGATTGAAAACTAGAATGATGCAGGTGCAATTATATATTTTATCAGTGTCCCCGAAACACATAAACATTTTAAAAAACCTGTGAACTCCATTAGCTGACCAAGCCTGTATAAGAAAGAATTAGGCGGACGTAAAACTCCATTTCATTTCATTTCTCTTTTCATTTCAAGAGTAAGCAATTGTCTGTCAAATTGTCACTGGTTAATGGAAGTGATCTCTTGAAAATTTTGATTTAAAGTGTCTGATAGTCCAAGTTATTTATACCTTTGATCAGATTGGTTCAGACAGAAATAAAAGGCAATTTTCTTAAATCAAGAGTGACTGAAGAGGAAATAAAATCAACACAATCCAATTTGCTTTTTAATTTTGGAATTACAAGAAAAGTTAGATAAATAGATGTAAAAGAAAATCAAAGGTTGACATCCTGACTCCTCTTTACTTTAAAAGGAAAAACAAATCAAATTCCATTTCTTGTAATGATAGTGGTTAGTAGAGGTTCTGTCTGATAGTATGTCAAGTAAATATGAGTTAGATCGATACTTTAACATAATGTTAAATGTGACACTGTCAATATTTCAGCGGGTAATTTAATAAACCCTGGTGATTATTGAGGTTATCCACCTTGTTCCATCTTTCAAGCGACAGTTGTCACATGATCTTTGAACTAGTCATTTTGTGCTGCTACTTTTTTGTTGTAATGTAAGACTTCTCTTTGAATATTATCTTTTAGTGATTTCACAAATGGTGTCAAAATATTTCAGGGGTAAAATAACATTTCGATAAAGAGGGTTTCAATTGACAATTTAGGTTGTCAGACAATCTGATTGTCGATGAAGGTCAATTTTAACTACCCATCGACTATGCAGAATTCAAAAAAACCTATATCTCTATAACACAAGTTATATTTCAGATATTTGTTTTTTTGAGAAGAATTTCCAAGTTCTGGAAAACAGAGTTCATTTTACTCAGAAATGTAGCCTACCACTGAAATTAGCTCTATCAACTTGTAAAGAACATAACTCTAAAAATAAAACAAATTATACAAGAAACAGAGACCGTATCTATAATAATTGTCTTCGTTGACTTCTGTTGAAAAGAATGAGCTGCTATAATCTCGTGATTTATTCAATATATCTCATTTATCACTGGAATTCAAAGTGTCAGATATGGCGTTCCCTGTCAACGGCAACGATTCTAATAAGTCAAATTAGTCACTAAATATTGCCTGTTTCATTATGTCTCTTAGTTTATCAATTCCTGTTTCATAATAGCTCATATTTTAATCAGTTTTTATTTTCCTATTTCAGTTGCTGATTTTGGCTCTGACTTTTTCCACGTTACCTATTGATCCCTTTAATGCCGACAGAATGTCAGTGACGATTACATTATTTCTTACGGCAGTGGCCTTTAAATTGGTAGTGAAACAGAGTTTACCAACGATATCTTATCTAACCTATCTGGTAAGCTAATTTCCTGATAAATCCACTTTCTATTTATAGTATGATGGTGAATGGGATATGGAGGTCAGGGAAATGATTAAATAAGCTTGATCATAATCACATTCAATATGAGTAACGATAGTAATATTGGTTGTGACAAGTTATGATGGTTTTTATCATGAAAAACATGCCATTCATTGTTTGAAGCCATTTAAATACTGTATATCCTCTGAAAAAGTCATCTGAGGAAGAATTATACTGCTTCCCTTTTACTTTTTGAGAGTAAATCAAATTTTACGGATTATGTAAATCTGAATTTGATTATTGGCTTCAAAATAGGTTGCAGAATAACTTGGCTCTATATGTTTTGTAAGTTTACAGATTAAATTCAGCAGAAAATATCTAAACCTTTGGCAAAAAATTGCCCATAAATTTCAAAAAGACAATATTTACCTAGGTTTATACTTAGCAGCGTAATCATTTTATTTATATTCAGTTGATATGCACTAATAAAATGTGATTTATTGACGAAAGTACGAAGGTATCACCTTTATAAATTTGTAGAACTTATGTTTTAAGTTGCTTCTGAACAATTGATTATTAACCGACTTAAATAACAAAAGAGGTCAAACAAACTTTGAACCACAAATTTTTTTTAATTTTCACGTGTCTAATACTACAAATTTGAAACGTATAATCAAGGAATGAAATAAAGTACTCTTGTAAAGCTTAAAGAATAATCTGAGAGGAAGCACTTACCTAAATGAAGTTCTTTAACAGAGCGTTAAATTGGTCTTTAACCTTATTATTCTGTCTATACCCTGGAGGTTTTTAGTTCTTAACAGTGCAAATCAGAAATAAAATGGAGGTCTGACTACAGTACGGCATACAGCTCTCAGCTCCGTATCAATATTTGCTTAATTGATTTTAATACTTTCAGGATATTTATGTGTTAGCCACCTTGGTATTCCTGGGGCTACAGATTGCTGAGAATTCAGTCATGGCTGGTCTGTGTAGGATAATGAGTAGAGACGAAGTTTTTGTATGGGATGTCTACGCTGTAACGTCTTTAGCTATCATTCTACTCTTCTTCCATCTCCTGTTTGTGATACATATCTATCTTACGGTACGTATCATTAAGTATCATGAAGGTTATAAATGTACTCTGACTAGATCCTTAGCAAGCTGTATTGTTTTATATTAGTATAGTATATGTCCGTTTAAAACTCACTTACTTAGTGCTCAATGTATACTTTTGCCTGGCCGAATATTCAAGGTCCACTGATGAATGTCCAGTATCAACTGACTGACTGTGCGATGTTTACAGTTGACTGACAAGATGTTCAATGTATAATGATGATTTGCTAAATATTCAATATGATATCTGAAGAAGATAAAAAGAACTCTTATTCTTACAAGAAAATAAACCAAACTGCAGACATCTTTTACTGAGTTTCCAATAAAAGTTTATTGAGTTAGAATGCACGGTTTTTAAAAAAAATATCACCCGCCGCTCAATAACATAGAAACGTCTTGTAATATCAGTAATGTTCTTTAAAAATGTTCTACGATGGTAGAATTAAAGAAAAAACAAAGAAGGAAACAACTATATTATACAAGGATAACAACTAAGGTTCACATGAAGGATCCTTTCTACCAGCTGGTCCTCAGCCAAACTCTTGCTTGGCATTAATCTTTCCCGGATTACCCGTACCAATTTACAGCTGAGTCGACTGGAAATATGAATAAAGATGATTGTCGGAGGTTTCACACGCTGATCGAGATCGGAACTCACAGGGGCCAATTGCTTAACGTAGGCCTAACCATGTAAATTACGTCATGTAAAGAACCAACGTAAAAGGAGTGACATTTTTGTAATCAATTAAAAATTAAATGACAGACAAAAGCAAATCTTTGACAAGTTAATGTCTCGTAGTATATTAAAATCTCTATCCTTTTAAATACCACGACTGACGACTACATAATCAAGTAACTGTTGATTATTGTTACGAAAATTTGTTGTTTAAATCCCGCGGGAAATCTCTCCGACTGTTAACAATTGTTAGAGACATAACTTCAACACCGAGGCAGTCTATTGCCAATATAGTGCCTACCACTGAATAGCAAATATTTACTCTCCAATGGTTATTTTTTACTTTCAATCAACCTAATCACTAAAAAAAAAAATTTCAAATTTAGATTTTCTGGCCAAACCCTTCATGTTATGGTAATAAGAAGGAATATTGTATTCGAATGACATACTTATAGAGCTATAACAATAAAAGAAACCAAATCGCCTGATGACACGTTTCACATATTTTCGATTTAGAATTGGGTGAGGCCTCAGTCGAGTCACTTTTTGTAAAGAGTATTAGGAGATTATCGACCTTGAAACAGTCATAATTGCATATTCGCAAGACCTCTTTTAGTGATATTTTAGGTCGTCAAGTTCCTATAGTTGAAAACGTTTTTTTAATCCAACAATGAAATGAAATGAATGGAGTTTTACGTCCTACTTTTCTGCACCATGTGGGCTAATGAAGACGGGCGACGCCATGCAGGGTGCAATGAGGGAAATTTTGCCAGGACAGCGGCATTAGCCTGCTCTTTTTCGATTTCCAACTGTCGAGGGATCTTTAACGTGCACAGCCTGTAGCACACGGGGCCTCGGTTTATTGTCCCATCCGAACGACTAGGCGCTTTTTCCATGTAAGCCCCTCGTAATTGCATCACTGACAGGGGGAAACCGGGTTGAAAAATCCGAAGGTATTATCTCGACCTATGCCGGGATTGAACCCTGGACCTTCAGGATAGCGAGCAAGCGTCTAACTCACTGAGCCACCCGCGGCTCCCTAATCCAACAATGAAGTTTTGATTCAAAATATATATTGTTAAAAAATATTTTGAAAGTTATAGGTATTTGAAACCTGAGTATCTTATTCGTAAGATTAGTTTATAGTCAATATCTTTATGTGTCAAAAAGGTTTAGAATGATCTTAAGCCATACCAGTGTCTTTAGTTCTTACTACATCTGCTCTGTCAATAGCCTCTAAACATAATTGTTAACAAGAACAATTCTTATTGTCTGCTGTTTATAATTTCAGGCTTACAGAAGAAGAAGGTTGATGAAACAAAAGGACAGGTTATATCAGGTAAAAAAAAACTTCCTTGATCTAAAACAAACCCTGGTGTTCGTCTCAAAGGAACACGATATAGCAATTCAGAGTTATAACAAAGGCGAAAAAGAATCAATCTAGAACATACATTTTTAAACGCCCACATGAAATAGGGGGCGTAAATATTGTACGTCCGTCCATCCACAATTGCTCGGTAACACTCTAAAAGGCACAATTCGTTACGGATTTTGATGAAATCCTATTGAAAATCAGAAAATCGAAAAATGAGTCATTGCCATTGTTTTTGAAATGCTCGTAAACTCTGCAAAAGTCACAATTTGGAAAACGCGTTTGATTTTTAGCTTTTAAACATGTTAGAAGTCACAATTCTCGAACTTGTGAAAATTGTTTATGATCACCTATTTTAAATGAGTTATTTACCTTTACCTTAATTTGGAGACGCATTCAATTTTTATCTCTTTTTTGTGAACACTTAAAGGCTCGATTATTGCCGGATTTCGACAAAACGTCGTATTATTATTCAGTATCACCCTAAAAAGTTCAAAAGAAGTGTGTGGCAGAAGGTTGAATATTTCATTCTGTAACTGTACTGTCAAATATTATTGTGCAGATTCAAAGCTGCCAGTGGGCGTATATTACCTTGCCTGGCAAGCCATCTTAAAACGTAGCGTTTTTTTATAAAAAGTATTAATTGACTGATTGAAATTTGTTTAACAAAGCAGCGAGACATTTGTTTGTTCCTTACAATTACTGTCAATATTGCTTTATCGTCATAAAAGAAAAACATTTTAAAATTATTATTCTAAATATAATGAAAAATGATTTTATCTGAAACAATGTTAAAAGTTTCTTTTCTAGCCTGACGTCCCTAATTAGATAAATTAAAGATGGAAATGTTTAATGGTTTGTTTTTGCAGGCTAAAAAGCGTCATTTAGAGAAATACGGAGTCATGATGAAAGCTGATCAAGCTTCGGCCTTGGCCATTAAAATGAATCAACTTCCACACAAGTGAATTAAATATTTTTAAGTAGAAGAATTTGCGTGGGTTGTTTAAGTAACAGCATCAGAAAAAGTTAAAATTAATTCTTCCTGAACAAAAGACGTAAAAAGGGACGACGAACAGGTATTAGGAAATCCGAACAATTATATACGCCTACTTAACACTGATGTTTTAGTTTATTTCTATATAACGACACGTGTTTTTGTAACTTTGATTCGCTTAATATGTTATTCCTTTAATCCATTGTTATTACTTTTTAAAGAATACATCTCAGATAAATCTTGTGAAGATTCCAAAGGGTCTATTCCACCATTCGCAATTATTTAAATTAAAAAACACTTTAATACAACAAATAAAAAGATACCACATGCCATCAAATTTTCGACGGTTTGCTTATGTTACTTTGCTGAGTTATTTTCATATTTCATTATATAACTAGCGGTTTCCATGAACAAAAATCCTTAATTGATTGTTTTTTATAAATATGAGATGAACTTAGATAGATGCGTATCTTTGCAGTATTTATTTTTATCCTTTCTAGCATTAACGTGAAATGAAACATGACTTTCGGAGCATGTGTTAAAACCATCAAATACGCATGTTTCTTTTTTTAATGATACTTGTAACACATGTGAATATCAAATCTGTCTGAATATTCCAGTTGATGACAATATCATTTATTGAAATTGACAAGTTCGCAATTTTCGAGGGTTGATTTAGGTTTTGAATATATATAGTCTTTAGAATTACTAGAAGTGTACACAGATAGTCTAATTCCTTCAGACTTCAAAACAAGGTATTCATTTTCTGTTCAATATGTATGTCTTTACTATATATGAAAGCTCAAATTTTAACGCTAAGCTGTTAACCCTATTACTGATTAGTTCAGGTTAAAAATTCCTTTTCTGAAACTTAGGTACGATTGGTCAAACGGATGGCGAACCTGTCCCGTTTCTAAGATTCATAACGAATACATTTTCCTTTAGAATGACACTTTTAGCTTCCGCGTCAAATCCCTATGGCTTTGTTTATTATATTTCTGTGATATTGTTGAATATGAAACTCTTTTGCTGTTTTATCTTTCCTGCTTATTGCATTATTTATGTACGTTTTCTTTAATGTTGCCAACGCTTTTGTTTTTTCTGAAAAGAATTAAAAAATCTACAAAAATTTAAATGTTTTCCTTCCAGAAGTAATCTTAAAAGGGATATTGCGAGTTTAAATGTGGATCATATATTGACGTCACCAATTTACGTCGGTCCATCTCTAGAATTAACAATTTTTGACGGATTTTAAGGACTTGGTGAAATTAACGTAGGATTAACCCTATCTACAATCATCATATATTGATATGAATTATTGTTCTGGAAAAAATCTTTTTGCTGGATTTTAAGGAAACTTGGTGAAATTATTCACTATCAGCCATGGATTGCCACCAAAGAAAAGAGATTGGCGCCTTACTTACATAAATAAATAAATAATACATAATTTTTTTTTCATTTTACATAGTGAAAGAATGAACCTGTGGTCCCCCTTGAAATTATTTTGGCCTCTGCTCGGCCCTGGCCCTGGCCCCTAACAAGATGTTTCCTAGAAACGTCACTGAATGATGTTTATTAAGTAGATTTAATGAAAAGAAAATAGTATACATGTAATTTCTAGATGGTGCTGCCACTGATAAGCTATTTGAGCTCTTTAAAGGTCGTATTTGGGTCGTGTTATTAACTTAAATGGCGAAACTGTCATGAGATGATATATTTAGTATCTGGTTTTGATCCGTTATCAGTGTCGTCAAGGCGAATCTGCCAGTCAATTATTCAATTCTGCTATTTTGTTTCTATTTCCGAGTTTTAGGAGGAAGAGGTTTACACTGGAGACAATTCGTATTTTCAGGGACACAGGTACGACAACCGTAGCTTCAGGGGAGTAAAGAAAGGGTGGGGGATTTTTGTCAGAAATGAGTTCTTTAATTCTTCAAATTTTCTGAGTACAAAATCTGAGCCCCACAACCAATTCTTCCAAGCGACTTTACAGTTCCACTATCTTTTATAATAGCTCGTAATAAAATGAGTGACATAAACTTGCAATAATAAATCAAGTTAACTATTGGTCATTAATATTCCTACATAGTATACGAGGGGGTATCTCAAGGGTGAAAGCAAATTATACCGCAAACTCGATTAGATCTTCATTATTCGCAGAAATATTTCGAGTACATTTGGCATGTCTTTTCATCATTCTGATTTTCCGTCAGACGTCCGTGGTTTCTGTGATGGTCTCTTTTACCAAGATTTCTCCTGTCTTCGTCCAGGAAATCTTTCGTTGCACTACACAATAGAAGCTTAATTTATTTATTGACGTCAAATTGTTCTGCAATTACAGGAGCCAAAGACGCCAACACTAAATTGGAAAAGTGCAAACACACGTAGAAGCTATTATTCCTGGCACATATAAAAGCAGGAAAATCTCTTTGAATTCTTTAGAAAACTATATATTTTTTTTATATTTTTTTTTAGAGAGTAAATATGACAGAGAAAAAAAATAATTGAACTGATCGAATCAGACATTTTTTTAAATTTTATTCTACAACACTAATATAATTACAAAAGCATTAAGCCCAAGCAGCCAACGACCTTATATCAAAGAAAATGTTTTCGTAAAGGGATTAGCAGATTCAAGAAAAAACCTTACAGCCACAGGAAAATCTTGTACTTTACATGTAGTAATTTCAATTTGGTCCAAAAAGTCCCTCGAACCTCCCAAGTTAAGACTGAAAACTCTGAAAACTCGGTTTGCCATTTTCTTTCTAAATTGGAAATTCAACTGTTCAACAAGTTATGGTGGGGACTGTAAGTTATAAAACTAATTTAAATCTGAACAATACCCGATGAAAAAAAATGATGACTTCAAATAAAAGTCAAGTGGTGTAATCACCATGCTATAACTTTGATGACGGGAGCTGACATTATACATTACGAAGCTCTTTGATCTTTTTAATTTGTCGGCATACGTTCAAGTGACCTTTAATAAAGTTAGGATGACATTGACAGTCCATACTGATTTTAGAGTTTTTTTTCACAAGGGTATAATTATAGAATACGGCTCTGTCAAGTCCTCTTAGCATCTCCCTAATTTGGATTGGAGGGGGCCACTGCCAGAGTGCCAATTTTTTGAATACATTCTAACAAAGGGGGAACAAATGTTGAAAACAAAGTGCTTAATTCCTGCATTTTATGCAATTTGAAAGATTTTGATTTTCAATTTTATCAAATTTTCACACTGAATTATTGCATATTTTCACAAAAAATGTATTCTTTGGCTTTTTGTTTGTTTGGCGAAGGGGCGCGCAAACTTTTTGGTTACCTCCAGACTCCATCACTACACAAGGCCCACCGACATTGCAATGACAAAGTACACTTCTGAGAGAAAAGGAACATAAAACATTTTAAATAACACTTTAATAATAACAAGAATCACAGAATGTAACGAACAATGCATAACAAAAACAACATGATATTTTTTGTAATGAAAATACTATCCTATCACAAATGTGACTTAAATAATTGATTTCCATTTGTAATTCAAAAATGTTTTAAAATATTACATAAAAACTATATAATTTATAGCCAAATTGTATGATAAAAACAAGTTTTCTCAGAAAAATATGAAACCAGATACTATTGTTAAATTTCCAAGTCCCATTTATCTTTATTTAAACTATCATTATAAGTGTTTTTGTGATAAAAAAAAAGACAGGAAAATACTTTCTAAATGATTGGAATTTGGACACGCACATAATTATGAGACCTTGGAATAACATGATCAAAAGTCCCTGTTTTAAGGATCTTTCTAACCACATCCTTGTTTTCAACTTCAAGGACGTTCAAGACCACATCCCTCTTTTCAAGGATCTTTCATGGGCACATCAATGTTTTTAAGAATTTTCAAGACCTAAAACATGCTTTCAAGGACCTTCAAGATCCATTCCTGCTTTAAAGGATCCTTCAAGACCACATCCTTGTTTTCAAGGGTCTACATCTTTGTTTTCAAAGATCTTTCAAGACTACCTCCTCGCTGTCAAGGTTCCTTCAAGACTATATCCCCGCTTTCAAGGATCCTTCAAGACTACATCCTCACTTTTAAGATCCTTCAAGACTACATCCCTGCTTTCAAGGATCCTTCTAGAGTACATCCTGCTTTCATAGATCTTTCAAGATCACATCCCTCCTTTCAATGATCCATCAAGACTACACCCCTGCTTTCAAGGATCTTTCAAGATCATATCCTTGTTTTCAAGGATCTTTCAAGACTACACCCCTGCTTTCGTGGATCTTTCAAGATCACATCCTTGTTTTCAGGGATCTTTCAAAACCCATTCCTGCTTTCATAAATCTTTCAAGATCACATCCCTGTTTTGAAGGATCCTTCAAGACTACATTCCCGCTTTCAAAGATCCTTCAAGACTACATTCCCGCTTTCAAGGATCCTTCTAGATTACATCCCGCTTTCAGGGATCCTTCTAGACTACATCAGGCTTTCAAGGATTCTTCTAGACTACATCCCGCTTTCAAGGATCCTTCAAGACTACATCTCGCTTTCAAGGATCCTTCTAGACCACATCCATGTTCCAACATGCACCATGATAGGTACATGTAAAAAAACAGAATTTAGGCCTACCAATGACAAAATAATAATAGAAATGACATGAAAGGATATTCTGCTCTTGAGATCAGATCATGAGAGTAGTTTTACATTATATGACTTATTCTTCATAAAAATATATGTACATGTAATTAGTAACTATTACCTTTGCTGACTACATCTCTAATAAACATTTTATTAACATGATTATACTAGATGAAATGAAGGTTCAATTTGATCTTCACATGTTGCTTCATGATCCAGTGCATTAGAACTATTTTCTGTCATTAAATAAAAGGTTGCAAAATCATTTCCTCTGAGTTTAAAAAAATTGGCTTTAAGTGATCAATTAACTACAAATATATCTACAGCAGTCGGAGGTCCAAGACCTATTTATGGATTTTAACAAATAACAGTCATTTATCTGAATATATATCCTATTTGGAAGCTCTGCTGGGATCCAGTTATGCAATTTAGAGATTTTAAAAGTTTTAAAATATTTACTCTAACTGTGTTATCTGTCACAATGACATGCAATATAAATAAAAGTACAGTGAAAATTGAGTTGCCTTTTAAATGAAATGTCAAATCCTATTCATGAGGACTATATCTATCTTAATCTTCTTATATAATATAGAATTTGGCATATATCTAATCCCATACAGGATCAATTACCTTCATTCCATCCTGTCATTCCATTTATCTTGTATTACTGATAACTTAAAGTTAAGTTGTGTAATTACATGTTTACCAGCTGATAATTGAACATTCGGCCAGAGATATCTGAACTTTCATATATATATATTATAAAGCTACGAAATGCATATATCATAGCAGCTCAATATATGCATTTTATGGTTGGTTTAGCAATTGCAATTTTTCAATTTGAATTTTTTTATGCCCCCCTATTGGTATATTTCTTATAGTAAGTATATCAAATTTATCTCACTCAATTGACCCAATTTCTTTACATCAGTATTGATGATGGATCAAATATTCATGAGCCTTGTCCATAGACAATCTATTTTTACTCAATTGAAAAAGAAATCTGACATTGGAACAACAATCTGCAAATGGCTGTGGTAGGCTCAAATGGCTGATTCTGGATATACTAAGCAAATGGCTGTGGGAGACTCAAATGGCTGATTCTGGATATACTAATTAGACATTTCTATAATAACATGACATGGAATAAGAAAGGTTTAATATCAGCTACTGATACATGTATTAGATGGTATATCTATATAATCTTTTATCTCCTGTATAACTGACTTAGATAACTGATATATTACACTTTTAGCTATTACATCATACTTTCTCCTACCATACATGATAACTAATAAATATAATGGGCTTATTTTTTTCTGGAAACACTTTTCCGCTAAACGCAATGTCTCTGAATTATACACATGTTCATTGCACTTGTCAGCCTTCGGCGTGAAATTTTGATTTCCATAGATATAAGCTTCGTCAATATAATAAAAGTGCATTTTACTGTCGTGGAATGGAAGGAAGCGACTGGAAGCTGTGGACAGAGATGATGTCCGTGATGAATCAATCTGAGCTTTTTGACTAAACAATGGCAGTTTTATAGTTTGTTTTCTATTAGAATGTTGATTTTCGTCTCCCTGAATTGAGTCCTTATCCAACCTAGAGTCGATAGAACGGTTCACAACTTCTTCATAATATTCATCAGTAATAGGCTGATATTTCTCACTAGATATGGAAGAGTCTAGATCTTCTCGTGATGTCAAGCTATCCCGACTAGATGTCAGATTTAAACCTGATCCTACACTATCACGATCAGTCATATATCGGGATTTTAACATATCACGATATGTCAGTTCAGAATTTGGACCCTGAATATGATCACTAGAATCGTTTTGATTGTTTACATTTTCAAAAACTTGAGGTTCAACACATTCTAAATCATTTTGGTCATTTTGACCTATTTCCATATCACAATTGCTATTCTTTGGTCCCAATTTGTCTCTATCATCCAGCTTTGTTGCCCTGTCATTTTCATTCTGAACTACAGGGTCAGAATCAAGAACGTCTCCACAATGTTCACTATCACACACAATCTGAGGAATTTGAGTCATTGACTGTACAGTATTCACTTCAACTTCTACTTCAACAAAGTTTTCAACATTGCCTGGATTAGGTGAGTCTCTAGATATATCTTGTTGAGCAGATTTTGGAGTAACTCTGGGTGTGTTTGAATTGTTGTGTGGTCTTGGTGAGCCAGTAGGAGTTATCTCCTCTTCAGAAGAAGTATAAGCGTCATGATAGTATTGAGAGTAGACTGTTATTCCAGGATAGTGAATAGGAACACCGTCTAGGCTGGGAGTAGTACATTGGTTCCTGTCTGTAAATGAAAATCAATGGATCGTTAAATCCTGTCGTTGTAAAGCTATGTTTATTAGAGATATATAAGCAGGAAAATGGCATGTTGTATGAAGTTTATGACAGAACTGAAAGCTAGAAGCTAACAAAGGTTTTGGCCTTAGAAATTTGCTCAGTGTGTTGAAGATTACAGTTCTGGTACAAATGTATTATGTAATGCCCAATTGTGAGAATCTTGTTATTCCAGTTTAAGAAAATGTGAATTGAATTTGAATTACGATTTCATAATGATAGTTCTTTTAAACCAGTATAAATGTCTAGACAAACTTGCTACTGGTTACTCAAATCCCTTTCAGAAAACTCAGGCTTATTGTCTCATGGAATAGATTTTCTTTGCCTTCAGGAGATGACATTCAAGAAGAAATAGTAAACTTGTTAAATTACCTGCAGGAGAGCTGGCATCAATATCAACCAGTATGTGAAGATTTAACAATTTCTGACAAAATTCCACAGCTTTCTCTCTATAGAATGGTCCCAGTTTATATGAAGGATCTACAAACAGATTTAATATTATCATAGAAATTTTGATATCATTTAATTTTTTTGGAAGATTGTCAACATATTTTTAATGTTATCTTACACCATACAAGCTGTACATTTCTCTGTAATACTTGTATGCTTCAAGCTATGCATGTTAAAGTCCATCATCTTATTAACATAAGAAAACTTATTACATATTTCTATCAGGTTTCACAGTGGCAGATATTACGGACCGAGGTAAGAAATATTTGTAATGTCACATGATTTTAAACCAGACAAATCAGTACTCAGTAATTTTTGGTGTGTTTTGTGAATATGAACACACACAGAAACAACAGATACTTCTCTTGTAATTAAAGATCGTTTTGATTATCGAAGTTCATTGCCTCATACGAAGTTATTTAGATAAAGTGACAAAAATCCAGTCTTTATTATCTATAAGGGGGCATAGGGGGCATGTCCTGGTGGGAAGCAAAAAAGAGTAGACTAATGCTGCTGTTTTGATTAAAATTCAATGTTTGTCTTTGTTTTGCCTTGGTAGGATACCTAGTACATAACAATATAACCTGTTCATAATAAAGATAACACAGAGTGACCTGACTATGTAAATCCTTGTTCTAAATTCGATCATAAGGTTTAAGTCATTTATAGCTTTCTTATGTCTCTATGGAATTACTTGGTTAAGATGTGACATTTTTACATAATCATTTTGAAGGATTATTAAATAGTTCATCCAAAAACGTTTTATACTTTATGGAAGATTGTGAAATAATTGATGTTGACAGAAAATTGTATTTCTTATCTAATAAAAAGTTATTTTGAGAATCTTGAAAAAGTGATTACTGCTCAAAAATTACCACATTTGAAGTGACAGTATGAAATTTGAAATCCGTACCATTTGTAGGATTACTCCCTCTATTAGCCAATAATGAATGAGCCAAGAATGATTTTATAATGTTCACAACTTGTCATCTACTAAAAACTTTCTAGTTTGCGATATCAGCATCCATAGGAAGTGAACGTCAACTTGTTGTCATCTACCAGCCAACCAAACTTATTTTGTCCTCAGGAGATGAGGAAGGCAATTTTAACACTAATCATGTATTAAATTAAAGTTTAATACCAAAGAGCCCACAGCATAAAAGATTATTATTTCTTTTTAACGATCAGATTTTGAGTTGATGAAATATTAATTACTCTCACAGACAACTTAATGAGTTTTATATTTCAGAATTTGTACTGAATATTTTAAAATTCATCAAAGTATGGCTGAGGTTGATTAAAAAAAAAAAAATCTTTTAAAGTAGAAGATTGCAGCAAACTGTCAAATTAAGGATTAATATCTTCAAGTACAGTTGAACTTGCATGAAGCAAGAAGTCAAGGAATGCTTAGAATTGATAGCTTGGTGAAGGTGCTTGTAAGGTGATATTTTCTAACGCACTATAAAATCTTTTAGAGAAAAGTTCCCCAGAGTTTAAATCATTTTTTTTTACCAGTATCAATAAATATATTATATATATAACTTTGTTCAATACTATTTAGTATTAGGGTGTATTGAGACGAGTCTCAATAATTTAGTATATGATGGCCACATAGCACATGTAAGTTGAGTAAAGTTGTATGTGATAGTAAGGTTATAAGATAGGTGGCTACTGGCTAAGTCAACGATTGCCATTTAATAAAGGTGAAGTTGGTTGGGAATTGCATGGGGGGAAGTTTTACTCGTATACAAGTTTCAATGAAGATGACATAATATTTAAAAGAATGTACCTATTTTATGTACTAAATGTTTGTGGTACATCAACCAACTCACTAGAATATGACCATTAAAACATTTATTTTTAGTTTCCAGATCTTCACATAGTTTATATAGTAAGGTCGTCATAGCTGGGTCTACAGTGATCAGATGAGGTTCATTCTGAAATAGATATTTTAAAGGGATTATAGAGGGGTTTTCTAAAAAAAATTATATGTATATTGGGGACACTGATAACACTGATTTGCAACATTTGAATTATCAATCAGACATCTGTGGTTCTTGAAACTGAGTGTTTATTAGAACCATGTTTTGAAAACCACTTCACAATCCCTTTAAGGATTTATTTTATAATGTATATGCAGTGTGGTGCAGAAATAACTGACATGCAAGAAAATTTCCGTATTCCGTATTTAAATTATAATGTCTGAAGAGGATGTTGTTTTATTTATATAAATCTTTGAATATAATTGAATTATTTGCTTAATCTACATGAGAAATAATAGTGATTAGATGGTTTTCTTTCTGGAACATAATAATAGTAGATTACATCAAATATGCACACTTTATCATACAGTTGGAAGAACGTTTCTTTGTTATTTGCATAATCTTTTAATTGAATCAAATTCGTTTGAAATAAAGGAGTCTTGTATTTTTACTATTAAAGGGATTGTAAAGAGTTTTTCTAAATTTTTCAAGTTTATTGGTAACACTGATAGCATCAATTTGCACCATTCCAATTTCTAATCAGACACCCGTGGTTCCAGCAATTCAACTGAAACTTAGCGTTCGATGATATCACTAATCATGTAGGACCTTATGTGATAAAGCAAATTTTGTGATTAGTGACATCATTAAACATTAATAGAGGAATTGCAGCAACCACAGAAGTCTGATTGAAAATTCAAATGGTGCAAATTGATGCTATAAGTGTGCCTGATACACATACATCTTTTAGAAAACTTCTTTACAATCCCTTTAAGTTCACAGGGGTTAACAAGGGGTTTAAACCTCGAAATAAACTTCTCATGATTTTTAATTAGTCTAAATGAATTAAGGGACCATATAGTATAATCTGTTATAGGTTAAGGGATTGAAGACTTGTGTAATTGTTAATTATCAAGTTTTGACATACCTGTTTTGTAAGAGTAAGATATAGAGATACAAGTTGTTTAGTTGTTAGGGTAAACAATTGAAGTTGAAATAAAACATCTTCCTAGAATACAATATTTAAAAGTCATTCCCTGAATAATGAAAAAGATAGCTTGCTAGGCAAGGTAACATACGCCCACTGGCAGCTGTCAGAAGTGATTAAACAGTCTTTAGTGACTACAGGGTTGCACAATATAGCTAATAGAGTGAAACGTCAAGTCAGACACGATATTTCGGTGAAATATTATCCGATCATCGCGAAAATCGATAGGGATCATCTTCATAATGACATTGACATACAAAATAAAAAACAAAAGAATCTGTAAACAATTGTAGCCTGTAGAGTGAGCATGAGTTGCAAAATATAGCTAATAGAGTAAAATGTCAGGTCAGACACGATATTTCGGTGAAAAATTATCCGATCATCATGAAAATCGATAGATCAACATGAAAATCAATAGGGATCATCTTCATAACGACATAGACATACAAAATAAAAATCAAAAGAATCTGTAAAGAATTGTAGCCTGTAGAGTGAGCACGAGTTGCACAATATAGCTAATAGAGAAAAACGTCAAGTCAGACACGATATTTCGGTGAAAAATTATCCGATCATCACGAAAATCAATAGGGATCACCTTCATAATGACATTGACACACAAAATAAAAATCAAAAGAATCTGTAAAAAATTGTAGCCTGTAGAGTGAGCACGAGTTGCACAATATAGCTAATAGAGAAAAACGTCAAGTCAGACACGATATTTCGGTGAAAAATTATCCGATCATCACGAAAATCAATAGGGATCATCTTCATAATGACATTGACATACAAAATAAAAATCAAAAGAATCCATAAAGAACTGTAGCCTGTAGAGTGAGCACGAGCCAAATGTGAACGGACCGACGGGGTGATTACAATATACGCCCATCTTACGTGTGGGCGTATAAAAACAGTCTTAACTAAATGAAACTAAACTTTTAACCTTGAGAGCTTTTATCAGAATATATACATCAAATGTTAATGAAGGGAAGCAACAACTATAACAAAGGATATAGTAAAATATATTTGCTGAAAACATGTTGTTTTAGGTACAGGTGTGGTATTTTCAGAGGTTGATTTGGGCCTTGAATATATGTAAATAGTCTTCAGAACTACTAAAACTTTACGAAAATCGCATTATTCCTTATTAAACATGTAAGACCAAAAATATATATTGGTGCAATTACATAAGATTGTTTTGAAGATTATGTAGTATTTGTACTCACAGCAGGTTTTAATGCATATACATCATACAGTATACAACAGTATTATCATCATACTTAGGATTCATTTTATGCATGAACTATTTTTATAAAAATTTAACTGGTGCATAAAAAACAAAACAATGCTATATGAACAATCAAAGCCTTTAAATTGGCTTAAATTAAGTGTGCAATCTGATAAATGTTATAAATTGCTACTCACAGCTTGTGATAATAGAAGTTTCTTTGATATACCATTATCATTATTATTCATAAACTTTAATAAATACTAAAAAAAGAACATCAATAAACATTTTAATACTATAATATATCTATTTACTTGTATATTTTTCTAATTGACGGAAGCTTATAGCATCCTGTTTACACATGAGCTTAAATTCTTGATAAGGCATCATGAAGTCTAGAGAGGGGTAAAGCAGTCACAATAACTTAGCAAATATAAAGTTTATCCATTTTGATGTCTTATACAGGTTAAAATCCAGATGTAGTCTTAGTGAAAAATTTAGATGTTCCAATAAAATTGAAAAAAACATTATCAGTTATGTGGACTCTTTGAAAGGGACACTATCTTGACAGACTCAGTTTTATGATAAGAAAGTGTGAACAGTGCCTAGATGTTTCAGTATAGCTAGCTTGCCCCGCCAGACTTACTGTAATAGCCTGGATAAGATTCTGTGCCTTGGTCTGTACACCTCTTTCTTCTTTCTTTAATTTATCAACTTCCAGCTCAAAATCCTGAAGATATAAAGAATTTCCTACAATTTATACTAATACCTGCGAATAATTTCATTGGTTGAAAACAACTTAATGTTTTGTGCTTGGAAGTGATATATGACTTGTGATTTTGTTACATTATTTTTGGATTTACTTGGCTGATATAATATAATGAAAATGTGGAATAATTGGAACCAATAGAAAGTGAACTACAAGATTTAGACAATAGTTTTACATATGGTAGTTCTACATCTCCCAAACTAATAAAGAAGGAAACTCCGATGGAATATACAAGGAACATTTATAAAGCTACAATAAAATACAGTCAACAATGTCATTAGGTTCATTAATCTTAATTTAAAATATATTTAAGTAATTGACTAACTCAGATCTAAAATATCATGGAAACAAGTCCAAAGACAGCCTGAGAATCTTTCCCCTTGAAAATTCCACAATCAGCATTAATGTCAATGGGAAACCAGGCTAATAATTCTACTTGTATTCCTTCAACAAAATTTTAATAAAAAGCTACATACTTGGACAATGAATATCCACAGATTTTCATGAAGCATCAAATAGCAATCTTTATATAACCATTGACTGAGACTAGTAAAATAATTAGTTAGAAAATCTATAATAGGTCTGAGACACTTCCCTACAGATTCCTTGGTAGACTTCAACTCTAACAATAATGGTATGGCATCTTTCAGAAATAAGTTCAACTGAAATAAATAATAAACTGTTAAACTATGATGTTTATGGTAAATCTTTAAGCCTCCTGCAGAGAGATTCTCATTTCTACACATACATATAACTGATCTATGATAATTATTTTTTAAATGTATATGAATTTCTCATATTCTTTCAGTACTCTTTTCCAAAATGATTACTGAACTTGAGAATTTCTATTTCTAATAGTATTCTTTTTCTTTTATTCTTATCATCAATTACAACCAAAATTAACTACCAGTAGGTGGGACATAGTGCTCAGAATTTGGAAAATTTATTGGTGCATTCACTCTTTATTTCTATGAAAACAGAAAACTGCTATCTAGTTGGACAAACTTTTTTTTGCATAAACAGTATATCTGTTGCTATATTTAAATAATATCTTACCCTATATGAACTTACCCTATAAGACAATAATTTCACCATACCACGTAATACTGACATGATATGAGTTTGTATAAAAGATAAAGATGGTTTATTGATGGCTGTTTTTCTACAATAATTCTTAATCTCATCATCTTCATTATCACCATCAAATAAACTCTCTATCATAGAATAATCTGTAAATATATGTATATAGATATTATTTATGAACGTCTGCTTGTGTTTCCTGCCTATATATATCAGATAAATTAAAGACATATCAAATTCTTTTTACACAGGAAACCAGTTGGAAATTATCATCAGAATGTGGGCAGAATAGATTAATCCATTTATTGAAATCCAATAACCATAAAATTAATCATCAACTCTGATGATTTCTCAGGTTGTAATAAAGATTGTTCAAGTATTAAAGTCAAAACAGAAAAGCCGCACTTTTTGATCAGGGAACCAAGACAAAAACAATCCAACAAAATGTAAGAACCCTGTTGTCATGATCAAAGAAAATAGAATGAAAAGTATTCAAACACATTAAAAGCAATAATATAGTCTTATAATCCCTAAGATTTAATAAGGAATATTGTTGAATGTTGTGAATTGACCGTTGATTGCAATAACTCAATATGAGTGGCCCATCAATAGGGAGCTGTTGAATAGATGAAGAAATTGTGTGGGACACTGGCCTATGATTGAGGGTCACTCTAAATATTGGTGACCTTTCGAACAAGTTTTTTACAAAGAAAACTTACTACTGGAATCGGAAACAGCTGATTCTCTTCCAGTATTACTATCAACATCATCTTCTATACCAACATAGTCTTCTTCACCATGGGTTAAATTTATAGACAGTAGTAACTGCTGTTCATAATGTTCCAATAATTTACTTAATAAATACACATTGTTTACTCTACTACACATCTAAAATATAAATACACATTGTTTACTCCTCTACACATCTAAAATATAAATACACATTGTTTATTCTACTACACATCTAAAATATAAATACACATTGTTTACTCCTCTACACATCTAAAATATAAATACACATTGTTTATTCTACTACATATCTCAAATATAAATACACATTGTTTATTCTACTACACATCTAAAACATAAATACAAATTGTTTATTCTACTACATATCTCAAATATAAATACACATTGTTTATTCTACTACACATCTAAAATATAAATACACATTGTTTACTCTACTACACATCTAAAATATAAATACACATTGTTTACTCCTCTACACATCTAAAATATAAATACACATTGTTTATTCTACTACATATCTCAAATATAAATACACATTGTTTATTCTACTACATATCTCAAATATAAATACACATTGTTTATTCTACTACACATCTAAAATATAAATACACATTGTTTACTCTACTACACATCTAAAATATAAATACACATTGTTTATTCTACTACACATCTCAAATATAAATACACATTGTTTATTCTACTACACATCTCAAATATAAATACACATTGTTTATTCTACTACACATCTCAAATATAAATACACATTGTTTATTCTACTACATATCTCAAATATAAATACACATTGTTTATTCTACTACACATCTAAAATATAAATACACATTGTTTATTCTACTACACATCTCAAATATAAATACACATTGTTTATTCTACTACACATCTCAAATATAAATACACATTGTTTATTCTACTACACATCTCAAATATAAATACACATTGTTTATTCTACTACATATCTCAAATATAAATACACATTGTTTATTCTACTACACATCTAAAATATAAATACACATTGTTTATTCTACTTCACATCTAAAATATAAATACACATTATTTATTCTACTACACATCTAAAATATAAATACACATTGTTTACTCTACTACACATCTAAAATATAAATACACATTGTTTATTCTACTACATATCTCAAATATAAATACACATTGTTTATTCTACTACATATCTCAAATATAAATACACATTGTTTATTCTACTACACATCTAAAATATAAATACACATTGTTTATTCTACTACATATCTCAAATATAAATACACATTGTTTATTCTACTACACATCTCAAATATAAATACACATTGTTTATTCTACTACACATCTAAAATATAAATACACATTGCTTATTCTACTACACATCTAAAATATAAATACACATTGTTTATTCTACTACATATCTCAAATATAAATACACATTGTTTATTCTACTACACATCTCAAATATAAATACACATTGTTTATTCTACTACACATCTCAAATATAAATACAAATTGTTTATTCTACTACACATCTAAAATATAAAAAGATAACAATAAGACACACACACAAAAACAAGACCAAAGAATTACCTGTAATATTTAATTTCAAATTTACTCAATTTGTTTTACAGATTTCTGACTGTCCAGCACTCAATGACAAAAAATAAGGGCTTATTCTAGATTTTAGATTTCATTCTAGACAGGATTCTTGTTTACGACATACAACAACAGCCTCTAGAGTAGACATACGACTTTTTAAGGGTTTCCCCTTGAATTCAAAATTTTTTGAGGAATTTTAGGGCTGCGGAACAGCCTGAAATGTGAGCAGTACTTAATCTAGGTACCTGTTGAGTAATTGGTTCATATCTATCACATAAATAGCTTGTTTGTTTATTGGCATATTGTAAACAATCTGTTTGTGGTTTCAGTTGATGTCGACATCCCCATAATAATCCACTTATTTGTTGAGTTTGAATATATTCTATCAGCTGAAAAAATCAAAACCCCTTATTCTATTAGGATATCTACACAAAAGGCAAATATTCAATTTCTTTTTAACATCAGCTCTAGTACCTTCTCTTCAATTGTAACTGTTGGATCACCAAACAGGCTATCCCTACACGACTGTGCCTGTGCCCTGTGCTTTCGTAACATTACTTAACTGCAATGTTCCAAAGTAAAATTCCTTATTCCTAACCTTAATATCAGACAATTGACTATCCTTTGGATAGATCAGAATTGATCAGTTTTTGTAACCTAGATTTAGTTTGTGGAGTAAGGAATTATTTCTATAGGGTTATGAATGATATGGAATTAGGAATTTTACATTTGATCATCAGTTAAGTAATGTTATAAAAGCTATTACAATTTATGCCTTATACCTTGACTGTAATAGTCGCCTTTCTTGTATCAGCCAATTGGTTGGATTGTAAGTTTGCCAATACAAAAAGTATGTAAACAATAAGTCATATCATTACCATATGGCTGTATTCCATGATGAAATAAAGGTGGCTACTGCAATCAAGGTATAAGACAAAGTTTCTAATAGCTTGACATTGTGAAGATGATATCAGTAAGAAAATTAAAATGAGTTCAAATCCTACCTGAGGTCCCAATATTTTCTTAGACAGAGATAAAGATGAACCACATAAATCTAATGACAACATATTATCAACGTACATACATATAGTCTCACGTATTGTCTACAAATTTAAACATATACAAAGCATATATTATATTGTCAATCATTTTAAAAACAGTTAAGAGATGATGACTTGTAACATGAACATACACTTGATTGCTTCATTAATTCAATGAAAACAAAGATGATCACCTATTTGTACTCTTTGTTCTATAGTTATAAGTATATAGTATAGTATTGAGCATTTTAACAGTCAAATTATTTGTTAATTTTTATTGATATAAACAAATATCAAAGTAACTTACCTTTAAAAATCTGCTATAAACATCTTGTTTAGCAGTAAACTGTTGGAATTCCAGTCTAATTATAGTATCACAGGAAACCCCTGGAAGTTCTTCTGATTGGATGGAAGGATATATAATATCACACAACATTTGAACGAAGTATATATTACGTTGTAAAAGTACCATCATATCAATAGCTGAGCCTGATACAGGCAGTAGAACATTAGAATTTGGGAAGTCAGGCATTGTTACTGTGGACAGATCTGACACAAGGGAATCCATAAAGTCCGACTGTAAGGTCGAGTTGCCCACATCGGAAGTCAAATCATCTCTAGAAGTCTGTAAACTATTCGATCCTGATTTGTTAAAGAATGCTGTGTACATTTTGGATAGGAATCCTGAGCTTTGAGGTACACCAATAGATGGCGCTGTAGTAGATGGCAAGCTATTTTGTCTCATACGATTCAAACTGTCAGCAGTTCTACTGCTTTTTGCAACTTTAATGGTAGATATTTGTGGAAAACTATAGGCAACTTTTTCACTGACAGGAGAAACACTATCAGCTTCATCAACAGATTCATGAAAGTTCTTCATTACTTCTCCTATTTCTTCATCTGTATCAGAATCATAATTGTAACCTTGACCCTGTGAATGACCTTGAACTTGACCTTCATCACCATTACCCTGTAAACCTGCAGTAGGGGTTCTATTAGAGTCAGAATGTGTACTGAATAGAGTAGGATCATCTTGTATATCCAGACTGTGGACTGACTGACAAGTGATATCCAAGGAAGACTGGGGTTGTCTTTCCGTCGTAGTTCTAATAATGTCTGGCAAGGAATTGGAAGTTCGTATTCCACCAATATATCTTGTTGTGGTTTCAGGGACATTTAAAGACTGAGTATCAAAGTTAAATTGTGGTTCAGGAAAGCCATTTGGAATCTGTTCTGGGCTCTGTTCAATAATAGTAGAACTCTTGGTTTTGATTATATGTTCATGCACCTAAATGTAAAGACAAGAGGAAAATCTAAGATTGCTGTAATATGCTGTTATATTTAATTCAAAGACTTGTAAATAAGATTATAAGGGATTAATTTGTTCATAAAAGTCATGTGTTGGCATATTCAAATAAAAACATACAGCCATTTCATACTTGGAAGTTAACATTACATGTATATTAAGATTGAAATTGATTTGGTTATATAATTCAAAACTTCATAATATAGAACTGCCAGTATGGACAGTTTCTTCAAAGCAAAATAAAAAAAATTTCCAACACAAGCCTTCATGTTTAGGAGTTAAGAGTTAATGAATACTTATAAGCTTCTATATATGTCAGAGAATTGTTTATGATTATAATGGACTATTTTGTTCATTGGAGTTGTATGGAGCAGTCAGCAAAGGCCTTATCTTATAAATAAAAAAAACTCTGCAACATACATGTTTAGGAGTTGAAATAACAGAAGAATGAATACTACTGAAGGCACTGTTAACGGATGGTGTTAATGACTTCAGAGAGAAATTAAAACTTCTTCTGCTGACTGTTCTACTGGTAGGTTGAGACAGTGGACCTTCTAGACATATTTCTTTCCCCTTAAACTATAATAGATATCATATATCACATCCATTACTCATTACTCAGTTATGAAATTAACAATGTATTGCTTTATACAATACTAATTCTCAAACAACCATAATGTACATATTGTACCTTGTTCCATACCATAAGATGAGTAACCCAACTGTTAAGAATGATCGACAGACCAAGAGTTTGACTTGATTTTGGATTTGCTTTAGTATGAATTCCAATAAAATCTTGTACCATATTCACCACAGATCATGGCCACTATCTTATCCATACAATAAAAGATAACCTGGTACTATATAATCTATAAAACATTATAAATAAACAACCATAAAATACCTGATCATTTTCCACAGACATTAAAACTAAATTCTGTAACTGAACTCTAAAAGCTACAGCCCATTGAACAACTTCACCTTCATAGTAACTTCTCCATACTTGATATCTGCAATTATACAAATGACATGTAAGAATGAGTTGGGGAAAATATCAAATTGTGTTCATTCCTAACTGAATATTCATTTAATTACACAAGCAAATATTTCTGAATAATAACATTTTGTTTCATATGATTTATAATTTACTACAGACTTGAAAGAAGGCATTATGAATAAATCACTAATCCAGAAGCAAAAAAATGAGCATAGAAAATTCTGTATAATACTTACTGAGGTAGAATATACTGACTAAAATCTTGATCAAATTGGTTCAACCTATAAGCTAAACCTAACATCAATAAGCTGATATCCATTGGCTAAAATACAATAAATAAAATGCTTTTATTTCACACATAAAAATTTGTTGGAATAGCCTACAACATAGTATTTACCTTTAAAACGGAGGTATCTGTCTGTGATGCAGGTAAGAGGGGATGACAAGGACAAAAGCGTATAGTTCAGATTAGACAATAAACTGTGGCCCTGTGGGCTACAAGCTGTGTACCTTAAAGATCCCTCAACAGTTGGAGATCCCCATTCATTTCATTTTGTTAATTAATTGATAAATATGTGCATCATGGGAGATTTGATGTTTAAAGCTGGGTCATATCAATTCTGAATATTTTTACCTTACACACAATAGTTCAAATTGAGATAACAAGTTCTTAATTGATGGGCAACATACCTTATTCTTTTTCTCAAAATCCAGGACATTTTCTATATCTTGCATCAATAAAGAATAAAAACTTTGAGCTGCTAATTCAGATATATCAAAAAACCTAAAATAGAAGATTCAGTTTCAGTTCATTAGCTAAAAGAACTTACATACCTGATATTCTGGGTTGAGCAATTTAAACTCAAATTCAATTCACAGAAAATGTCAAAACTGTTGGAAATATTGGTTTTTTAATTCTCAATACTAGAAGGCAATACATTTTTCAGGTGTAGTGTAGTAGCACCAAAGCTTTGAAAATCCCCTAAAATGAGCATTTTCAGAGTAGATTTGGATATATAGTCTTTAGAAGTACTAGATCTGTACAAAAATCACATTATCTCTTTCAATATATCTTGAACTAGAAAATTTCACTTCACATTTCGATCTTCAATACCACCTCCCCTCCCCCCACTGTGTGAACATTGTATTTCTAGTCAACAAGGTCTATATCATAGGAATTACTGTATGTGCATGCTCAAGACAGAATGACTTTATGACTCTATATGGTAGTGTTTAGACCTGTGGAATTTTGGAAAAAAATGTTTAAAGTTATCTTAATATCTTACCTGTCAAATATCTGCTGAAAGTTGGTTTTATAATCCAATATTTCATCTCTGATATTATTTATTAATATATTTAACTGAAATATAATTGAATTTTACATAAATATAAATGGATGGCATAGAACCATACTTAGACTAGAAACTACAGTGCAAAAATCAAGCTTTTGTGGCAAAAGTCATGTTAATTTAAATTGCCAAGTTTTCCTTGTGAAAATATCTAATCTAGAGTATATTCTTATTCTGTTTTTACATCCATTCACAAAGTTCACTTACTAATTTAGGACAAAGACTATTTTCTCTACCCAGTTCAGCTTGTGCCACCATTTTGTGTTGCTCATATGCTGGTTTAAATATGTCCTAAATCGAAAAAAATGTTGAAATGCTAATTAGTGCTATCATTGAAATTTACCACAAAAATTATGAACTATTCTTCCTTTAAGAGTAGATGTTATCTCTAACTTATCTTGTTGCCATTGGACACTTTGTCATGATTGTGATGTCCTGGTGCTCTTGTCAGGATTTGGGCCTAATTTCTGTTGATTCTCTATAAGATTAAATTTGAATGGACTGATCAGAATTACAAAGGGATTTAGCAACTAAAGCTAGATCTAACACGGTTTTATTCCAGTATGACTGTTCACTGTTCTTCAATGAAAACATGGTTATAATGTGATAGAAAATTAAAATATCATAAACTGCTCTATTACCTTTAACAATGAATGTAAATAATGTTTCATCACTGGTTTTTTCTCTAGAGTAAGATAGGATTTAATATCTTGAGCTATAGACAGAAGATCTAGCAATAACTCTGAAATTATAAAGAATACAGTATAATAACAAAATACCTTATAAATTATTGAAAACAGTCAAACCCAACTGTCCTAATGATTGATTTTATATCCAAAACATTGCAATAAGATAAGCTCTATTTGAATCTAGAGACTTCAAAGTGTAGTTTCCTTTTGGCATTTATTCAGTCAATTTGCTTGCTATGCTTGTGGAATATTGTCCTTATCTACTAGCTATTTTAATGAAAAATTTCAAAATTACAATCTGATACTTTATGTGACAAATTTTAACAATTCTAGGTGCTAATTGAAATTACAAATTTATGATAAACAAAATATATTTGAAAAAGCTGTAGCCTAATCAAAGTTAAGATGAGGAAGAAAACTTCTTACGCCATGACCTTATCCTCTTGCTTCCAGTCAAAGAAAAAATAACTCACCCACTCCCTCTGGAGGTTGATTATTAGGAAAAAGGTTTTTCATCTGGGTTAAAGCTTTAGATGTCTGGACAATGATAGACTGAACACTTTCATCTAACATTAAATACTGAAATCAGGGAACATAACATGAAAATTAGCTTTATTAAGATATATATATTATGCTCAGTTGTAACCTCTTGAAAAGTCTTGTTATAAAAATTCATGTGTAAGCATGTTTTAACAGTGTTAACTTCTGCTAGTTCAATACTAGTGAATTGTGGCATGCTTTTGACCTTTGGCTGATTTGGAAGACAGTTGTCAGCCATAGCATTGTTGGATATGGATAATAATAAATAAAATATAAAAGAACTACAAACCTCCTCTCTGACCATAACTAAAGTACCTCTATTGTGAGGTAATACTTCATATATAGTTGATAATACTGTAACTATATGATGTAAATACCATACATTAAAGCTTAATTTCTCTGTTAAATATTTTATATACACAATCCTTCTATACTGCTCTCCCTGTAATATATCAATTTCTCTGTTAAATATTTTATATACTAAATCCTTCTATACTGCTCTCCCCATAAAAACATTCATTTCTCTGTTAAATATTTTATATACACAATCCTTCTATCTGCTCTCCCTGTAAAAACATTAATTTCTCTGTTAAATATTTTATATACACAATCCTTCTATCTGCTCTCCCTGTAAAAACATTCATTTCTCTGTTAAATATTTTATATACACAATCCTTCTATCTGCTCTCCTTGTAAAAACATTATTTCTCTGTTAAATATTTTATATACACAATCCTTCTATCTGCTCTCCCAGTAAAAACATCAATTTCTCTGTTAAATATTGTATAAACACAATCCTTCTATACTGCTCTCCCTGTAAAAACATTAATTTCTCTGTTAAATATTTTATATACACAATCCTTCTATACTGCTCTCCCTGTAAAAACATCAATTTCTCTGTTAAATATTGTATATACACAATCCTTCTATACTGCTCTCCCTGTAAAAACATTCATTTCTCCGTTACATATTTTATATACACAATCCTTCTTCACTGCTTTCCCTGTAAAAACATCAATTTCTCTGTTAAATATTGTATATACACAATCCTTCTACACTGCTCTCACTGTAATATATCAATTTCTCTATTTAATATTGTAAAAACATCAATTTCTCTGTTAAATATTGTATATACATAATTCTTCTATACTGCTCTCCCTGTAAATATAGGAATTCCACGAGGAAGATCAATTTTAAGAATTTTGTTATACAGACTAAAGCCTTTCCCCTAAAACTTTTTATATTTCATGAGTTAAAGGGGGTTAATGTTAATCTTGAATATATGTTAATAGTCTTCAGAAGTACTAGAAATGTACTAAAATTGCATAATTCCTTCAAAAATATCTCAAACTAGGAATTTCTTTTCCTATTTCTATAGATGTCTTTTATATATTTTGCAGTGCCTTAAGAAAATACGACTCCATTTTTTAACTTTCAAATACGGAAGACTCAAATATCGTCAGAGGGTTGTGAACGCTGTCACTTATTGGCTTAGCAAATAATTTCTGAGACTAGGGTATGATTGGTAAAAAAAATGGCACCTCTGTCCCTTTAAATAGAAATTTTTCATCTTCTTCAGACAAAGTGTGCATGTATCAAAAACATCATAAAAGATAAAATCATGAACACAAAATGAGATTTATATCTACTTACTATTCCATATCGCAAACCAAACTCTCTGAGTAGTCTTAGTGAGGCTGAAGATAGTAAACCATATAGTGGTTTATCTATTTCACTACAATCCATTTTAGATTGACTTTCATATCTACAAATATAGGAAAATACGATAAGAATCATATCTAAATTTCATATCAACATTAGAAGTAGGCATTATCTCTTATATTTCTGTAGTACAAGTCAGATCTTTTAATCATGATCTGACATGTAAAAAGTCCTTCTTTAAGACAAGTTCAGTAAAGCTTTGATGAAGAAATGGATATCATAATGTCAGAGTTCAAGCCAATGCCCATTTATGAAGATATCAAGTGATGAACAAAGCTGAACATTTGAACATATATTTTTCACTAGAATATAAACAAAATATGTAAAATGCAAACTCACTTAAGTAATTTATTTAACAAGATACAATAGTCATGATGAAAGGAGTGTTTTTTTGAGCCATCTGTATCACTACCACTAGGGAAGGGCAGGGAAAAATGCCAGAATTTATCAAGTAATTCTGATACTTGAGCTCTTTCATTGTGTTGCCAAATATCATAACCATTTCTTGTCTGAAACAGAAATATTTCATAAATGAATCATAATCACATAATATCAAAATTACTAAATAAAGACCCAATTGAATCAAATAGTACACTTTCATTTTTAGGCAAATATTGAAAGATATATATATGATATATTGTAACCTATACCAATAAATGTCTGATGCAAAACTCATAATTAATAATAAGACAAAAGATAAGACAAATATATTACCATAAATGTATGAGGATTATAAAATGGGTTGGTATTATTCTCCACAAAACTCAGTTGTTTACACAATTCTTCTGCTAATAACTACAATTCAGAATAATCTTTGTTATAAGAGTTACAGTTACAAATATAGACCGATTATCATTTGAGAGGAAATTGATTCCCTGAGTACAAATTTTTATCCTGGACTCGTGCCTTTAAGATTCATAACTACCATCTAACAAAACTAATGATAAATATGTTAAATAAACATTCTGAAAAATCCAAATAAAGGTTTATTCTATAGCACAAAAAACAGGTTGGTATTTTCAATAGAATAGATATAAGCAATAATTTCAAAAATCTTATAGCTCATACAGAGCAACACTTAATAACACTTGACATTTAACATTTGACATCCTGATCAAATATCCCATATATCCTATGTTTTTTTGATATACCTATTCTTATTAATCATTTCAAATATTTTTTTTTTTTAGAAATGTTCACTCTCTGGATATACCTTCTGAGCAGATCTCTTTTTGAAATTGGACACAATAATTTTTTCATATTGGTTATATTGTGAAGGTGACAAGTGAAAACTTCTTCTGATTAATTCACACAGTGTTTCTGTTGGTATGACGGCTGTCTCATCCTGGTCCTCCACCCCACTGTCTTGTAAGGAATAGGGTGTGGCAGTTCGACTTTGTGGTATTTTATTAAAGCTAAACCTCTTGGTATCGCTGTCATTAGACTCAACAGGTGAGGGTGTGAATGGGGATGGTGGATCTGGTGCACCAAGTACAGGAAAGGTAGCACATAGGTAAGCATGCTGGAACACTTGAAAATCCTGAAAAAAAAATACTTATACTGCTACATGTTTATTCAATATGCACCAACTTAATCGAAAACATGTCATGAAAACTGTTTTCATTTGACTATATTAACTGTAAAAAAGATGAAATATTTACACTATTTCAACATCTGTCTCAAGTAGGTTGTGAAAGTTCACTCTCAAGGCAACTCTCAAAGGTAATTTTTCCTCAACTTGAGGAGAATGTGAAATCTTACACCTTATTGTCTGAGACTAGTATGCTCCTAATTTTACAGATGTACTAACCTTGGAATCTAGATGGTGAACTTTATATTCTTCTTTAAGCTTACTATTGGTAACAATTTCTACAAACAGAATCAATACATCATTACATTTCTATTGTTACCCAGTAGATTTTGAAATTATTGCATTTACAGCCATCACACCCTTGTTCCCAAACTAGGGTACTTGGACTCCCTCGGTTTAATCTTCATACACCACATGGGGTATCTAAGGTGCCTCCAGGAAAAGAGAACTAAGAATCCAAAGGGTTAGGAACCAAGGATTAAAGATAACATTGCACTTACCTTCATCATGTCCTTCACCAACCTACAAACAAAAAAAACAAAGTCAGAATTCACCATTGATTGGTTCAAATAATCCTTGATAAAAGTATCCGTATAATTCAAAGGCATTGTGACACTTGTTTCTCCTTCTATAGACCTGTGATTCCTAGTGATTCTCAACATTTCAAGGTCTACACCTCATTATCTATGTGTGGTGTTTTGGATAAAAAAAAAAACAGGTGTTTATTGACTTTGTAAATTTAAAAGTACCTTTCATTTTATATAATGTATATTCTCAAAGACGGAATAGTCAACTATGTTCATTCCATCAGTCTTAATATTAAATAAGTGTATGACTTACCAGAGCAACATTGGTAAAAGTAGACTTTCTACCAGCTAATAACATACAGAATCTCCTGGATCTACAGAAAAACAAACATTACAGAGTTATTTTACTATGCAATTCAAATATATTCAGGATAAGGAGAGTAGGTGGGGAGGGAATTTAAAGGGCATAACCTAATAAGGCAACAATTCAACTTGCAGGATTTTGTTCATTATATTCAGTACTGTACAGATTCTCTACTTTGAAAGAGGAAGAGGAAACAGGTTAACTGATATTATACTGAAAATAGCACTAGAGCCACTCGTGGCACAGAGTGGGACTTTGCAAATGTAGCAAATTGCAAAAGACCCCAAAAAAATCATCCTTCCACGATAATTAGATCAAGCGCAAGAACTGTCTAAAGTTGAGAAATTTTCATTTTTTAGAAGATTCTAATACCGGAAGTAGACGTCAGACCTCACAAATGAAAGTATCAGCAGATAGCCAAGGTCAATGACCTTTGATCTTGTAAAAGAGAAAGTCTAAAAAGGTCAAGATCAAGAGATATACGTCATCAAAATTTCTAATTGCACAGACTATAAAACCGGAAGTTGACATAGGACAGCAAATATGAAAGTACAAATAGATAGTCAATGCCAATGACGTTTGATCCTACAAAGGTCAAGGTCAACAAAGGTCAAGGTCAAAAATTGAAAATTTTCAATTTCCAAAACCTGTTCCTTTTTTTGAACTAAGAAGTGGAAACAACCGAAATTCTAGGACAAAGTGGCTCACAATATGAGGTAATTGTATGCAAAGTTCCATTTTGAACAAACGTATACTTTGCGAGTTATGCTCCTGGCCAAAAATATCAATAATGAGTAATATAACCCAAATGTGCCACGCCCACCTTAATTTTTTTTGAATAGGGTAATTGATATTACAAATGTTATGTTGTGTTTTAAATTGCAAGCTTCTACATTATTCAGGTCAAAAGATATAGGTCAACAAATGTCAACAAAGATCAAAATCGAAAAATGAAAATATCCAAATGTTAAAACCCGTTCCTTTTTTGGAACTATAAAGCTGAAACAACTGAGCTGTTAACACAAACTGGCCAAAAGGATGAGGTAATTGTGTGCAAAGGCCCTTTTTTAACAAACGTATCCTATGCGAGTTATGCCCCAGCCCCAAAATGTAAACGATTAGTAATTCAACCCGGATGTGCCACGCCCACCCCAATTTTTTTGTCATAGGTGAATTCATATTCAAAGTGTTTAGTTGTATTCCAAATATCAAGGTTCTACATAAAATAGGTCATAAGATATATATACACCAAGATCAAAATGACACAAATATGGTAAAACAAAACTCAAATTTGAAAAAATCACCAATTTCAATTTTGCTTTAAAAAAGCAATTGTTCTATATCTATGTTAAGTGCATGAACAGCACATTAGGAAACCGAAAAAATTAACCCTCTAGGTTAATTAGGTCACGTGCTAGAGCAGTCCAAAGTTGCGAATTTGGCTTTTTACGGATAGCTATAAAACCGGAAGTACATGTCGGACGTCAAAGGTCAAAGTATCAAATGATAGCCAAGGACCTATGAAGGTCAAGGTCATCAAAGGTCAAGGTCACATGGTGTGATCGGTTATAGCATGAAAATATTTCAACCGGAAGTTGCAAAAAAGCAAAAGCGAAATTCAAAATTCGGCTCCCAATGTTTTTGCGCAATTGATTGCGGAATACATTCACATCAAATTTGAGCATATCAACATTTACCCTGAGGCCCCATTTTGAGTTTTACAAAAGTGTGTTTTTTCAATATGGCGGCCAAAGTATCACTTCCGGTCTGGATTTTATTTTCTTCGTTTTTTTGTATTAGCATTTACTTACGATCAGCATAAATTTCGTTGACCTATTTCAATTACACCGGAAGTTATTCGACCGGAAGTGGATTGTACTTTCAATTGATTCCCGTTTAAAACCGGAAGTAAAGTTAAATATTTGACAACTACATATTATTTGCTTTAGTGATGTCCCTTTGCATATTAAATTTCAGATCAATCGATGCAAAAGCAAAAAAGTTGCAAAAAAATTGAAAAATTTGATTGAAAAAAGTGAGCGACGAATTTTCGAATTTCGTAATTTTTCAAGTGCTATCAGGTCAGAAATTACAGGTAGATTGTAAAAATGAAAACCCGAAGAAAATCGATGCAAAAATACACCTTCTAGAGCCGATTTTTGACTTTTTTCACATGTTGAACTGTGGCACTTCCGGTTTTGCAAAAATGTTCCAATTTATATTTATGCACATCGTCACCTATATAGAAGGTCTATGAAATTTGAAGCGTTGCTGCAACTACTGCAGTCTAAGCACAGTAAGGTGTGGACGAAACGAAAAAAAAAAAAAAAAAAAAAAAAAGAAGGGACATTTCGATAACAAACTGGGACTTTGCTGAAAGCAAAGTCCCACAATTATTAGGTATGTATGTGTAATGTAATACTGCAAATCAAGAAATATACAAATAAACAACTTACTCTAAATTCATAAAATAGCTGTTGATTTTCTTTACACTTGTACCATGCCTAAAAAATAGATAGTGCATAGACATATTCATCTATTGTTCATATCATAATATTTCTGTCTTTCTGGACTTTCAAAATGGCTGATTTTTAAAAACTCTTTAATTCTATCACAAACATATTCACTATTCAAATCTAAATCCAACCAATTTTTTAAGAAATTAATCTCTGAATTATTAAATCCAAATTCTCTTACTTAAGTAAAGTTTGTCCAAGATCTTCAGGTTCAATGTCTGCATCAGCAACTGTGTCCCTGATTTCTGTCTGCCGCCATTGTTGTTCTTCTGTATCTGTTACAAGCTGACAGAGAGTGGCTGGTTTAATGTGAGGTATATCACTTTCTACAGGGTACATCATCTTTAAGGTCATCTCGATTTACAATCAACCAACAATACCACCATTTTATCTTTCATTTATTCCTCATCTATAAAAAAAATTGCAAAATATATCAAAAACGATCCATCACTAATATATTATGTCCAAAACAAAATGAACTCTAGACTATCAAACTACAACATATATTTTTGACTGAACAAGTACGACCTCATCATACTCAAAAATATTATATATTTGCCTATTTCCATATCATTTATTATAAATAATGCATAAATAAAAACTAGATTCTGGTGAAGAAAACATATCAGAAATCAAACTGAGCAAAAATCAAATCAGAATTAATCACATGTACCAGTACACATATGATTACTCATTTCAATAATAATAAAACATTCAGGTATTCAGCTAATTACAGGTATACATATGATTATTCACAAAACAATTAGGAAGGGATCATTAAATATCTCATTAAACTTATAATGTAAATTATACAGAAATCAATTAATGTAATTATTCATAGCTATATAATTATTCCATTGAATTAAACACATGAACTATTTTACAGGATAAACATCTACACAATTCTAAATAAATTAGTGTATGAAAACATTGTACAGATATCTATTTTTTCATTGTTTTATGCTGAAAACAGAACACATTGAAAAAAATGAAATTCATCATCATAAAAATTATCTTAAAGGAAACTATTAATCAAAGGAGCGTATTTTTTTATTGGATTAGATACACTTGAGCCTGAAAAAATGAAAATTTTCATTAGCAATGCGTTTGGATCAAAATATAGAATGCATAATTCAAGTTCATTTATCAATACCATTACAGCAAAATTGATTTTGCAAGGTTTTTCAAGAATAACAGAAACCAAAGAAGTCAGAAGGAAAATCATTGATTTTGATTACCAATGATTTCAAATTTTAAAAATATGCCAAGGGAATGTTGCAGTCCAGTAATATTTTGTGGATAATTTCAATATTCAATGTAAATAAGCTATCTCTAATTACCTTAAGATCACATTTCCCTTTCCACAAACAATTCATTATAAAAGTTTGAATAATATGTGATAATTATCATGATTATGATCATGTTATATTGATATCTTATCATATACACAACTTACCTCACATTTAATATCTATTATCTTATTACGACTAGAAAATATCCGGTTATTCAACTTATTACCCAGAGATATCTCTTACTTTTATCATATATACCATATGATTTCACATGATCTCACTTAATGGACTAAACTTTGTTAATTATTTATTTCAGAGCATGAACTTTCCTTAATGTCACTAAAATTGTTGTATTTAATTAAGCACATTCTTTTTTTAAAAAATATCAATCAATATTGTTTTATTTCATTAAGCTGATAAAAAATTTGTTATTCAACTTACTATATAACACTGTTGTTTTCAAAATCTGGGCAAGTATCTCAAAATATTTATAGTAAAACTTGTAATAAAAATAGATTCAAAGATTGTTCAATCTTGCACAACAAGAGATTAAATTTCAAGGTTAATAAGACAGTAACACAAAAATAAGGGAATAAAGTAATGGGTTACAATAAAAAAAAAAACAACTTTGTAGTTCAGCCACATGAAGTATCAGTAGAAACATAGTCATTTTGGTCAATGGACATTTTGACCCATTACTATCAAGTTACTTATGTTCAAAGAGATAAATCAGCCCAAAAGGCCATGGTCTTTAACATATAATAAATGACTATGTTTTATATTTAATAGTCCTCAGTTTGTGTTCCAGTCTAGACTTTATTTCATGTTTATTGACCAGTTGATGCCTTTTCTCTCCTTAATTGTTGACAATTGATAAACAGATTTTCATTGGCAGCTTTTAAGTGACTAAAAGATTTAATACAGAAATGTTATTGTCAGTCGATACAAGTAAAAATTGAAGTTGAAATATTGTCTGCCTTAAGTCATCAACATGCAGCCGTTTTGAAAAGAAGAAGTGTATTATATAGTCTTTTTTTGTACAGTACAGGATTTATACCATGTATGGAATCCAGTTCATACAGATCACTTATATAGTCTATATATATTTTTCATCTACAATAAGATATGAACAAGGTGTTAATAGGCTAAAAAAAACATAAAGCTAATCCTTTAATCCAGTGTTGTGAGTATCAAGTGGGCATTAGTAGCTTAATTCATTCTGGAACAAAATCTAGGGCTGAAATGACTAATCCATGGGCAGAAATAACTATACAAGATCCAAAACAACTATTGGATTGTCCGACTCAGTCATGACTCCTAATACTTCTAACACCTACGCTCAAGCCAGTTTCCTCAGTCCCTTTAGAATTTAGGCAGAATCTCATTTAAACCTAAACCTTTACTTTAGGTTACAATTCACTTTGATTCCAACTTCCAACATGAGAATGGTGACCTTTAATAAGAACTTTTGTTTCATTTCCTCAATATTTCAGTACAAAAGATATGAATAGATTTAGAGAAAAACCCTTTAAGTGTTTAAGCCTATACAACAACTTACAAGCTGTTTCATATCATGTTTAGTTTATGACCGGAAAAGTGGCGAATAACATCTGTATTGTCAAATCACATTTGCTGTTATCGCAAAGAATTCAAAACAGTATAAAAGATTACCTGTCAGTTAACTGATTTGATGAATGGTGAAAGTTTTATTCTGGAAACATATTTTGTTGTTTATCTCGACCGCCATTTTGTAACATCACATGATGTAACAAATGAGTTCGATTTGTTGAACGTATTGAGTCTAGTACAGATGCCAGGTTCGACTCGTCCGCATTTGTAACGTCAGGTTCAACAATGCAAATTAGAATCTTGTTAGGCGTGGATGTCAGATAAGTTCAGTGACTGTATATGGTTCGGCCGACGTGTAACTCAGCGAATTGTAAATTTAGTTTACATGGTTCCTTTTAAGCCTATGGAAGATGCAGATCAGACATCATTTCTCTTCACAAATTTCTGAAGTACAAAGTATAGATTTCGATATATTCCTTTGTCATTTTTTAATATTTTACCACCGAGGTAATTTTGGCACAATCTCTTACAGCAATACACACTTGATATGATTGAACTACAAAAATATTTATCTTTCCAAATATACCTGGGTTTTGCAGATCCGAGATATCTAAATTGGTTTAATATCCTCGCACCTGCTGAGATGTGGAATGTCCCCATATTTAACAAGGCTTATTATTTCTGTCTCTACACCAGCGACATCTGTCCAAATAGCTACAACAAGCTGGAATAGATACAAATGTTTTGGTCTAACCTTGTCTATGCACCTAGACTTTTAAAACCTTTAAAACCAAAGAAATTTAAAACATCTCGGGCTAATCTTTGGCATAAGGCATCCAGGCCCGCAGCCCGACTTGATTGTTGGCAGGGGCAAGTAATGTATCCGGAGGGGCGCTGGTGTATGTTGTTTAGTTGCAATAATGGAATTGGTAGGTTGGAATTTTTTCAGAAGGGTTCGTGTGGGCAATGCGCCCCTGTAAGTACGGCCTGGGTATAACCAGTCAGACTTACAACAGAAACTCGGTTGCATAATGCTGGCCAAAAATAAACAATCATAATACACTTTTAATTTGAATAACATAAATGTAATATTTAACATTATCAAATACATTATTTTATCAACAATATAGATAATAAATAAATAGATAAGAAAACATCATATCACAGATAACATTTCAACGATATAAAAGTAGCACAATTTTGAAACTGAAACTGAAGTAAGATATACCAGAAAAACAAATCTAAAATGTAAAGAAGATAGCTGGTATGTAACAGGCATTCTTAAACGGATGTAGAATACACTTTGTATTATATATGCTTGATTAAAGGTTTGATTGGCTTTAGCATCCCAAACAAAGGTCTGACGAGAACATTTTGTTTTCCTTGTTGTCAGGGAAAATAGATCCATTTTTTCGGAGCTTCTCTGAACCCTTAAATAATTCCGAGATCATTAACATTTATCATCCTGTGGAGGAGTTGAGGTTAATTTATCTGGTGAAGTAAGATGAGCCCAACTAGCTCCAGTACTGATGGTAATACTCAGTGGAACTTTCAAACTGGCTATATCCTGACACAGTAATTCTTTATCCTCCATTGCTTGTTTAATGGTGTCTAAAAGGGTTAAAAAAAACTTATAAAAGATTCATAACATATAAAAATAGCCATTAGAGGCTAGGAAAAGCCAACAAGTTTCGGATTCAGCAAATACACACGATCCAATTCAACAGCATCTCTCTTTCGGCATCCAAGATAAACAAATTGTCACGTATGTAGCCACTGGCCAGCCTGAGCAATTAAAATTTAACAAAGGGAATTCTATAATTACCTTTGACTATAGAAATATCTTTTTCTGGAACTTCCCACACCAGTTCATCATGGATCTGAACTAACAGTCTGAAAAGTATATTTTGTAACTTTTCATCACTGGTTTCTACCTGTCAACAACTCGAGAAGCGCTCAAACTCATATCCTTAAGTTTCTTCCAGTATCTTAATCAAAGGTTATCAATTCATGACGGATAACAAAAATTCGAAATTAAAATAGCAAGATTTACCTGGTATTATATTGACGAAGTTTTGATTCAACTTGTACCATTGCTGCTTTACATAAATCGGCCGCTGATCCTGGAAAATTTAGAATAGTGGATATATATGGACAACTAATATATTCAGGGTCTTAAATTACGTAGAGACAGCTGCCTACTCCCAACATTTTCAGAATGCCAAGCATACCTTCTGATTGGTCAAAATAACGAATCATCATTCTGCGCCATTTAAAATAAAAAAAATCATTAGCAGGTCCCGAAAAAACACCTGTTCAATCCCATTAATGCACTAACAAGAAAGAATAAAACATTATTAAACCTAAATAACATTTTATTTTATGGATATACCTTGAACACGAAAGTTGACACATTGTCTCTCAGCTTGTGCTCTAAGAACTGGATTATAACTGTGTATATTGGGAACGTATCGTCTTCTACCAAATAGTGTTCTGGTAAATCCTGAAATTGATATTTTTAATCTCTATAATAAACCCTCTCTGATCGTGGAATTCAATGAACTCATAAGAGTCGATCAATTGGGGGTTGGAAGATTTAATGAAAAGAAGGGAGTTAAAACATAATCTTTTTAAGTCCGTTTTAATTTCTACAAACCAGTATTTGGACTTTCATCAGTCAAAACCAGAGGCTAAATAAGACTAAGCTTAATTCGAATTCTCTTTGTAGTTGCTGTGGAAACGTTTCTGTATGGAACGTAACGGTGAAATTTTGACTGCTCTAAGGTGGATGTGATATCTGTATCGAGCACATACAGGCTGAGACAGGCTTTCACGAATTCAAACTACAAAAATATTACTCACCATGTTTTTTACAGAATTGAATACAAGATTTCGTAAATCTGTTAACTGCAGGGAATTTTACTGAAAATAGAATTGTATCATCTCATCAATTTATGATTAAACATTCAGAGACTAACGATTCCGGTTCATAGAATAGACATAATATCGCCACCAGTCGCTCGCCAGTTCCTAAAGCTAAATATTTTGAAGAGCGCTATCCGAACGTTTACCGTGGTCCGTTTACATAATCTCATAAATCACATGAGACACACTCTATTAAAATAACTCTAACGATAGGTAAATAAAATTAAGATGTTATTGTCGTTAAGCCTTTAGAGTTGCAGTAATTACTAAAACCATTTTAATTCCATAAATCCATATTTTGGGATTTTAGGGAGTTCGGACAAATCGTTATCTCTGATTATGCTTATATACAGAAGGAATTTACAGTGTAACAAATTTAGAGAAAGACAACTTACTAAGGAAACTGTTCATTATACCCTTGGCGTTATCGGGTGATACCTTCAGATAATCAGCTAATCTGTCTTTACCTATAATGAAAAATGTTAACATGCTTCTATCTCCTTATATCATATCGTTATATATATCATTTTTATATCCTAAAAGTCGTAATTCTCAGCTTCAGGTGCCCAATCAGTCTTCCAACATGTCAAAATTAAGCTGAAATTGATACCCAAGGAATGTGTGCGTCACAATCTAATATGACAAACGTGTTTACCCTTATGAGCTCTCTTGATGTCACTTTGCGCTTATGCACCCCCTTTTAAGAGACTCCAGCAAGCTTATATTGTATCTTGGATGTATTTAAAATTGGTAACGTTACTAACCTACACCGTACATGACAGAATAAACTATTCTCTTGGTTTGTTCACGTTCTGTCTGGCTAATTCTATCATATGGTTTACACAACCTGTTTAGTTACAGTATGGAAAGGAATTAACAACCGGTACTCTTTTGTAAGTTTGAGTGCAGTGCAATATGAATTTTCTCCAAAGCTGAATCTGTAATCCGTACATGACATCATATAAGACCCATTCTACTGTTTTGGATCATAATTATCACATCATAGGTGTGTATTATGACAAAATTGATAAGGGAAGCTTAGAGTCCAGGGATCGTTTTTGTCCTAACCAGAATCAATTGTAGTCTTGACGATTTAAATGAGTTTTCAGATAGGAATTTTAGGTTGTGACATTGCGGTTAAGCAATGTTACGAAAGCATGGACGAGAGTTGAACCCACTAGGTCTATGCCAGTAAATAGAAAAATACTAATGTATATAAATGTAAAATGTATTTACCATTGTGAAGTAAGAGTTAGAAATATATCTTCCTTATTAGATGTATTAAATATCTCTAGTAGTTGTGGATCATTTGATAAATGTGCCAGTAACCGTAGCTCAATTTGCTGAAAATCTGAAGGTACATACATGTATCATAGAAAATTGGATAAAATTTCCGCCCTATAAAAATATTATGATTGTTGGATTTTTAACAAGGCGAATGAAAAAAAAGGTCTTGCAGCTGTCTGGATGATTATTATTCTAATTGTACCGGTAGTACATGGGTTTTTGAAGGAGAAGGACTCGTCCGTGGCGTTCCAATCAATTCGGACACCGATTTATCAACGGGGACTCAAAGGCCAATCTTTCCCTATGTAAAGCGAAAAAAAATTATAATACCCCGAAATGAATATGGGTCGCATTTCATCTATGTAATGGTAAGAATACGAATGTATCTCGAGATCATAACTAAGCTTACCAGCAGCTAGAAGAAGCCAACCGTCATGGCTTATAAATGGTTCTCTTGCATAAATATCAATCTTGGATTCATCTGTTTTTCCTGAAAACATAAAAAGATGGATAAAGTATATCTATAAAGTAACAGAACTCAACAAACTATCTCCCCTTGTGTTCATGTAATTACTTATAGAGAAAGGACCAAATCTGAGGTCCTAATGTCATCATCTGAATTTTGATTTCTTTGTAGCACTACCTTCGTTGTTCAGACGAAATCCGGGGTTTCATTTTCATGCATAAATCTCAAACCATAATGAATGGAATACTATTAAATCTTTAAACCTGTATAATCACAAGAAATATTGCCTATGTGTGCCCCAAACAAAGTAGCTGGTTCCATCCTAAGTTTCCCGCTCGCCGAGACAGTTTCGGCTGATAAAAGGACATGTATACCATACCTTCTATAAAATTATCCTGATAGTTAGTAATAGTGACACAAGTTTTGGGTATAGCCTGTATATTAGGATGATAGGATGATAAGCGTCCAGTAGCAGCTCCGATCTGATCCCAATATGTAGACAGATAACCCTTATCAATACACGATAACATCCCATCTACATACGTTGATTTTAACTTCTGTAACTGTAAAAGAAGATGAGTTTCTAACAGTTGTAGAGATTTATGGGATATAGTCGTCCATCTATTCGACTAAACCACCACTACCGAAGCATCCAATTGATCCTGATCTATCAACAAAAACCAAGACCAACAACTATCTTGTCTGCGATATCAGAAATGGAAAAAGATGTTGACTTGTCGCTTTATAACATAACTTCAGTTAATCATATAACTCTTTCAAGATAGAAAATCTACACAACTGAATATGAACGAACTGCTTTAAAATAGTACTTGATCGCAGTCTATGGTCCATACTCTTACCATTCCAGTAACAAGTTATTACAAATATCATGACATCTTATCTCATATAAATGTCTTGAAAATAACCCCAAATACGGAAAAGTGCAATATAACATCCACAATTACTGTACTGGGAACTCTGTGGAGAAATCTAAATGGAAATTTATAAATCTGTTACCTGTCTATACTCTAGAACAATATTTGGTAGAGGATGGTACGGTGTTAATTGTGATAACATACTCTCCGAGGTGGATTTCTGATGTGCTACACTAGTTTTAACTAATTTACTGTTGGCTGGTAACTTCTTGTCTAATTGGAGCTCTTCATATAATACCTGGCAATTATTTGGGAATGAAAATTATATTTTGAATACCATCAGAAAATGCAATGATTAATGATCATCCAAGCTTCGTTGTGTTAAATTTTAGTTGGGTTGTTCCCATAAAGTTATAATATATCAAATAGAGTTATAATACTGTGGTTGTCCCGCTCATGGGGGTGTCTACCAAGGGAAAAGGCGTTGACTTTCTATATAATTCCTTACGAGTAAAGGTATCATCTTTGACAGTTATCGGCAATCAATACCTAATCAACACACCTACCTGACGCAACTGTGGATGACTATTGATCAGAAAAGTATGACCAACTGATTTGAACGCTTCATTTTCCAATTTGGACAGCTTTTTCTACAAAGAGAATAAACTCATTAAGAATGCAGTGAAATAGGGTGGACAAATATCAAATTAATTTGAGTGCATCTAGTCTGGTGAGCTTGAATAAGTTCTTTTTTATTATTATTCCAATCGATCCAGCTGTAGAGTGTGTATGGATATTTGACAAAAGATCAAAGAGGTTTAGCCAAGGACAAGTTGGTAGAAAGGATTCCCGTGAACCTTAGTGAAAAAAAAGGTTACTTAATTTCTTTATTTTGTCATCTTATCCAAAATCTATTTTAAGCAAACGCGGGTTACCTTTAGAATGGACGAAAATTGGTTAACTTTCTCCATATGTATTTTGATTCTCGCCGTTTCCATACAGGCTAGTATAGGTATTAAAGCCGTTTCGACGAGGAATAATTTATAAATATTCTCTGATATCAGTTTTTCTCTTATTTTCTTCATTGCTGATATCATTTGTAGTAATGTGGCTTTAATAAACCAACTTGTTTCTTTATTACCAGTCTGTAAGGAAAATGGAATGGAGTTTTACGTCCTGTGGTACTGAGAATCATTCGTTTATGGTGTCAAATTACATATTATGCAATGCGAATGGTTCTGTTCAGTCTAAACGATTTGATCTCACTTCACTGACCCATCCTTTGCATAACGGCAGTTGGATTAACAGTAGCTCAACTACCATAGGGACTGGTTGAACCAATTTTACGCGTTTCCACCCTAACGGGGCACCAAACACAAGACAAAAATACAAAACTGAAAAAAAGTACCAAAATGTACAATTATAATGAAAATAAGAAACCAGTAATATAGAAAATAAGTGAAAATAAGGAATTAAATCTTTTCCAATCGTATTATGTTATTGGTGTCTTTTTAAAATTTATTTACAGAATCACATTTACCTGAGTACTGATAGGTTTGATTTTAATACAGTTAAACACATCTTGTAGAGTTTTAGGTGATTTATCAGCATCTAATAACCAGGTACCTAACAGTGGATCTTTCAACATCCAACATTCAGTTTCTTTAATAGAAATAATGTGGTATTCCCAATCTTTTCTTCACAAACTTTTAGACTTTGAAAACTATATACTTACTCTAAATAGTTTCTTTCTTACAAGTTTGGCTGAGTACTTCTCTCCACAAAAAGCGGAATATTCACACCGAGATATCATTGGTTTAAAATTTTACTATCCAATGAACTATTAGAATTTATTTACTGAGTTAAAATTTGAATCACACTGATTGGTGACGATTGGTCTAATCATGCGACACAATCTGAAACTATACGAACTGACAATGTTAAGTGCTAGATAACTCAAACCTTTTTTCTCGATATCTTTGAAGTCGAAAACCTCTATCAAAGCAACAACAATTTTCTGCGCATCAAAGGCAACTATTTCCTTTTCCTTTAGTAGGGTACTGAAGCAGTTTCTGAAAATTTTTTACATCAAAATGAAATTAAAGTCTTTACTAGTAGAAATTTCAGCTGTTTCTAAACTTTGAGCGGTACATAGTTACTTGCCTTACACTCGGCCAGAATACCTCAATTATAAAAATAGGAAATACTTACTTGAACCAATTAAGAAACTCGGCATCTTCTGTTAGAAAGGAGAATATTATTAACTGGTCTTTAAAATCCGGTGAAGCACATCCCTTGATTACAAGTGTAATTCCCTTTAACTGAAATTTATACACTAAATATCAATTAAACCGAAATTCAATTTAGGCTTACTGAATTTGTTATCTGTATCAAGGTGAGGTATGGTGTCTTGGGGGATTATCGATACAGTAAAAAGTCTAAATCGTAATACACGAAAGTAGATCGGACACGATTCAGAAACTATTTAACTTACTTTGTAATTTATTGTAAAGACATCCCCACAAGGCAGCCGAATCGGACCTAACCTATCCCCACCTTATAAATCGTGTTTCGATTGTCTTTTCGTAATTTGGCTCATTGTTTGTTTCAATTGCAGGATGTGGACAATATCAAGGAATAGAAAAAATGCTAGTTCATGTTATAAATAATATTACCCATTTATCAATCGTCTTGTTTGCAGACTTCAGCGACTTCTTCTGCAATAGAAATAAAGCAATACCATTAAATCAAAGCTTAAAGAATTCAGCGCGACCATGGTGTTAAAGCAAAAACTAGAAGATGATCAAGAGAATTCTGACTACAGAAAACTGTTCGCAAATATCCAAAAGACATTCTCGTGGTTTAGAAAGAAAAATGTTGCATAAATCTATTATCTGCAACGTCAAGGCGTCTACTGTAAATGATTTTGGCAAAGATCAGACAAGATCCATTCAGGTCAATTGTAATAATAGATTACTGATGTGCGTTTTTAATGCAAACGAAATCCGATGATGACAGTCTTATAATACCCAGGCCCCCCTAGAACTATATCTGCCTCCCCCACCCCTTACAAAATTCTCAATTTCTCATTCTCAATTTCTCAATTGAGACTGGAATCAGTCTCTATTAGCTATTACCCCTCTCAATGCAAATGCGGCCACCCCCATTCGGCTGGTTACGGGCCTGATATTACCACTCTCCTAGAAAACCTACTAACCTTAGTATTTTCGAGTTGTTGATGACCATTGGATAGTAAAGTTGTTCCATTATTATAGAGTAGAGTAACAGAAATATCATCTGAGTTCAATAAACACTTGTTCAGTTCTTCTCGTTCAGTAGATGGTAATTTATTGACGTCTACATATCTTGTATCGTATAGTATCTCTACAATCTCCGTCTTGTTTTCTGATGGGGTCTACGATATAAGGCAATCACCAACTGTAAGTTAACTGGAGAAAAGTAGTGGCGTTTCTAGGAGATATTAGCTGCAGGGGGGCGAGCAGGGGGCCACAACATTTTCCAGGGGACCACAGACTATGCTTTTACTTTGTAAATTGAAAAAATTGAAAGTGTGGGGTAGGCGGCGGGTGCAAAGCCAGACTAGCATCTTTTCTGGGGGCTATGGCTCCTCCGACCTTACTATCTTGTAAGACCTTGCGTAAGTAGAGCACAACTACTTCAAGAAACATATGGTGACGTATTGGAAAAGAAAATATGACACTTTTTCGAAACAATAAGCTTATAAACCCTACCTGTACATTTTGTTCCCGTTCATTCTTTTGACGTATTGATTTTCCAGATTCTTCATCCGATCTGCTCTGTTTGTTCTTTTTCTTTTGTTTGGATTCAGTTTCTGTCAGACGTCTCTTTTTTACCTTCTCGATTAATGTACATGTATTATTTGGTTCGTTTCGCGTATTTGCTTCTACAAGTGCCTCTTTCCTAAAAGACGATAATGTTGTTTTTTTAACTGAAAGCTGAGGAAAGTAGCTGCTTACCAAATAGATGATAGACTGTATATCTATACCATTTAAACTCCATACACAGATCTGCTGCACATGCCCATTCAGAAACCAGAAAAACAAATTGTTCCATGGAAACTTTTGCTCAAAAGGATCATTATTAGAATCTACACAAAAAATAAGCCTATTCAAACCTGATTTTCTGATGCTCAATCAGTTTCTTAGACAGTGAACAAGACAACGTTTTGGGCTTTGTAACTGCATCTGCTGTTTCCAGAGCCTGTTGCTCATTAGTACAATCCGGAATGGCGTTTTGTCTTCGTGGAATTGACTGTTCATAGGAATTTCCATCATGCATAATATGGCTGCATTTATAGAAAGGATTGAAAGCAAAGTTTGTCGTATCCTTTCTCGACTCGACTGGTGTAAGAGCAGTGTCTGGTGACACTTCACCATGGTGTACTGACAAAGTAAGAGGATTGCATTGGACTGGCTTCATGGATCTTCGATTGTGTGTCCTTGTCCTTTGGCGCACCTCGTCCATAATATTAGTAGATTCTCCCGATTTTAATTGCTTTTGTAATTCGGGTTCGTCGACGACAGGTTTTCTTCCAGCTTGGATGTCTTGATGAATGTAAGGAGGTGCTGGTGATGTTAGTGATCTGTCTGTACTGAACCACGAGTCTTGATAATTCACATCACTTGAGTGAAATATGGTTGCATCAACCATTTGATTGAAATTTTGGTCTTCAGAACGCCTTGTGGATAGATTTTGATTAACTTGATATTCGGAATCATTGTCTGATTTTTCCCAACAATTTTGAAAGATATCTATGTTTACTGGTGTTCCAATAGCAGTTGTGCCATTTTCTGAACTGTTTTCGTCATGTTTGCCTGTGAGCATGTCACCCAGAGGAAATGTATTAAAGCTACGAATTGGGTCTTCAAGATTAAGTTGCAGTGCACTGGGAGATTCAAATTGTGGTATTTCTGGGAACAATTCTTTATGAACTCTCGCTTGCTGTGGCCAAGTTGAACTTGTTGGTGTGGCGTTCAAATCGTGGCTTATCTCGTTAGCACAAAATTCTGTACCATTGGATGTTTGTTCTTGTGGGCCTGATTGTGCTTGGTCTTGAGTATAGAATCTTTCATATTCCAAGTTTGATTTTTCTTGATTTAACTTTCTTCTATAGTAAATATTGTGATCTATGTAGTGTTTGTAGTCCACATCTACATCATCTCGAGATAAATATTTACCTGGATGATTAAATCAAAAATTAATTAGCTGTAAGAACAAGCAGTAAACTACACAGGCCTAAGTTCATAATCCAAAAAGGGCAGTGGATGTGGGTGTATCAGATGGAGTATTAGAAAATATCCGACAACAGCTGGATAACATAGATATTGCTGTCCTTTGGAAAGATCGTAAAAAAACCATTGCTTACATTCATATAGGTATATTAAATAATCTTCTTCGAACTTCTCATATTCTATTTTGGCCTGGTAAATAGCATCTTGGTCGTATGGTGAAATATCATGTTGACCTCTTATACGTGGTGGAAATAAAGCTGGTCGCCATATCTTTTTCATTTCAGTTGAAGAATCTTTGGATGTGATTGTAGTAATGCGGATAGGGCTGTGTGAAAAAGTAACTGAAGGCATTGGTGGAAAGACATGGCTGATGTGTTTGATAAATTAGTTTACTCATCATCTGAACTTAATCTTATATTGCGGTCTATAGTAGGCTACGTTAGCCACATCTGGACTACTTGGTGTCATAAAAGGACACCCCCGATAAGAAATTGTTGAAATGGTAACACCTAGGACAGAAAAAAAACCCATTGCCTCTCCTTGCCATAATTATAGATGAATGTGAACGAATCATACTGCTAAAGTGGTTATCGCCCAATCTTTCAGACGCAACGCACGTATGTAATGGAGATCAAAGAGTGTGAAGTGAAACTTTGTGAAATAACACAGGATTGGGCAAATCATTGTTTACAGACCTGGCTGTATTGGCTGGGAACTGCAAGGCCAAGCAACTTTCACTTTTGTTTACGTCTCAAGGGGGATAACTCCCAATCACTAAAACTGGGTGCGTTCGATTTTAGACTCTTGAACAATTATAAAAGGTCAACATCTTTTCCTCGGCCCCTTGGGCTATCACAGTAATAAAACTCGACATGTCTATTTTATTCAGAGGAATATATAAAAATAGTGTTCCAACTGCCTGTCACAATGTCAATAATATCATGATCTGCGGCACCAGAAATGTCTAGTTTGATAAACTGGTCACAAGATTTATTGTCTCCGGTTCCAAGTTGTCCATATTTATTCCAACCACATGCCATCAAAACTTTATCTTCTGTGAAAATAAAAAAAATTGTAACAGAACCTAAAAGTTTCACGGCCTGTAATCTTCCAAAAACTGATCTATTTCAGCCTGTGCTTGACATGTAGATATCTCTCGTATCTGCACTCCGATACAAGTTTGGATCGTTGTTTCGCGTGTATAGGAGCATTCATGGTTTGAAATATAAAACAATGACAAACATAAAAGGCAAACAAACAATTATAAAGAACTATTTTTACCTAATAATACAGTGGTGTGACGGGAACCACAAGAGACTTTGTGAACTGATGCTGGCAGATCTATTACTGTAGGTAGAGTTACTAGACCATGGGTTTCTAAATCAGAATCGACGCTTAATAACGGACACGGCAATCCTAGCTGACCACTTTCGTTCCACCCCCACGTGTACAAATCACCATCCTCTGCGAAAGAAGAATTTTGAGAACAATTACGTTATAGGAATGTCATAAGGCCAATAGAATAGGCGATTGAAAATTGCGATAAAGAACCAACGATGTGATGGATACTCATCAAATTTCGTTTAACAGCAAATATAGTTGAAAATGGTTGTCCAGGTCAGTGCATATCTTGGATAAATTGATAAACTTTTTATACTCAGCGGTAGACGTACGGAGTTATATACATCCAAAAATCAAAGAATCATCCTTACCAGAAACCGCTATTGAATGCCAGCCACCAGCTGATACAGTTTTGATTGAAATTCCTGATAAAGCGTCCACTTCTTGTGGTTCTTTCCGTTCTTCGACATCTTCGTTTCCTAATTGCCCTCGGCTGTGAAATAAAATATGAAGGTCTTTTCAGCAATACTCTTGATACGAAAAAATTGTGACAATGGCCAAATAAAATAGATTGACCCTGAACGATTTTGCTCCAAATACATTAGCTTTGATTACAAGCTCAACATGCCTCAACTACTATAGGAACCGGTTGAACCAAGTCCATCCACGGGACCCCATCTATAAGTAGGTTCCCACCTGAAAAAAAATGCAGAAGAGCATGTTTAAAAAAAATCCCGAGGGAGGGGCTCAAACCCACTAACATCCACGAGATCCCACCCACATACACTAGAGGCACTGCTGAAGAACAATTCCCAATTGTTTTATTATAAGCTATATTTACAAACCTTCCTAAACCGAATGTGAAGACTTGATTGTTTTCAGTTAACAGAATCACATGTTCCTTTCCACAGGAAACTTGTTTTATCATCGTTTTAATTGGTAATAATGGTATTGGTGTATGATATAATTTCAGTCCGCTGGTGTCCCGAGATCGGCCTACTTCTGTTTTGTTTAGTGAACCATCCGCTGAAATATATAATATGCGTCAATGATAAATGGAAAACTTAATCAAGAGTTTAGGCCTATCTGTATCAAAGGTGAGGACGAATCTTCCAGGACCCCAAAGTTTTCTAATCGCTTTAGCTAAAACATTTAACACCAGAAAAGCTGCCATCCTAACAAGCTGCTTGCTAGTTGGACAGCATTTACAAGTTCCAGTGAGTTGCAGAAAGACACCAATCACAAAATCTCTTTTGCATCTTTTTAAGTAATTTGGCTTCCATGGGAAATCGACAAAATCTATCAAGTTTATCAAATTAGGGAACTAAGCCAATGTCTGTGGTATATCATAAGCGTAGTACCACATCCGGCACTGCGGAACAAATCATTTTGTGTTTTTGAAACATTAATCAATATCGAAGTATGTCATTATATCATAGTTGACCTCCAATGAGATACTTACCGTAAAGGGAGTAAAACACATTTTCTTGGGCAAAGAGCTCTTTTATTTTAGATTTAACTACACCAGATCTTTTGCATGAAAATTCTTGAGATTCTTCTGATTCAGTCATTGATTGAAGATCTTGGGGTTTGAAACCGGTTGTTCGATCTGATTGGTCGATCTGAGTGTCGATCTGAGAATGTGACCCAAAGACTTGACCATCGTAATGGAAGCCAGATTGTTCATCATCGACGGTTTTGATCTCCTCGCCTTTATCAATGTCATATAACTTAAGGACACTTGTATGAATTCTTATCAGATATTTGTTAGATATGGCTATCTTTTCCAAATGTTCAACAGGTTTTGGTTCCGAACAACCACATTTAAGGAAAGATTCTTCTGGAAAATAGAAACAAATAAAATAGGTCAACTGTCGGGATCTGCATAGCCTGAAAAGTCTCGGTTTAATGTTCGAATAGCTAGAAAAGTGGTTCCCAACCTTTTTCAGCTCTCACACCCCTGGAGCAATCACCTGGACCTTTCACACACCTCAAAATTTGTTTCATCCACATTTCCAGCATGTAATGATGTGAGGTGCTCTCTCATTTCAAAATAAATTCTTCTCCTACACCAGTTGGCCACACCCCTGACAACCTAGTCCCACAGCCCAGGTTGGGAACCGGGGAGCTTGAGGCATTTTTCCATATCAGCCCCTCCGATACGGGAAACGGAGTGTGAAATTGAGGATATTCCATACCATATTCAATATTCAAAGATCAGGTCACTGTTTGATGCCATCTTCACAATATCTAGCTCTACAAACTCTTATACCTTGATTGCAATAGCCACCTTTCTTGTATCGCGGAATACAGCGATTTGATTGAATTGTACGCCACCGAAAAAACAGTCAATCAGTGCCAGACTGCCGGAGCTAGACTGTTAACATTTTGCTTATCATTTACAGACTTTTGTCGAAGACTCTGGTTGACTGTCTACAATCCAACCAAATTGCTATACATTTACAAATTTCCGTGATACAAGATAGGTGGCTATTGTTGATATTGTGAAGACGGTTTGATGTAGAATCTATATATACCGATACAATATATTTAAGAAACAAATTGGATATTAGGCCCTTCTACCGACATCTACCCAGAGATACGACCTTTGAAGACCTATTCTAGATGGATATAAAAACTTACCATGGTTCTTTATTACAAAATAAATCGATGACCAACAGATACAAACTTCAACAGTTTCGTTTGGTTTGGTGTGATATACGAGTTTTGGTTTCACATAATAAGAAAGGCTGTCCCTTTGGTTGAGTAGGAAAATTTGTCCAAATCCGTTAAAACCACATGCGTAAAAGTGCAACATATTCTGGCTGTAAGTAGATTAAAAGAAACATATTTGATTCTAGATGAAATGAAATGAATGGAGTTTTACGTCCTGCTTTTCTGCACCACGTGGGCTCATGAAGACGGGCAACGTCTTTAGGGTGCAATGAAGGGAATTTTGCCAGGACAGCGGCATGAGCCTGCTCTTTTTCGATTTCCAACTGTCGACGGGTTTTTAACGTGCACAGCCAGTAGCACACAGGACTTCGGTTAATTAATTGTCCAAACCGAACGACAAGACGCTTTTTTCATGAATTAGGTTCTAAGTGCATTGAATAACGTTATATAAAATTTGCAAGGCATGCAAAACCTTTCTCACTTGTCACTGCTGGATCTTTTTTCAACTACATTTATCGAGTAATTCCAATACTAAGTTACAAAGCCGTGTCTTTGACAGTACGCAAAACTGTGATTACGACACAATACGAATGTACCATATCGATCATTATCTATGATCTAAACACACCTTTCTAAGGTTGTGACGAATGCGCATTAAAAGGATTGATTTTGAAAAAAACAATCAAAGTAACATTATCTCTCTACCCGATTGTGTAAATTGAGCAATCATTAGGGCATCTAACAAATTGGAATAATGCAAACAAATAACTCAGAGATACTGCCCAAAGGTACAACTACAACAAACAAAACATATTTTTGTATTGTCTTTTTACAAAGCCAAACTTTACCGCACATTACCTTTTCAAGCAAAGCGAACACTGCCAAAAATTGTGCTGACGTCATTAGTGTTTGTGTAGAATATTCAAGATGGTGTTGGAAAGTACAGTAATTTGGTAAATTTGTATTATTTTTGACATATCTTCACCAATTGCAATTTTATTGTAGTCTAATTACATGAGGCTTGAGCTTTCAACAGCTTCTTCCCATTTCACAAAACATTCGTATTGCTTAGTTAATGAAAGTTATGAATTTATCATTCACGGTTATGACTCTGCAAATTTGGCTTGTCTTTTCTAGCATGGACCACACTTATTTCCGTAATGCTCAGCATAACTTGTGCTTGTGTTTGATGAATACTATTGGTATTTTGGTTAACAATATTGTGTGTTATTAATTAGTTGGGTGATGATATTCAAGTGTTGTATTTTTATGTTTAAAGATGTATTTTTTTACATTATTGACATTGTTGTTGCATATTGTTTCTCACAGTTATTCCCCTTTGGTCTGGCATAGTTTTAACTTTTGTTCAAAAAGGGCTACATTACTATTATCCTGTTTGTTATTGTTCACCAAAGCTATTTTCTTTTTCCATTTTAGTGTTGATAACAGTGATTTTATGAGAAATGGAGATTTTGTACCAACAAGGATGCAAGCACAACAAGATGCTGTCAATTTAGTTTGTTTATCAAAGACAAGATCAAACCCTGAAAATAATGTTGGACTTTTACAGATGTCAAAGTAAGTTGACAGAGAGTTTAAAAATTGAATTGAATTTCTTATGCTGATAATATAGTTGAAATCTAACTCAAAGTAATGGTAATGTGTGTTTATTACTTTTGAATAAGCTTACAGAAGAAGTTGTATTTTGTCAATTGAATTGTATACATAATGATTTGACTTATGTATTAAACAAATTTCATATTTTAGGACTGAAGTACTTGTGACACCCACTACTGATGTGGGAAGAATACTTGCCAGACTTCATGAGGTTGGACCAAAGGGCAATATATCCTTTGTAACATCCGTTCGAGTAGCTCATGTAAGTAACTACAAAGAAGATTTTTTTAGTTTATCTTGGCTACATATCAAATGGAACATTTGATTTGGTAAAATTCTTACTTTTTGCTTACGTAATTATCTTGCTCATTAACTTACTGCTTATGCAATTTATCCATTTCTATCATGAATTACAAATTGGTTTCAGCTGGCATTAAAACACAGACAAGGAAGAAATCACAGACCCAGAATTGTCGTTTTTGTTGGTAGTCCCATTGATGAAGATGAGAAAGATGTAAGTGCCTGAAATTCTTTTTGAACCGATTGTCTTCATTACAAGTCCTGATTGTCAATAACAGGACATGAATACATGGATAATTTTTTTCAATTTTGAAATTTAATGTTCTCCATAGTAGCATATGATTTAACTGTTGCATTTGTGCATTATTCTATAAACATTAATAAATTATTGTTTAAATTGTAGATTGTGAAGATGGCTAAGAAACTGAAGAAAGAAAAAGTCAATGTTGATGTGATAAATTTTGGAGAAGAGGTTGGTTTCAAATTGATTTTCACATTATAATAATCTTTTGACATTAGATCATCAATGATTAATAGAGTAAAATTGCTGAAATGTATGTACCCATGTGTGGGTCTTAATCAAGCTTATATGATATTGTTTAAATAATACTTAAAATGTTTTCTTATTCAAATTTTATGACTTTATGTTGGTTCATATGCATCATGATATTAACCATATTGTTAGTAAAGTATGCTAATGCAAATTGTGACTCAGTACATCTGTGATCAATGTGTTAACCACTGCACTGTCATTTCTGTTTGTAGGGAGTCAATACTGATAAATTAACAAGTTTTGTAAATGCTATTAATGGTAAAGAAGGATCAAGGTATGCCAGCTAGTTACTTTATTGGATGAAACCATTCGTTAACCTTACATGTTTTACTAATTTAAGTTATGCAGGAAGATATGTTTATTGTCAGTTTATTGTGTCATACAATGTTTGTGTTCAGAAATAGAAATTGATCGGAGAGTTACAAGTTGCAATTTCTGTTTTCACCAACAACTTCTCTCCTTACTTTCAGTTCACATCTAGTGACTGTCCCACCAGGACCTATGTTATCTGATGCCCTGTTGAGTTCTCCCGTAATAGTTGGTGAAGATGGAGCAGGGGCTAGTATTGGTGCTGTAGGGTTTGAGTTTGGTGTTGACCCTAATGAAGATCCTGAATTAGCTTTGGTAAGATGATTTTGCTCAATACAGCCTGTGAATACAAAATTTGAATGAAAACATCCATATTTGTTAGAAATTTTACTTGACAGAAAAAAGTTTCAGTTACAAGCTTTGCTGTGGCTAAGAATTTGATGTCAAGTTACAATGCTGGGTCTTGGTTGAAGCATGGTATGTGCAGATTTAATGTTTTGGGAATGCCAAAAGAATGAAATATGATAATAATGTGCAATCTTTCATATTATATTTGTTTATGATTATCTAGGCGCTACGTGTGTCTATGGATGAACAGAGAGCTAGACAAGAAAAGGAAGCAAGAGAAACAGTACAGGCTTCAATTGCTGATACTCCAGCTGAGACTGGCCCAGGTATATTTTCTATATTATTTTGATATATTTTAGCAAACAGAATTCTCTTAACTTGAGAATGGGGTGAACTCACAGGGTTTATGATTTCGAGCTTAGTTATGATACAAGCCTTCAACATGATATAGTTATCAACATAATTTAACTGAACCTGATGTTAATCCTTGATAGAACTGTAGCTTACATGTTTCCTTATAGTTACTGGTGATGAGGCTCTGTTGGAGAATGCTATAGCTATGTCAATGAATGAAGATACTCCGGCTGCTGATTCCCCTGATTTACAAACTATGACTGAAGAAGAACAGATCGCTTTTGCTATGAGACTCTCTATGGATCCAGGTGAGCATGCTTTTGAGATTAAGGAATTCATGTATTTGTCAGTCATTCTATCATCAGTGTACAGCTTCTTCTGAAACGTAGTCTTGTATGCTTTGTCAAAACAATCACTTTTATGGACGCTAATAACTGGAAAATCAGTTTTTGTTTTTTGAATTATAACATTTTAGATTTAGGTGCACAAAATACGCTTACTTACAATAGACTTATATTACTTAAGAAATAACTTCCTTTCAATTGACTATGACCTACTTAATTATATAAAAAATTTCCTTTGTTATGACCTACTTAATTATATAAAAAATTTCCTTTGATTCAACAGCAAGTGAAGGAGAAACACCAACACCAATGGAAACAGAAGAAGGTGCAGCAGGAACTTCCAAATCTGGTGCAAAAGCTGTATGTATACCTTTTCATTTACTAAATGCTCAACAATTCAGAGTTTTTTGTGCTTTCACTAGTTAAGGCATAAAAAAAAATTCTATTAACAAATATTCTGTGCAATGAATTGAAAAATTTTCTAGTTTACTGAAAACAAGGGGTGTGTATTATTGATAATAACAAAAATTTTGATGGTAAGCTATATAGACACAGCTTTATGGAACAACAATCACTGGTTAAAGTTTTATGCAACGTTTCGCTGGTTTCCCCTGTCGTCCTCGGGCACATAATTGATTGTGATTGTTGTTCCATAAAGCTTATCTATATATCGTACTCACAATTGCTTAATGCCATTCAAAGACTTGATGGTAAGCTGTTTTGTTTAATCTGTGGTCTGATACACCTTTGGTCCGTGTCACAAGCAAAATAGAATGATTAATTAGGTTCAGTAAATAAAATGTTTTATTTGTGTGTTGCAGGAGGATGATGACTACTCAGAAGTAATGAATGATCCAGATTTCTTACAAAATGTTTTAGAAAATTTACCCGGTGTAGATCCCAATAGTGAAGCCATTCAAAATGCCATGAGTTCCCTGACGCAGAAAGATGGAAGTAAAAAGGAAGATAAGAAGGATGGAAAGAAGTGAAGGATTATGTTATATTAATATTTACGTCAATGTTTTGTGAATGAATGTTTAAATAATAAATGAATAGTTCAATTGAAAATATGAATTTGTTGTCCTTCAAGTCCTTGTCCTTCAAGTCCTTGTACTTCAAGTCCTTGTCCTTCAAGTCCTTGTCCTTCAAGTCCTTGTCCTTCAAGTCCTTGTCCTTCTAACTTAAAGATGCTTTTCCTAAATGTTTTGGTATCAAATTAAGCCAACTATTTGATTAATTGGAGTTTCTCATGAATTATCATGTAATCTTAATCAATCTGTCACTCATTGGAATTCTCCTGGTAATTCTCTTCTAATTGAGTTACTTGTGAGACAAACTGACTAACTAGTGATTAGAACACCTCTACTTTCTATTCATATCAGTATCAGCATTTTCATTTTCATAAATGAAAATAAGGGAACCCATTTTTAAGGGAAAATGAGATTTCCTGGATTATCTTATTATATATAGTGCCAGAAACTTTTTGCAAGGCCAGAGACGTCTACACCCCATCTCCTTGTATATTTCCATGTGAGAAGTTTCGTGCACAGTGCCTCAGTTTTTTGCCAAATAGACAGGGTAAACCCCTCCATCTTGCACCACTGCCAAAGGGAAATATGTTGACCTACATCAGGGTCAAAGTGCTGACCTGCCAATTTCAGCTTTAAAGATCTAAAGAAAAGACAAGTGATTATAATATCAAAATCTTCTGAACACATTCAAATAACAAAACACATTACTTGTATATAACAACTACATTGAAACTATCTCTAAATAATATCATAAATTCTAGTCTTACATAGACAATAATCCAAAAAAAAATATAAATTTCTATTAAATGTATATGTTAGAAATGTGAACACAGATAACGTTAATGTATTTCTCTTAAAATGACAAATAGGACAATATACCGAGGCCCTGTGTGCTTTAGGCTGTGCACGTTAAAGATCCGACGACAGTTGGAAATCGAAAAAGAGCAGGCTAATGCCGCTGTCCTGGCAAAATTTCCCTAATTGCATGGCGTTGCCAGTCTTCATTAGGCCACATTGTGCAGAAAAGTAGGACGTAAAACTCCATTCATTTCATTTAATTTAAGGACAAGACATTCACTTGTATAGTAATGCAAAGGTATAAGTTCATGGTTTAAAACACAAACAACAAGAGTAGTCTATTTTGTTTTCAGTTCAACTAAAAAAAAAAGTGGACTACTTTTGATTATAGTTTAAATCATCCATGAATGTTAATACGGTAAGTTTCTTTGCTCAATTCTAGCAAGAAATCTGCCAGCAATGAATTCCCACAATCCACATACTGAAGAAATTTAACTGATTCTACAACATAAAAAATGAACTCCACACATTTCAATTTATAAATTGTCAAGATCTGAATATCAGAATATGAAAAAAAGTATTATGCACCAATGAAGGCAAATGAACTGCTTCTACTACCAAATTATAAACGGGACCCTGACCACTTATTCTCGAAACAATCTCGGCGTTTGGATATCCTAGAAACCGTGATCCAAGTCAATATCCTTGGACATCCTAGCTCTAAGATCGTTTCAAGAATACATGGCCAGAACTTTAACTTGGTATACATGTATATTGAAATTAAAGGTGGTTGAACAATAAGTTTTATGTCTTTGAAACTTTGCACAGTTATATGAGAGAACGTCCTGAACAACATGACTTCCATTGAATACTCATGTGAAATTTAAAGCTGTAATGAAATTTTTTTAGAGTGGTATCCAAAACTTAAACACCTAGGCCACACATTCTCAAAACAATCTTAGTGCTAGGATATCCTAGAAGTTTTAGAAGTTAAGACCCTAGGACATCCTAGCGCGAAGATCCTTTTATGTATACACAACCTGGCTATGTATTCTCGAAACGATCTTAGCGCTAGGATATAGAATCAGTATTAGAAGACAAGAACTTAGAACATCCCAGCGCTAAGATCGTTTCGAGAATATGTGGCTTGATTTTTTACAGCTATCATTTTCTTCAATATATGCCATGTTGATTGAGTATTAATCTTCTCAAGTTTTATCAAGTGAAGTCTTCAATCGTGGGACTTTTAGCTGAATGCTTACACTTTTGTCTTTTATTCTGAAACCATACATTAACATTAAACTCAGAAAGGTTCAGATCATGGGCTATTCTTTCTTTGTCTGATTTCTTAGGATAAGGATCTAACACAAAATATCTTTCTAATGCATATAACTGTTTTTCTGAGAATGAGGAACGTTTTCTTCGGTTTGAACTCAAGCCTGAAACGAGAAAGAAAAATATTTCAACAATTATATGAGAAGAGGAAAGATGTGAGTCAACACTGTTTTAATAATTATTTACAAACCAAAAGATACAACATAAATTTGTGGGAAAGATTTATTATTTTAAACATTGTCTTCAAATCAAAGCATTACAGGAAATCAATATCATAAAATTTTTTCCCAACTTTAAAAACTTTTTCCTCTGATTTTATATCTACACAGACAACAATAATAGAAATGTGTCTATTCGTAACTAACAAAAGCTCATGTTAAGCCACCAACACACATTTCAGATATAAAACCCCATCATCAGACAGTTACCTTCGAACAAGAGGTTTTACCCTAAATTTATCCAATACCCACATTTACATTACAGATAACAATGCCGTCTTTGAATCCCTTCTTGCATATTGCTAAGCTTAAGCTTTAAAAATATCACTCTTACCTATACTATGATTTTAAGGCACAGCGCGCCCTGTGACGTTTCAGTGCAGTTGAAAATGCAAATGATTTACCACATAAATCACATTTGTGAGGTTTAGAATTCTGATGAGTATGCATATGACCTTCGTAATGGTGTCTATGATTCATTCCTTTATTACAAATAGTACATCTGTATCGAAAGTGACCATCATGTTGTCTCTTATGATTTTTCATCCCTTGAACAGTTGTCATTATTTTACCACAAACATCACATTCAAAAGTTTCTATCTGAGTTTGAATGAAGTTTTCACTCTCAAAACAAGCTGAAAGAGGAACAGAAAAATATCCTCTATATTTGAATCAAATATTTAATATTCTTTTCATGGAATATCTTAATTAAGTATATATAGTACATTCATTTCCATAGATCATCATCAGAATTCTATCAAATGCATTTCCAGTTTCATAACATTTAAATAAAAATGTTAAAAAAAATAACACAAAAATGATGTAAAAGAAATCGGATTGAGATTTTTAAGTCCATCAATTTATTTTTATCAAACTTAAGGAAGATGGCAGCTAAAGCTTCATTAATCAACTGATTAGGCAGAAATATACAAGGTTACATTAAAAAAAAAAAAGTTTTATTTTGGCACAAGCTTTCATCTAGTAACAGGTGTTACTCAAAGCTGATATAGGTCTATATTTCCCAGGCTTATCTTGAAGCTGTTATATCAATATGTCTGCCTGTTTCCCATCTCAAACCCTGTACAAGTTTATTCTGCCCATGCTTACCTTAAAGCTGATAAAGGTCTACATATTTCCCATGCTTATCTTAAGGCTAATATAGATCTATATTTCCCATGCTCATTTCAAAACCAATATAGGTCTATATTTCCCATGTTTATCTCAAAGCCAATATAGGTCTGTCTATATTTACCATGCTTATCTCAAAGCCAATATAGGTCTATATTTCCCATACTTTTCTCAAAGCTGATATAGGTCTATATTTCCCATACTTTTCTCAAAGCCAATATAGCTTTTTTGTTTCCATGCTTTTCTCAAAGCTGATAAAGGTCTACATATATCCAATGCTTATCTTAAGGCCGCGATATATCAATATATATTTCCATGCTTATCTCAAAGCCAATATATGTCTATATTTCCCATGCTTTTCCTAAAGCTGACTCAAGTCTATATTTCCCATGTTTTTCCAAAAGCACATATAGGTCTATATTTCCCATGCTTATCTCAAAGCTGATAAAGGTCTACATATATCCCATGCTTATCTTAAGGCCGATATATGTCTATATTTCCCATGCTTTTCCTAAAGCTGACTCAAGTCTATATTTCCCACACTTATCTTAATGCTGATATTGGTCTATATTTCCCATGCTTATCTCAAAGCTGATATAGGTCTATATTTCCCATGCTTATCTCAAATCTCATTTAAGTCTATGCTTGCCATTCTTTTTATGGCCTTCATTAAAATATTTAAGACAGTTCTCAGCTTTACAGAATAACAGTAAATTTATATCAAATTATTTACTAGTATAACAAATTTGTAATTTCTACACAAAAACAGTTGATCCAAAATCTTAAAAAAAAAATAATGATATGTGGAGAAATACATGATGAAAATTTACACAGAACAAGGATATCATATAATCACTTACTATCTAGAACATCAACAAATGAAATGAACAAATGAACCTCCTGAACCTTATAGGGCTCATGAAAAAAAATGGCAGAACAACATGAACAAATGTAAACAAATTCGATCTGTTTATTGACTTGACTTAGTAGAGATAATTATTGCCTCTTTGAATACTACAAATATATGACAATATACAACAGTAATGTCACAAACATTACATAAATTTACATAAAAACATACTGTGAGGAAGTAAATTCTATGTTTAATATCAAAAACAGATTACAAAAGTGAAAAAAAATGCACATCCTTACAAAATAGTTACTATTGGTAAGACACAAAAATATTGGAATCTATTTTCAAAATACATTTTAAGTAAGTAAAGTCTAAGCTTAACCTTGTTTTCACAATAGAAATTATTCAATGCACGGAAATTGTTAAAATTTTTCTCACATGTTTAAAATGTTACATCAATTATCGGTATTTTTAACATATTTATGCATTGTTCTTCAAAAACTCCTATGATAAACTTTATCTTTGAGGGATTGTAAAGAAGTTATCTAAATTTTTTATGTGCATCAGAGATCAATTTGCATCATACTAATATTTGATCAGTGGTTTCTGTAATTCCACTAAAACTAAGTGTTTGATGACGACACTAATCGCAAAATATGTTTTACAACACTTAGTTTTAGTGAAATCTCAAGAACTAAAGACGACCGAATGGAAATTGGATTGGTTCAAATTGATGCTATCAATTTCCCCAGTATACATAAATTTTTTAGAAAACCTTTTTACAATCCCTTAAGTGTGGAACATTTCACTGACTTACAACAAAAAACTTGTGAGATAATTATGATTCCTTCAACCAGGACCTTCTTCCTCGAAACAAAATTTCACACTTATGACCACACAGAGGACTTATTTTTAGTACTTTGAGATAGCTAGTCTGGCATACAGTCAAATCTTTAATAGTAAGCTTATCCCTAGAATTCAATTTCCAGCACAGTTGTTTTTCTCATGTCTCATAACATCAGACTTATAACGATATTCCTTTCCACAAACTTTACATGAATAGAATAACTTATCGGCAAAATGTGTCGTCATGTGTCCTTTTAGATTATCTATATTCTGATATCCTTTATTACATACTTCACAATGATATTTAAATATCCCTTTATGTGTGTTCATATGAGCATTGTATCCTGTTGTACTTTTAAATGATTTATTACAGATATCACACTCAAACAGTTTCCTATCACCCTCACTCTCAGTAGCTGACCCCTCTGAAGGAAAACATTGGGCTCCACCAGAAATATTTTGTGGCGTTGAATTTCGAAAGACTGCAAGAGAAAAACAAAGTTTTCAGAATCATTGCAAGCAATTTCAAGCAGTATGTCACTGTTTTTTTCTAATGTCAATACAGATTTTGAAATTCAAACAAATTGGATCAGGGTTAATTAAATTAAGCATTTTGTCCTATAGTAATTCCTACATCAAAACTACTTTATAGCTTTAAGTATAAATTTTGGTGTCAAGAGAGATTTGAATAGAAGATTCTGTTCTAAAGGTTCCGTATAGGGTAAAATAAATTTACCAGTTCACTTGTATGAAAGCATATTTGATACCAGAAAAAAAAATTTATTGAATTTAAAAAAGACATCATTTTGGCTCAGATTCTAATGATTATTTTTAAACAATGGATTCTCTTGCAGTTTACCTCTTCAAACATATTGCATCCTTCTGATTCTAAGATTACCTTTTATACATTAAAAAAAGTGAAATTATACACAATCATACACAAATATCACCAACATAAATACGTGCAATTAACAAATTCTAACTAATTCCTGAGAAAACAAATCTCTCCCAACACCAAGTCCACAAATATCAACCTCCAAACCCTGGCCCTATGATTTTTTATAAAGAATTGAAAAAAATGTCTACTGGAATGGTTTGAATCTACAATTCAAAGTTCATAAAAATACACATGAATCATGGAAAACAGCTTCAGAAACAGTTTCTTGCACAGCTTAATATCAAATACAACAGAGTATTAAAAGGTTGGAATGGTTACATATGTTTCTCTTTTACAATAACTTTGCTTGCTACAAGGCAAGTTCTTTTTCAGCCTTTCTCAGCTTAGTCTCCTCTTTGAAAGCTTTATTTTGGAACTTTATTTCAACGAATGAAAGCTTTCTAGTTGAGGCAGATGGGGATAGAAACAGAGATTGAATCATTTTTTACCCTGTGACATCATCTAATCAAAGAACTCGCCCAACAAAACAATAATCTTACTGTCATTGCACTACCGCATGTTAGAAGAAATTTCACAAATTTTCCCTCAAGAATGAACAACACTTGTCCTTTGAGCATCATTTTTCTTATCAATACATCTAGCACTATGTTGAACTAAATTATGTTTTAAAGTAAAAGACTTTCCACACCAATCACAAGTAAAGGGTTTATTATTTGAATGTTTATTCATATGTCCTATAAACTGTTGTTTATTATTATAACCTTTCGTACAAATTGGACAAAAATAACGGAAATTTCCTTCATGAGTTCGTTTATGATCTGCAAAGCCACTACTAGTTCTAAAACTTTTACCACACTCGCAAACATAAAGATCAACAGCCGACAATCTCTTTCTACTTTCTTCTGTAATCAATTCTAAGACTGAAATAGACATGAATAGCTGTAATCTTACTGATCATCTTCAAAGCTTATATTAAACTCAATAAAATTTCAGTCATTCATACACAATAGAAACCCAAGCCAGATATTCAAATTTTTCATGGTTAACAAACCACAAACAGACAATTGGAACAAAATAAAAACACAATCAGATATCAGAACCAAATACACAGATCAAAAAACTAGGTCTGCACAAAAACAAAAGCTATTTTTGGCAACTATTTCCACATTATTTTTTACAGTCAACAGAATATTTTAAACTAAATTGCAGTCATAAAGATTCGTGACTAGTACCTGCATATCAACTTGTTATCACACTGGTTTCACAAAGTTGCGGACAGACTAGGCGAATTTTCACAGTTAATGGTTTGAAGGAGTCAATTGCGAGCGAACCCCGTCTAGTGTGTCCAGTGCTACAACATTCGCCCGATCATCGGCTGAAGCCATTTGTCAACATCAAGCGTGTTTGATATTATTCGCCCAAATATTCATCACCCTTGACTTGTTCCGCAAGTCTGTCCACTCTGGTGAAGTTTATTGTGAACTTTCCTATAATTCAACCAATCACAGACGCCCAAAGCGTAACACAACAAATAAAATGGCGACCTTCAGTGATGCATTATGGAGTGCAGAAAAGAAATAGGAATTAATTATGTTATGGGAGTCAATACTTAACTTATACAATATAAGGATACCACCATACTTTTTATCATGTGACTAAGTGCCGTGAGCATGCGTAATTTCATTCAAGTGAGTTATCAAATCAGTCATTCGCCCTCAGTGTGCATTGCATCAGCCGAATAAATTTGGCAGCGCTTAGTTCGTCTGAAGCACCAGCGAATAAAATTTGCCCAGTCTGTCCTTAGCTTGACAATGAATCCTGGAAATGTTCCTTTTACTCTTTCCATTTGCAACTGACATATAAACCTATTGTGGCAAATCTCTTTGATGCTGTATGTGGATTCAAACTCATCTGAACTCAATTCAGGTTACTTATTCTGAGGTATAAAACTTACATTTGAGGAATGCTAATAGAAATAGTATAACTCTTTACTTGTATGAAATGCAGGTGTAAGACGGATGGAACAGTACTATGAATTGAATTGGGTCAATTGTATCGATACGTCATGCAATGATGATGTATCATGACAATATATCGTACTGCAAGGTAATGTATGTTATACTTGAAGATACAAGCCATTAAGACAAATATGTCTTCATATGTAACAAGAGTAAATGTCATCCAAAAGCAGAAGAAATACAATATAACTGCCCTGCTGAAGAGGATTTCATCTAAATAACATACAGGAAGGGCTGAGCAGCTTTCACACAAGGGCAAGAACCATATGAAAGGTTAACATTTACTCCAAGATACAGAGTTGAAGTTAAATCAGATTTGTTAATGCCAGATGTTAACTTTTCAGATCAACCAACTCAAAGATACCAATGGGGATGGATAATCATAAAACAGATGCCATAATTATATTCAATACTTAAAATTCAGCATCAGACCAGTGGATATGTTTAAGAACATGTTTCATATCAACATAATGATGTTACTTAACTAAATCTCTAAATCTACAAACTACATAGTCCAAAAAATACTGACTCTTTCCTGGGGCTATACCACCATTGAGAGAAGAAGGTAAGTGCAATTATTGTGAAAAATTTTAAATTAAAACTCAATTTTCAAGCTCATGATATCCCTCGTTATATATTCCTAAAATTGTCCTTGACATAACTGATTTCCTTCCTTTGAACGCAAAAATATATCTGATGTTTTCAAAAGCCTTTTTCCTGCAAAATGAGCATAGAGAAGTCAGTATATCTTAGACTGAACATATAAACAATCTATACATACCTCCAGGTGACTGTAACATTGGTGAATGATATGGTGAGCCTAGACTAGCAGATGGTGATGTGGTTTGAGATTGGTGAAATGGAGAAGTATTGAAATTTTGTGGTGAAGGTTTATATTCATGTGTCATACCAGGAAAAACTGTTTCATTGGTGCTACTTGTGTTTGTCTCGCTTCCATCTGATCCTGAAAATACAAGAGAGGAGTTTCAGTGAGTTGGAACTGTCACTACGTGATTTATTTTGTCGATAAAACATTTACTGTATATAGGTCGAGGGCCACCATAATTTAATGCAACACAAGCAGAAAAAGATTTCTCATTCTGACAATAGGTACCGTAATGTAAGTAAACAGATTCAGTTGTCTGAAGATCCCACAGCATGAAACTCCGAGTAAAACATATTTCAGGTTCTGCTTTAATATTTCTTAACAGATTTTTAGGAAGTTTTCAAAATTAGTTATAATTTGCACAGAGGGTGTTTCAAATCTTTTTAGTCAGATTGGTAGCCTATTTTCTGAATATTCATATACCCTTATCATCTTCCTTTGCTTAAGTATGCTTATAGAATTGATAGTTACCTGTTCTGCCTCTATCAAAAATACAGGAACTACTTTCTTCTTGTTGACTACTAATATACTCCTTTTTAATAGCTGATATGTCTATAGGGGTAGGTGGGGCTGATTGTCTTAATGTTGAACTAGATCGAGATTCCTGATCATGATCTTTTCTCTTCTCTGTAAGTTTGGCTAAATGCTGGGATATCTTTGCTTGAAATGAATTCATATCATCATATGATGATTTTGGAAATTTAAATTGTGACTGGTAATTATCTCTGTCTGGTAAAGGATTTCTTGATGCCTGTCGTTTTAATGCTATTTGTTGAACTAAATCATTTTGATAGGAGGAATTGTCTCTGGGATTCATTCTACTTGACCCATTGCCTCTGAGATTATTCACATGAAAAGTTTGTTGTTGATTACTGTATTGTTCAGCTTGTTCATGCTGCAACTTAGCTAACTCTTCTTCTAACTCTTTTTTTCTTTCAGCAATGGTTTTCTTTGGTCCTGCATGAAAACTATTACTAACAAATGTAGTGGAGTCTTGTTCATTTCTACATACTTTCTCATTAACAATATAATCAAATTTGACATCACTGTCAACATTCAGATAAAGATGGCCTATAACTTCTACTTTCTGTTTAAATTCAACACTACCATGACACAATACTTGAAGATTCTTAACTAAAGAGTTTATAAACTTAATTGCTTCTTCGTCATTCATTTTGAAATATTTGGTTAATTTCTTTTAAAACAATAAGATATCTGAAAGCAGTAAAAATAAAATAAATAAAAATGCAAACTAAACTTCTATATTTTGTTTCCCTTTTCTGTCAAACTTTATGACATTAATGGGAATGCAAAGACTGTTAGTCAGGCAGTAACTCAACTATATATCATCATTATCATTTGAATGCTAAATATTGAGTATCACAGTGCCAGTAGCCTAAGCCATTTTTCAGCTATAATAATTCTAAATACTAAACATAAACAGTCAGTTGATCAACTGGCAACATAGTCCATGAGCACATTTATAATAATTCAGTCATTAGTAAACTGTAATCATAGTGGGCTGGCTAAGGTACAATTATAAAAGGGATTGTAAAGAGGTTTTCTAATTTTGATACCAACAATTACCAGAAACCACAGATGGAATTACCAGAAACCACAGATGGAATTCCAGAACCACAGATGGAATTCCAGAAACCACAGATGTCTGATTGAAAATTGGAATGATGCAAATTGATGCTATCAGTGTCCCCGATACACATAAAAAATTAGAAAACCTCTTTGCTACTAGCCTAATCTGTCTCTACTCAACTGACTATGTGGGGCTGTTTAAAAGAGATACAATTTCAACATTTTTCTACAAAAGGAAGTCGAAAGAAATACAACAATGCATATCTTGAAATCTGAGAATTTCTATTAAAAACCCTTACAAAAAATACATAAATTAAACAGCTAAAATATTCATTTTTGTTCAAAAATAAAAATCTTTAGGATTCATTAACAATAACATTGATATTAGCATTATGCAGGTGCTCGAACGTCACTTCCTGTTGGGATACTTCATTTGTAAAGGCATTCTTATTCCAAATTGTAACACATTTCCATCTCTTTTATGCGTTTTATGGTATTGGTTAATTTATTGTTTGTTTTTTCAGTACACATTTACCTTTTAAATGATGCATAAGAAATCTTTGAACATCCTGTTATGAAAATTGATTTCATATCAATATTGAAAAAATAACTAGACCCTGATTAATGGCTACCTTCATGCACGCTAAATTGCTTTGTTTCGTTGTCTTCGCCTCTCGTTTCCAACTATAAATCCACCAGGTTGATATGTCTTGATTTTTAACATTTAACATGAGCCTTTATTTCCGCCGGTATTATTTTTTTGGTACAACGATAGGCTTAGCATTGTGATTGATAATTATGCCTTTGGCTTTACCAGATTTTGCAAACTGGGGATTGGGTCGTTTTGTCTTGCCTTAGAGTTGAAAGACATTTCGCCCATTTCATGGAATATATTTTTGATTCAACTTTTTGTCTCAATATAGTTATCATGTTAAACAGTCATTTGTTTCTCAGTGCAATCATTATAATGATTATTGACTGTTAAATTTCATAGTTTAATCATATCTGTCAATGTGTCATTTTTCAAATAACGAAAATGACAGTCACAAGCCAGTCCGGAACTAGGCATGGCAGTCTACGGCGAGAGATGGAAAAGGATGTAATATAAAGATTTAACAGATGTTGATGTATATTTCAAACGTGCTTATTAAATTAGAAACCCTTAACTTACCTGGATATTTATCCTTATAGCACTGAAAAACAAGAGCTAAAAACATTACTGGGGTTCACTGTTTCAGGTTAATGGATATGATTATATATTCTTGTAAATACTTTTGTTTTGTTATTAAAAAAAACTCTGTATAAAGTATAGAAATAATTTGTTTTTTATTTTGCAGAACTAGATAAAATGGAGAACAAATCAGCAGTTGATTTCATCAATTCATTAGTGCGTAACTT